TGGTTGCTGTAACCAAAGCCCTCTAGCTCACAGTAGCGCGCGACCGCCGAAGGCGGTCTTGTGAAACAAGTGCGTCACGCAGTACGCGTATACACATGGCTAGGGAAGGGGGCCACGCCGAGCTGCAAAGAGTGACATGGTGAATCAACTGATGAAAGGACATAATCGCAACTAAGTTTTTGTATGCCCGATTTGTACTGCCAGGAGACGTGTAACAGCAGAACCATGTGTAAAGGTGTTTATCATAGGCGTTGCATGAATGATACGTGGGAGGACTATTGCCGCTGCGATCGCGGCGCGCAAGCATTCTTTGCTCTTACTTGGCCGCGTCAGCCTGTCATTCCGGCCGAGCAGTGGTAAGGGTAGGCTCGTGGGAACAATTATTTCCAAACGTGGCAGGTTGGAAATCGTTTCAAATTCATGATAAGGTAGAAGATTTATTTTCCAGGCCATTTTTGGTGGATAAACTGGGACTTGAAGATTAGGTTTATATTCATAAAATTTGTTTACCAATAAGGGGGCCAGAGCCCCCTTCATGAAAAGGCGCTTGAAAGTGAGTGTATAGGGTGGTTCTGAAGAGGGATGATATCGATACATATTAGGAGATCTAGCAGCACAGAGTCGTGCCCATTCGATCCCCCATGGAGAAACACTGTTTTTAGCCAAAGTTATTGCTGGTCAAAGGTCGACACTTTTGTGTAATTGTATCGTGCGGTAGATTTTCGATCGCAATCCCTGAAATAAAAATCCAGTCTAAAAATCTTCTCATACATTTTTTCCTCGCATAATGCAGATTATCCACTTTTGTTTAGAAGTTGAAAATGCATAAAATTATTGCTCTATGGTCATAACGAATGGAATCATAGTTTCATACATGCATTCCACACATTCTCCTTTCAACCTTTAGGGCTATATTTGGTGGATATAGGCATAATGAGGGTCAAATTTGCCTGGCTATACACTATTTTGAGTCCTAGATGTGTTCTACAATGAAATTATAATTGTTCCTGGATAGTAAAGACCCTTCACTGGTCCAGCATAAAACATCATGAGTTCAAGACGGCTTATAATGCCGAAATTGGTGGATGATAAAAAAGTCGATATTCAATTACTTTTATTGGATTATCCACCAGATTGGTAGATTGGCCATGTATGGTAAAATATCAAACCTTATTTTACATAAATGTTCAACCTCCTACATTTCATCTTTATCGACTGTTTCTAACCTGAATAATATTTATTATTAATTATTGATTTATGTGTTTCACTAATTCACATTGACTGATATCCACGAAACTATAGCCTTGAAACCCATACTTCAAACTTTATGCCATCCATCTGACACATGTTCCGTTTGCCCTTGCACCAAAATTAGAGTCAGTTTCAGACAATTTAAGCATAAATTATGACATCATTGCCATGTCGGAAGGGGTTTGTAAATGGGCCATTGTAAGCCTCAAACGTTTTGGTCGTTTGAGGCTTACAATGGCTCAGTAGAAATAGAGCAACTGACCCTGTCCCACTAAATTCAACCACTTATAGCCAGTTTTTAAAATACTAACAATCAAATAAAGATTGATAAATAATTATATATAATCACCAAAGAATATTTCGTCAAATCAAAAATCAAATCAAAATATAATGACACAAACATCATCACACATCATCAAAAATATATCTACTAAAGTTTAAAAATTATCTTAAATCTATTGGCCTAAACAACCAAGTTAAAATGAATCTAATTTACATTCTTTCCACTACTATATTGTATATTAGTTGATAAAGCGTTTTTTAGCAACATGAGGATTACACACAAGATATTCATTGTGCTTCTCTTTATTAGTAGCATAATTTAATCCCTCAATTTTTCCTAATACTTCGTCCGAAACATACCAAAAATGACTATCATTTACAGATCCGTTTAAAATAGTCTCTTTTTTGAAAGCCTCTAATCTCATTTTAAAACTTAACACAGTCCCACAATTCTTGACATCCGAGGGGAGTTTGTTCCAATATGGTCTCACCCTCTCCGGAAGAAAAGAACTGTGGACTTTCTTCATTTTACTGCTACTTTTACTGCATCTACTGTTTGATACCACATTAAGACCAGATCTGCTCATACTGAACAAACCAGCTCCGTAATTGGCCAAACCACTTATCATTTTAAAAGATTCAATGAGGTCCCCACGTATTCGCCGCTCTGCCAGCGTTGTTAAATTGAGGATTTCCAGTTGACGACTGTATGGAAGAGTACCCACCTCGTCAATCAGACGGGTAAACCGTCTCTGGACGCTCTCCAGCTCCAAGATGATCCCCCAACTTCGATGAGCCGCAACTGGACTCCACAATTGAACACAATACTCTAAATGGGGTCTTATCAAAGCTTTGTAAATGGATATCATCACAGATTTTTCCCTGATAATCAGATTTCTAACAATCCAACATAGTTTATTTCTAGTTAACTAATTCGTGTTTTATTCATGATTAAAGGAATGTAAAATAAAACTTATTGTTTCATTGAAAATTGACCCATTAGCCAGATCATGAATCTGAAAATATGTTGTTATGACGATTATTGGTTGGCCTCTCATTCATATTTTAGGAGCTTTTTTGTGGGATTGATTGTTTTCATTGGCTTTTTGAAGTGACATTGAGACATAGATTGGTTCAACCTCATGATATTTTCCTCCTTTTTTTTCTTTAAAAAAAGAGAGACTGGATTTACCTCCTTTACTTGGTTAGATCCTTAACTTATTTCAAGCAATTGACTAATCTGATTATAGTTTCAACTAATTTGATCCGAGTATTACAATACGGCATTTCCCCACCATAACCGATCTGTATTGGATAAGGAATTTAACAATTCTTTCATATCATCGTGCATTGTAAGCAGTTTACAGTTTTAACAATTTAATGACGTAATTGATGCTATTTTATTAACTTTAGATGTTAATATATAAGTATTCAGTATTTAACAGCCTCGGAATCTTAGCATCACTTCTTCTTACTTAAATTGCTGTTACCGTAACAGTACACTTACCTTCCCTGTATAATAATTATAATATCATAATTTACTCTACTCGTCATTATTAACAAAGTAAGTGATATCGATTTCCAGCAGAAATCGCTTTGGTAAGTAAGCGAGCGTTCATTATTTAAAACATAATATTAGCATACAAAATGTTTGATGGTTTGTTATACTTACACATGTATATGTTTCGAGTGATGAAGTGTAACATGTTATATAAACATGTTGTGTACACTTCTTGGCACAAACTGTCTACAACACACTCAACCACACAATGTCTGACTTATCATAATTTAGCATGTTGTGGTTTTTATCCTACTTCTCATGATACACATGTTGGAACCCGAAAATATTGATTCTCACTCATACACTTATCCAGCTAAGTAGTAAGATCTTTATTAGTGTATCGTACATAATAACATATATCATCATGAGATATTAATTTTGGGTTTAACTTGAACTAGATTACGGGGAAATGTTGTAAGGTATCAGACCAATACTACCTCATGTGACATCGTAGTAACCTTGTCGATTGTAGCGTCGTTACTTTATGATATAATATCGTCTCAATTTGCTCAACATGATATCATCTCTTTGTTCAATTCGCAACAAGGAAATGTGCAGATTTTCATTATCCTCAATAACCTATATATATAAATAACATACCATATGTATAGTGGTTGCTTCACCGGACCGATCAGATGCTACAGTGGAATTGTGTTACTGCGTGGTATGCCACATATTCCTGCTTTCAGCTGTTCACCGCTCACTTTGAGAGGCTTCCTTATAATGAGGCTGGTGAGACCTGCTCCGCGTCATGCTGCCAGTAGTTGTCCGGCCCTGTTAAGTCACCGCAGATTGAAATGGTAGGACTACCCTGGAAGTACTATAGACTTTAAGTGATGACATTCTGTGAGCTGCTTGTTTTGCTCACAGGGAGTGGATTATTGCTCGTCGTGGTTAGTGTGTGTGTGTGTGTGTGTGTGTGTGTGTGTATGTGTTCAGTATTCACGTTTTGTTGTGATTTATAAGGTGTTTACATTGATAAACGGTCAACTCCATTGCTGTTGATGTTAATCGATTTGATACAATTCAGTATCAATATTTACCGTGTTATGTAGTAGAACGTGTCTGTATTCTAAAGTATAAAAGTAGGTGTTTTACCGCTACTGCTGCTGAAGGTTTCAGACACATTTTGAACACACCTCGTTTCTCAGAACTATTTTACACATTTCCCTCTCTCTCTCTCTCTCTCTCTCTCTCTCTCTCTCTCTCTCTCTCTCTCTCTCTCTCTCTCTCTCTCTCTCTCTCTCTCTCTCTCTCTCTCTCTCTCTCTCTCTCTCTCTCTCTCTCTCTCTCTCTCTCTCTCTCTCTCGCTCTTTCTCTTTGTAGGTAGGTGTACAATGTAAGAGCCGTTCCTCAGTACCGAGGTGTATATTTGGTAACATGATATCATAGCTTGCTAGTTTAACTCACCAATATAGTTGATTGGTTTGCTGTCTACAGTTCCCAGGGAGCCTCCCAGTGCCTCCTTCAGTATTGTAAGGTATTTTTGTTGTCACAAACCAAATAATGTACATGTTGTCGGTTGTCCTCATTTGCGGTTTACTTCCTTTTTAAAACACCATCGTGTGAAATGGTGACTCACAAGTGACTACAAATGAACTAGAGGAGCGAATATTGTTACTCCTTTTTGATCCTTTGAGATTAAATTTGCGTGATGCTTACACAGCTAGGTGCCAGGTGGCATACTTTTTACTTTTATATTTGATTAAAGATCATGATTATCGATATCTGATCATCTAATTTATTCCTGATTTTGCAAATTTTGAACTAACACCCAACTTATAGTTATACCGTATTTATTATAGCAATTTTACAGTGTTGCTAATTATTGCTTGACGTAATATCAGATTTAATTAAATGAACATATTTGCTCCACTGACAGTAAAACTAAACACACCTCCTCACAAGGGATGGTAAGAGAACTGGTTGAAGAAGAGGGACAATGAAACCTTCAACAGGAACAAAACCCCATGAGGTAATTGTAATAACCGGGAGGTCACATGTCGTCATGTGACCGGGGGTCACGTGTGATTTGTGGTTACTTTTCAGTGTTGTGTAGTTCACTTTGATATGTTGTAGTGTAACAATCATACATTGAAACTGCTGCTGTTGTTGTTGTTGGTCTCCCTCAGTTATTAAGTTAGATATTCTAATTATTGAGCACTGATGTCTGTGATGTTATGCTCACGTGTGTGTTTTTCAGTAGACATTTTAAACCTTGTTATTTGATCCTAATTGTTTTGTTTACATTTTTCACTTATATTCTCAAATTCGATTCTCAAATTATCGAATTTGGGGTGCCATGAACACTGAACAGTTATCTGTTGATTTGATAATTGATAACGATTCATAACTAGTGTTAATATCCTGATGTATTCATTCCTGCAGGGTAACTGCGATACTATGACTAGTACGCTGGACCCAGACGAACAACTCCAGTTTCACTTGGAAAACATCAGAAGATCACTTGACGGCAATGACAAAGCTTCCACACTCGACCTGAAAAACTTCAACCTATCCGAACTGACTGCCACCCTCTTCAGCACTGACTCTGACACAATGGATCTCCGGACGGACTCCTTCAATAGCCTCACCCTCGACGAGAACACGCTGGATTATAACAAACATTCCAACACAGACAGTATCCTAACTTCAGACCCTGACACGGGAACAGTCGCCTCCCTCTCAGGAGTGCAGCTGGTCATGTCAGACAGCCCTGTAGACTTGAGGGACAATACATTTGACGTCATCAATTTTATGGACATGCCCGGTGATATCATGGATGACCTGGACGAGTATCTGGACGGTGAGTTTGATAGTCCCTACTCGACCCTGGATACGCGGTCCTCGCTGTCTGTGCCCGGTGGTAGCCAGTACTCTACTTTAGACACTGCTTCCAGTCCCCACCAGAGAATCGTGTCTCAACCCATACCTACTGTAGACAGTCTCTCCCAAATGATGTTTGCAATACCAAATCAGATGTACTCAGACCACGAGGACTCCCTTGAGCGTATGACTACAATTCCAAATCCGAACCAGACTACCAGGTCTGCAATTCCAAATCCTAACCAGACTACAAGAAGCATAACGTACGTGTCGAGCTTTAGTCTGGACACGATGGAGAAGGGCGAGGAGGAAGGGGAGGAGCCAGGGGATGTCATGGATGATGTCATAAGGAGTATCGCTCCTGCATCTTATGATGACTGTAGTTTAAAACTCATTCAGACTCCTCAGAGTTCTTATGGTGATGGTAGTATGACCAAACCTATTACTTACCCTACTCTGCATGGTGAGAATTTTATTTTTATAGAAATTCAACTGTAAATTCACACTTTGAAGTGACAAGTATTGATGTGCCTTGAGTAGGCTGGGTCTGGTTCTAAGTTTGTGACTATTTGTATAGCATGTAAACAGTCATCGTGTCTGACTTACTAGCATTTGCTAAATCTTACGATCTGTTTTTAGCTCCTAAGTTTCGCCCATTTTATAACTTTGACTATGACATCACCATAATCAGGGATTAAAATCAAAACTAATCGAGACGTTCTCAGGTGACCAAGTACGAACCCTGACTCCAGACATAGATCCACTAATATCTGATAACCTGGACAATGATAACAAAGATAAGACTATTGAGAGTAGTTCACTTCCTAAGGAGCATAATATCAAAGAAAACAGCACAAATACCAGTTCGGGTGAACGAAATGGAATGAGCGCCGAATCGGGCCAGCCTAATGGACATGATGATGATGAGTCAGGTGCTCGTAATAGAGCTGTATCTGTTCCTAGCCGCCCCAGAGTTGGTTCGTACGTGGGCAATCTTATCAAAAGATCGGTTTCCCAATCAGGCAACCTTCAACGGTACTGTGCTAATTTGACCTATAAAAGAACTAGTTCCCAATCAAGCGATCATAAAAGAGCTAGTTCTCAATCAGGAGATCTTAAAAGATCTAGTTCTCAAACGGGAAATGTTAAAAGATCTAGTTCTCAAACGGGAAATGTTAAAAGATCTAGTTCTCAGTCTAGCGATCTTAAAAGATCCAGTTCTCAATCCGGGGATCTCAAAAGATCTAGTTCTCAGTCTGGAAATATCAAAGGATCTAGTTCTCAGTCGGGAAGCATCAAAAGATCTAGTTCTCAGTCGGGAAGTATCAAAAGATCTAGTTCTCAATCGAGCGATCTTAAAAAATCTAGTTCTCAATCGGGAAATATTAAAAAATCTAGTTCGGGAGGTCTTAAAAGATTTAGTTTTGCATTGGGCGATCTCAAAAGATCTAGTTCTCAATCAGGGGATGTTAAAAAACTAAGCTCCCAATCGGGAAATATTAAAAGATCTAGTTCCCAATCGGGAGATCTTAAAAGTGGCCGAAGTACAGGCGCTTCAGGATCTGGCCTTGTCCGCAGTAGAGCCGGTTCCGTGCCTAATCGGCCCAGAGCTGGTTCGGACGCAGGTGACATCAAAAGATCCTGCTCTGCATCTGACAAGAAGAGACCTGTCTCTATGTTCTGTGAACGGTCCGGGTTCAAGATGCAAGTTTCTAACCATCCCAGTGATCAAGATGTCCGAGATAGTGGGTTTGATTCTCTGGAGAGCAGCAGCGTCACAAGTTCTCGTCCTCCCAAGGTAAGTTCAGTTTAGCACGCAATTTAAAGGTAAGTTTAGCACGCAATTTAAAGGTAAATCCAGTTTAGCACGAGATTTAATTTTATGGTCAAATAAAAGTTATCGCATCTACTACGTAGGAAGTCGCGACTTATTCACTTCTTAACACTGGTTAAAATCTTTCGATTTTAATAACCCCAGTATTTCATAAAGACCATCCCTTCCATTCTTCTAGCCTTTTTTCGAGCTGTAGTAATATTCATTATCCACACCGCTGACAGGTTATATTTTCACCTTTAGGTGGCACTTGCTTCTCACCGTGATCTCAATACTACCCACGTGACCTGAATTAGTGGACACGTGACCTTAATAGTGGGCACGTCAGACCTTGTTCATCATTACAGACCTGATATCGTTAAGCTACGCTGTATTTCATTCGAACATATGTGTAATTATTTGTGACACCACCCAATTGCGCAGCAGAGCCCTTGAAACACGATACCAGTCACACGTTTAAACTAGCTAAACACAACATTACACTAAGTGCTCGTTAATTGGGTTTTAATTAGTTAATTGGGTTATAATGTCTTCCCTCTGTTACACTCAGTTGAAATTGTCACTTTTGTACTGTTAAGAACGTTTCTTCCCGTTTCGGTGGATCTGTTGTTTGATATTGTTATGTTTCATGCGCTGTTGGAATCAAATCTTACAGCAGAACGTTCTAATTGTATCAAAGAACAGGTTAGAAAATTTGATTGACAAAATTGCATCACAATGATTTAAGACTCGCGAGGTTTTCATTTGGTGGCTATAAGTGGGCTATTAACCGGCTATTAGGGGGCTATTAACCGGCTATTAGAGGGCTATTTACCGGCTGTTAAAGGGCTATTAACCGGCTGTTAGGGGGCTATTAACCGGCTATTAGGGGGCTATTAACCGGCTGTTAGGGGGCTATTAACCGGCTATTATGGGGCTATTAACCGGCTGTTAAAGGGCTATTAACCAGCTATTAGGGGGCTATTAACCGGCTATTAGGGGGCTATTAACCGGCTATTAGGGGGCTATTAACCGGCTATTAGAGGGCTATTTACCGGCTGTTAAAGGGCTATTAACCGGCTGTTAGGGGGCTATTAACCGGCTATTAGGGGGCTATTAACCGGCTGTTAAAGGGCTATTAACCAGCTATTAGGGGGCTATTAACCGGCTATTAGGGGGCTATTAACCGGCTATTAGAGGGCTATTTACCGGCTGTTAAAGGGCTATTAACCGGCTGTTAGGGGGCTATTAACCGGCTATAAGTGGGCTATTAACCGGCTATTAGGTTAACCGGCTATTAGTCGGCTATTAACCGGCTGTTAGGGGGCTAATAACCGGCTGTTAGGGGGCTATTAACCGGCTATTAGTGAGCTATTAACCGGCTATTAGTGGGCTATTAACCGGCTATTATGGGGCTATTAACCGGCTATAAGGGGGCTATTGACCGGCTGTTAAAGGGCTATTAGTCGGCTATTAACCGGCTGTTAGGGGGTTATTAACCGGCTGTTAGGGGGCTATTAACCGGCTGTTAGGGGGTTATTAACCGGCTATTAGGGGGCTATTAACCGGCTATTAGTCGGCTATTAACCGGCTGTTAGGGGGCTATTAACCGGCTATTAGGGGGCTATTAACCGGCTATTAGTCGGCTATTAACCGGCTGTTAGGGGGCTATTAACCGGCTTTTAGGGAGCTATTAACCGGCTATTAGTCGGCTATTAACCTGCTGTTAAAGGGCTATTAACCAGCTATTAGTCGGCTATTAATCGGCTGTTAGGGGGCTATTGACCTGCTGTTAAAGGGCTATTAACCGGCTATTAGTCGGCTATTAACCGGATGTTAGGGGGCTATTAACCGGCTATTACGCTGATAGCCATCTAACAGTCGGTTGGCATTGTACCTACTTGCCGACTTAACGCCTTCAACTCAATGAACCGTGCGGGGGGAGTACGATCACTGCATCCTAAAGTCCTGTCAGGGCATCCAAACATATTCGCACGATAATTAAAACGATAATGAGCAATAATTAGCAATTGTCACTGAAATTACAAAGGCTGTGTCACTTTGTTATCGTGAGTAGGTTTGACGAATGATCTCAATGCTTACAACCTTTCACTTAATTACACTGCTGAGAAATATATATATCTGCAAACAAACAGGATTTAATTTAAACACATATATTTATATATATCAAGTGTTAATTGGGAGAAATGCGGTAACCTTGGCAGCACCTGGTAGTCTTGTGGTTGCCATGTGGTTGCCATGTGGTTACCACGTGTTACCCTGTTTTTTATCACGTGACATTCTCAATTTGACTTAAAAACGCTTCATTACACACTCAGTACAGTCCGGCCTATTATTATAAAATCCGGCACCGTTTTCTCTCTCTCTCTCTCTCTCTCTCTCATTCTCTCTCTCTCTCTCTCTTGCATCAAATTATATGAATATATCCGTGTTGCATTTCACTTCACATCATTAAGATATTTAACAGTGTGTAATATCAAGATCGTGTTGTTATTAGGGAGGATAATGTATTTACTCAATATCTGCTCGGATCGTGTCGCTAGTCATTGCCGAACATTATTTCCCAACACTTGTTGAATGTAATTTACTTATCTTAAGTGTAATTTACTTATCTTTATTACCGGCATCAGCTGTACGTTCCTTCCTTTTCTGTAAAACTTAATTCCTTTGAACATTCTAGTCTCACTTTCTCCGTGCTCAGTTTTGTAATTTCATACATTTTCGTCGATATTTTTGTACTGAGAATGACATTTGACGAAGTTTCCACCTTTCAGAGCTGGGATGTGTAATTAAAGAATTACATAATTGTTAAATAACTTGATCTCATGCTGGTATAGCCTTTCCAGTTGTTGTGCAGGAAGTTACTAGTAACCAGCTCATAATACATACCTCGTTGTGTATTGTGTGGGATATTTTAAATAGTCATTATTATTATAACGAGTTTCATCTTATAATATAGTCATTATAACGAGTTTCATCTTATAAAATAGTCATTATAACGAGTTTCATCTTATAAAATAGTCATTATAACGAGTTTCATCTTATAATATAGTCATTATAACGAGTTTCATCTTATAAAATAGTCATTATAACGAGTTTCATCTTATAAAATAGTCATTATAACGAGTTTCATCTTATAATATAGTCATTATAACGAGTTTTATCTTATAAAATAGTCATTATAACGAGTTTCATCTTATAAAATAGTCATTATAACGAGTTTCATCTTATAAAATAGTCATTATACCGAGTTTTATCTTATAAAATAGTCATTATAACGAGTTTCATCTTATAATATAGTCATTATAACGAGTTTCATCTTAAAAAATAGTCATTATAACGAGTTTCATCTTATAAAATAGTCATTATAACGAGTTTCATCTTATAATATAGTCATTATAACGAGTTTTATCTTATAAAATAGTCATTATAACGAGTTTCATCTTATAAAATAGTCATTATAACGAGTTTCATCTTATAAAATAGTCATTATACCGAGTTTTATCTTATAAAATAGTCATTATAACGAGTTTCATCTTATAATATAGTCATTATAACGAGTTTCATCTTAAAAAATAGTCATTATAACGAGTTTCATCTTATAAAATAGTCATTATAACGAGTTTCATCTTATAATATAGTCATTATAACGAGTTTCATCTTATAAAATAGTCATTATAACGAGTTTCATATTTATAAAATATCCTTGAAGGAAGGTCATCATTGTAACGAAAGCTGTGTAAGACTTATCCCGCACACACACATAATATTAAATGTGTGCCGAGATGTGATACTGGATACGCAAGACGCTATAATACATAATATTACATGCTACAGTGCAGTTTATAACATCGCCAGATCGAATCAATTAGGTAATAAAAGGAGTTGCAGTTTGGGTTGGCTTTACAGTTTACCCCTTTACCTCTTTACCGTACTGTCACTTTAGTGAAATTTTCATTTTAATACAGAGCGTCAGTTGTCTCTGGTCATTTTTCTGCCGAACAGTTTACGAATCGTGATGTTAATTGCACTATTCTTAAACATGACAAATGGCTTTTTGCTGAAATCTGTGATTTCCCATTAAATTAAATACTTTACATTCTAGATTCGGCTACATCTTCCATATAAATACCGCTAATAACTGTTCACTACAGTCCATATGATTATTTAATGACCGTTATTATACCTTTACACTAAAATTACATATCACGTAATAATGTGCATAATTATTTATAATTCTATAATTATTAGGTTAATTATTTAGTTGATTACTACAGATATTTACTTCAGCCGTCACGTGGAGTAAAGAGGGGAGCAAGAACAGAAAACAGTACTATGTCCAGCACAGGTACGTTAGATTATATCTCCATTGTTTTCGTATTTCGTACACTATCAAACAAATAACGATTTTAGAAGAAAATGGAGCATTGCCATATATAGGCATTGAGAATTTCCATATCTAGCCATTGATCATTACCATGTAAAGGAATAAGGTAAGACCATGTATGGTTAATTTGTTCGTTAGTTTTTATCAAAAGACAGGCTACCCATTAAATTTTAATGTTAAAGACTCCCCATCTGAATGGAGTGTTTGTGAGTTTGTCTGTCAGTTTGTTTGTAGTCACATGCCGGGGCTCGTGTCTAATAATACAACAGTACTGTATTTACTATGTTCAGTAATTAGGTTAAAGCAGTGACTGCGCCTGGTGTCACGTGAAACGCACATGTTGCCATGACTACACATCACCTGACCGCTTTCCGCCTTCCTGATTGGTTCACAGTTGCATCCCCGTGATTTCATTGGCTGTCGTTGTGGCAACCGGCGCAAGGCTTGATTGGCGCATGCTTTTCCACAGCGTGCTACTAGTGTTTTAGTTTTACAGCCTACGATTTAGTACACTTTGTATTTTGTACTCATGTTAGTGTGTATATATTATAGATTAATAGTCGTTGCTATGCCCACTAAATAGAACATATCACCTCTCCATCATGGCTGTTAAAAGTGAGTACCCTTCAGTTGCTAGCTTTCCGTAATTTACATGTTGCACATACATAATCAACCAATAAAATTGCATCAAAATAAAGCAAATGATGCAATCTTCAGTCTTATAGAAGTTTTGAATACATTCTTTATTCTGCTTAAAATATTCTGCTTTTCTTCTGCTGACAGAATCTTGATACCAAGACAGTAGCTTGTCCCCAAATTTGACACTGAGTAACAAATCAATAGTTGCGATACTCTTCATGTATTCAATATCCATGAACTACATACATACGACAGTTTCAAGTGCACTGTAGCTTGTGTCGGCACGCACGAATTTCTCAGCGTTGTGCAGTGAATACACTCCGCTCCGATATACTGTATTATATAAACTGCTCGTTCAGTGGTGTTTTTAAAGTAAGCATGTTTTCGAAAATATAGACCGATGTTTTCTCTTTTCTGGTACATTTTCGATTGAATTGTTTGTCTTCTTATAATCGCAAGCCATTCAAAGCTCTGTTTGCTTGGCCCATCGTCGTGATCGCAGATTGAGAGGCAACATTGGGTACGGACAATTCTCGCAAATGTTGTGATCCCACATCTGATAATTTGTATTGCAAAATGTATAAAATATACAACAATTAAGCGATTCGGCAACCACCACTCATAAATGTTGCCTCTGATCGCAATCTGTTGTTTATATACCATACTACAATTTTCTACTGACGTCAATCTGAACGTGTTGCACCCAATTATAATGAATTAGCCGTGCTACAGGCCCACCAGATACCACACTTGATACACGTCACGCCTTAAACGGATAATATCTCGATGTTGTCAGACTCTGTAAATAGTAATCGTCCCTCTGGTCCCTCTGGTCCCTCTGGTCCCTCTGTTTCCCAGACGTCCCTCTGTTTCCCAGACGCCCAGGAGTTGCGTCACCCTCTCAAATACTAATTCTATTGATATAAACAAATGAAAACAGTTTCCCGACGACACCAGATAATATCATCCCTTATTTATAAACACAAACATCAGTCCCTGCCAATCCCTCACCGCTCCGGGTTGATCCAATTTCTCAATTTGATATGTGATACATGTTTATCGGCCGAATTTTGTTTCACGAGTCCCCGTGTTTTGTGGCAGAGAACCTCCTCTCACTCTCCCACTGGAGACCGTGCCCTCCTGCTGCTATTTATAGAAATGATCGAGGATTGTGTACTAGTTTCATGTGTTTCTGTTCACATAATATTATCATGAACTTTTTGTGGGATGTCGCGCGCATATTTTGATTTAATTTAATAACAAAGATGGGACACGTTCGAGAACACCTTGTTTAAAGATCATTGTGCTTAGTTTCACACAAGTTACACTATATTATGTGATTCATTTAATATTAATATCGGCACTTCAATACAAAGCGATGATCGTTTAGCTTTGCCGATGATGGATGACTAATGCAACTGTTCGATGTACATTTTGTGAGAGGTAATAGTTAATAAGAGAGTTGACTTGCACTGATTTATAATTTACAGATCATGTCCAATATTTCAAATTTATAAAGGTAATTACATTAAGAGTCGACAATGTTGACTGTTGTCCACAAAATTTGATGACCCACTAACTTTGTGTCTCGTTTACCGTGATCACTTAAATAAAATCAAAAATTTCTTTCCTTACACAAAGATGTAAGGAAATCTGATTTGCATTAATTTAAGTATGCGCACAAAGTCTCTCACTTTCAAAGTCTCCAAAGTCTCACAAAGTCTCTCACTTCCAAAGTCTCAGAAACTCTCTCACTTCCAAAGTCTCAGAATGTCTCTCACTTCCAAAGTCTCAGAAAGTCTCTCACTCAGAAAGTCTCAGAAAGTCTCTCACTCTCAAAGTCTCACAGCAGCGCATTGCTCATTGCAGACAAATACTGGCCATTTAATTAGAAACTGTGCGTGTTGAATATCCATAAGTGTACAAAGGCAATCATTGTCACCACACGCATTTCTCGGTTTCAATAATCGTAAATAGATCTTTCAAATTGGCAACAAAGTGATATTCTCCCTACATTTCCCAGGCCAGAGCGATGATAAATGCTTCCTTTCTGGTTAATGAGTATAAGCTGTTCCGTTGAAAATAAAACTACCTTGCGACTTAATTTGTTAAAGTAATGATGTTAAACGCATGTTGTGAATATTCGCGATATTGTGTATTATCATTTATCATTTATCCCCTGAGACCTAATATTGTGTATTATGATAAAGTGAGACCTAATAATATTGTGTATTTTAATAAAGTGAGACCTAATATTGTGTATTTTAATAAAGTGATATACTTCCACGAATTATAACTTATTCAATAAAATATCAGATATAATTTAAGCGGGAGTTATTGTGAATAAAGCTGCCAGTTCAAAACACCATGTGATCTACTAATTACTAATTACTAATTAGTTCTTACTAATTACTAATTACTAATTACTAATAGACTGTTTGTTTCAGGTGGTGTTAGTGGGAACTCCTTGGAGGATGTCAGTTGTCCTAGCTCCCCTGTAATGAGCGACTCTTCTGAAATCAGTCCTCCAAGACACGTGAGTCTCCTTTCTGGGTATCTCATACACAGTAACTTTAGCAAGTTACTTTAGCGAACCCTCGTATTCAATATGCATCAGAACAGATACTCCTATCTGATCGCCAAATCATAATTCTAAGTACATTATATAATAATAGTTCGGTCTAAGTTGCTTTATTAAATCTTGACTGACTTCCTACTTCTACTTCCTACTTCTACTTCCTACTTCTACTTCCTACTTCCCACCCCTACTTCCTACTAATAGTTGTGTTTTCAGAGCACGTCAATATCCTCGCTCCCGGACCTACCCTCCAGTATAGGACGCAGTAGGAGTGTGGCCAGCAACTCCTCCGACCACATCCTCACCACCCTGGACAGACCACGTACTCAGTCCTTTGCTGGTACTCCCATTAGACAGGCCTGGTTACAGGTAACTTGTTCGGCTCATTGGTTTTTGAGTATCTTCGTTTAATCCTGAGTAGATATTTGTTTAGTTGTTGTATTATGATGTATCATGATATCCAATATTCATGTTCGATGATTTCATGTGTTCGATTGCATTCCATTGATGATCTAGATAAAGTCATGAGACGATATGAAGACCCAAATAACATGAACTTGAGCTACAAACAGTCTCAGACTAAAACATATCATCACGTGACCTAAAATCATCTTGCCTCAGGTGTGTTGTTACGAACGAGACGCTCAGACCGGTAACTTCCTCATTGACAAACACAAAGTTCAGATAGACGGCAAGTTCCTCCATCCGGAACTGAACAACGACCCTGAACTTTACAGGTACGTATCTTGATTAGGTATCTCTTTTAGAGATATTATCTGCTTTGTACGTGATCTGATGTGTAAAGTTTGACTTTACAGATAACAACAAACATCATGATTAATGACTCCCGTTTAAACACGAAACTGTGGATAAATACTCGGGCATATTTGTGATGAATTACTAAGACTTCTGAGAGGCTAGAAGTGCGTACTTATATTCTGTGCACAATGAAATAGTTGTAATTACAGTGGTAGTGACAGCTATTGGCTCGTGTCAACAAATTTATTGTTGTGATTTGTGTTTGAATATTTTTATATAGAATAAGTCAACTGAATAAGTCAATTTTCTTGGATAGCAACTTTATTTAAAATGTTGAATTCCGCCGTATTGATATCATCAACCCATTGATATCGTCTACCTTAGTCGGTAATATTATTTGGGGCCTAATTTGGTCCTTTTCGGGCCAAAGAACCATATTTATAACAGTCCATATTTTTACCCCCCATAATTTAACCCCCCGAGTCAAATTTTGATGTTCCCTTTGGTATATCAATCATAATATGCTTAATGTTTCTTTCATTCACGTCCAGAAGTATGCTCACGTTATTGTTTGCTAGATTGAAGCTAGTTCTGGTTCAAAAAGTCAGATTTGTCTACGATTCCCCCCATCCTTTCAATTTGAGTGGTTAACTAGGAACAATTTCAATCGGATATCTAATGAAAATAATATTAAATTTGGTGTGAAAGCGGCAATGTGGTTATAATTGCGGGAAAAAAAAAGTCGCAGTTAAAATTGTGGGGTTCGAATTCTTTTCGGTCCAAAGAACCATGTTTATAACAGTCCATATTTTTATAATATTACCGACTAAGGAAATCAGCAATTTAAAAAATATATAATTTGTTCAATTAAGATTACCCGTCAGGATATCGTTAACTGGTCTTGTTAACGAGGAGCGGCTTCCCAAAACAGAGAAGATGTTGCCGGAGATAGGAGACGGAGTTATCATATCACGTGACCGGGCCACGGGGGATGTTACCCTTACTAAACTCTGCCGTAAAGACGTATATTTGATGGTTAGTGTTTTATTTCTTGTAGAAATGTTTTTTTTAACGTTTGTAAAAGTTTTGTTTTCTGGATATTCTGATCCGGCTTCAGCCGTTTATTTGTTACATTTTATCTTTTGTGTCTTCTGAAACTTTGAATATTCAATGTGCCAAATAAAGTACGTTACTAAGTTAAGGGCAATTAGTTAATATGTTCTGTACAAGTTGACGACCTGGCACGCATTCCAGAAGCTACATAATGTACATCTTGGCTGGCTCTCAACAACACTCCACATTCTTTTACATTATCACTTGATATTCCTCAACTGTTGAACAAATATTTACAGTACTATTTCACATGACACAGTCGTAGCCAAACGGAAATGCCACTCTGCACACCGTGCACTTTTCCTTGCACTAAACAATCTCACACATAATATTACCCGATCTTTGCAAATCTTAATCCAATAGGGGCGCATTAATATCAGACACGTGCATTAATATCAGACACGTGCATTAATTTCAGACACGTGCATTAATTTCAGACTGGCCAGCTTATTTCGTTGCCGGGGTTATTAAAGAAGAGTGTGCTGATAAGTGCGCGTCCATCCTGGCTGACATAACATATCTCCTGGTCTTACCTGTACTAAATATAGCTATTGCATAACATACCTTGGTAATCAAAACACTGTGAGCAATCGAACGCCTTCTGCGAGTGGTATAGCCTGTTGAGTGTAGACTGTAGACTGTAGCTCTATCTTCATCAAGATTTTTGTATGTCTTAAAATGGATTAGATAGATGAATAGAAAAGTTCCAATATGATTTGTAATAATAGGTATCTAATATGATAAGTCGTGTGTGTTGATTAAATCACTTATTTTCCAAATTAGTTGGGAAATGTGCCGACCTCTGGTTAAGTCATGAGATTCCTTCAACAAGAATAGCACAAACTATATATTATCAGAGGACATTTAACATATTTTGTTAACATGGCTTCGCAACCAAATCTTGGGAAAGAGCCAACTATATTTTGTAATAATAGTCGCCTGTGGCACGTACACGTCGCCTGTGTACGATATGGTAAATTGGAGAGTAACAAATTTGTTGAATTTCCAATAAACCCTGCAAGACAGTCACTCTATTCTACGAGATATAGGATATCGTGTTAATCTTTCAGAAATAGAAAGTGCTCGTATATAAGTGGTCTCTATAACATTCTATTCACATTTGTCCCAATTTCGTGCAGGATATTGTATTGGTGACCTTACAGAGAATACCAAGTGTGTCACAGAAATAACGAGTCTGTAATATGTTGAGAATTAATTGTGTCAGTGAAATTATTGTTAACTTTATCATCATGTAATCCGAGCCGATTTATTAACCCTGAGAAATCATAATAAGGCATCGAAAACGACACATTCTCCACTTCACCCGTCACTGCGATAAGACAATCAGAAATTACTCTCCAGACGACCAATTAATATTTGTCTTGGCCAATAAATATTTGTCTCGGCGGATAATTTAACAATTTAGCTGTGAGCTACAGTTAAATTGCTTGTCTGTGAGCTCATAGATGTCTTAGTAAGCAAAGTAAAGCATTCTCGTCTCGGGAAACTAAACATGAAGTACTACACGTATATTTAAAGATGTAATGTATCGCACGGTACTTGGTGAGCTGCATCTGTGAGTGTGATGGTACACGAGCATAATGATTAATTAATATCACAATATTATAGTGGACTGAAGTTTATTTTCATGTGTGATTGAACAGGTATTGATCGCATAATTGCACATTCCGTGTATACCCGTACATTAATTATGTACATATTATCATACAGTTTGCAATAAAACGAGTCAATTTTATAGTTTTTGGGGAAATTATCCGGGTCTAAAAGTGTAAAATGTTTAAACTTTTGTCCACACACAATTTATAAGTATCACATTTTTAGCTTTGTTATCTCCGCTTTAAGAACACACACGTCATATTTTATGTACTGCAAACTGTTTTCCGGAAACATTCCAGATAAAACACCTCTCTCTTCAGAACGACAATTTCCTGGCGCTGAAGGAAGATGAGAAATGCAAGGGAAAACATGAAAAGCTCGAACAAAATACCACCTACACGATATTTAACAAACAAAAGTTTGTGGAAGATGTCCGGAATAGTGCCATCGACCTCACCAAGATACATACCATCGGACAGGTATGTCAGGCCGAGGGTTTAATTAGTTTTTAATCGAGTAATTAATTGTTCATTTATTAGCTTTATCTATTCGATTCTTAGTTAGATAATTGACTTCAGTTTAACTTATTGATGAATTGGTTAAATAATTCATAACAACCATGTAATGTGTCATACAGTGGTAGTGCTGGAATATTCGCAACTTTAAAACTGCCCCACTTATTAAACTTTAGTGGGCCCACGTGCGTATTAACTCTGCATAATTAAAATTATACGTGTAACATTGCCGTTTGTTAAGTTACTTTCATTTTATGTCCTCGGACATAATTATCCGACATGATTATCCGACATAATTAATGTTGGCAATTTTAACACGTTTCCAAGTAGTAAAATGTCTGCTGTCACGCGAGCCTGTCAAATTACATTCATGGTGTAACTGTGTAACTTCTTCAACAGGTGGCGATATCGTTCATAAAGATAAACGGTAACTCAGTAAAGGGTGTTCCTTGCTGGATTAAAGTGCAGTGTCTCGAGGCTATGAACCTACTTAAAAGTAAGTTTCATACTTATTTTTTGTTGAATTCTATCAGTTGTTTCGTTTAACTGCGGTTCATTAATGATGTGTACTGTGTGCAGATTGGATGCCATTAATCACAATCTAGGAAAGCATGCAAAAAATTTGTTCAATGTGCATTGTTGTTTTGATTGATGTTTATTTCGCATCATGATACAAATATTGTACTCCGTGGTAACCATCGCGCGTGTCGCTGATATTTACAATCATGCTCCTTCCGTAAATGTTTGGAGAACTTGGCAGAAAAATATTTCGATCGTGCAGAGTTTTGCATGGCTCAGCATATTAGGGCACATAGTTTAGTACTAGGTCAGAGCTAAATTCTTGATGCCAACGTTCAGTGATTTAATACTGGAAAAATTCCACACTTGTCATATAACGGCACGTAGTGATTGTATTGAATGCTGTAAATTTGTATCGTGTCGCACAGTAGTCGTAAAACCCCCCGCATGCCACAACTTATCAAGTCACAAGTGTTGAGGTATCGTATCGCGAGCTAGTCTTCGCTGGTGCTGTTTAATAGTTCCCCATGTTTGCTGATCACCCAGAATAATGTGCCAGCAAAACAAAACAACAAATTAATTATCTAATTGAGTGTATGATGGCGTGCCCCAGGAATAAAGCCAGAGACAAGAAGAAGGCTCAATACCATAGCCGAGTGTTGATAGATCTGACTCGATCAGTGTACTTCGCTTCGTGTAATTATATACTAATGAGATTAACTGAACTCTGAAGAGATTGTCGAGTGACACAGATAGCAGTCCTGACACATTCTTCTCATATTTCTAGATTGTTCCTTCTTTTTTTACACTGAGATACACTTCTATGTTCCACGTGATAGACATTCTATTTTGATAGAATGTTTGGAGGGTTCTATTACTCTTTCTATGTCTTGAGCTTGTCTCGCAGCCTAACATTTTTTTCCTTTTTGAATTCCAAGTTTTTCTGTACATCACTGATTTTCTACTTCTTTTGATCTATGATTTGTGTGCGAGAAAGCTTATTTACCTCAACAACTCATGTAATCATCAAACTATTTGTCTTAAATTTGATTCTTGTTAAGACCACACTAGACTGCATTAATTAATATTTATCCAATTTCCAGCCTTGAAATTATGAATTCTCCTCAACATTAAACGCAGGGAAATAAACATCTTATATATTTCAGGTTTACTGGCAGGATCCACATCAGAAGAAAGAGAATGGCTGAGAAAACCCAGCTTGGATTGCGCGCAATCGCCACGTCGTGTCAGCAAAGCTCGTCTCTCATTCGGTAAAAGTCTCAGCAAGGGCTCGCTCAAAGACTCAAAATCCTCCGTAAACTCATCAGACTCGGGCAACACGCCCATACCACGTACCAAGTCAAAGTCTCAGATGTTCAGGAACAAGAAAAAGTCCCAAGTTAGTAACGGTGCCAGTCCCGAGCCACGGTCTAACCGGAACAGCGGCGTATCTCAGCACCTGGAGCCTTTCACGCTGAACTACGATTGTTTGGATGCAACGGAAGAGGCGCCGCCCTCTCGGGCACTGAGGGACAATGAGCTGTTCAGATCTCGGAGAATAAGTTCGCCGCCCAATAACCTGACGTCGGCAGATGTGTCGCTGCCGCTGCGGCGGGACAGTCCCAGTTTACCCAACACTTGAGGGAGTGCGGGCTGTACTGTGTCGTACTGTTCCAGTATATACGTTGCTATTTTGTAGAGTGTGGAATGTTTAACCTCACAGGGACACTCAGATCTCCAATTTTATCTAAAGTTCAATTTTCTGGATTTTGTATTCGTGACCTCTCTCTCAAAAAATCAAAATTTGAAATTCTTTCAAATCATTTAAGAACTCTCTGGATATTACCCGTACGGATGTTTTGTGAGTATTCGGAAATATTCGGGACATCGCGAAAATGTTATGATGTTTATCATTCTGGGTTGATGTTAAAACTTTTTTTACTTTTGATATCTTTCAAAAACTTTTATATATTATTCTGTTTTGTGTCTTTTCGTTGCTAAACTGTCTAAATTTAATTTCACTGCTTAACAGAATTTTGTTGGTACACGGTGATGAGAGTATAGCACCAGTTTTCGTTCTAGAATTCTTGGTTGCCATGCATTATATTCAACAAAATTAACATTTTTCAAGATTTTTCTTCGATCTGAGCTATATTGTTAAAAGATTAACTTACCGATCATGGAATGTGAACTGTTACATATTCGCGTGATCCATTATTTACTAAGATCGATTCATATTGTTTTGCCGAGATAATATGTTTCGAAGGAGATTATAAGTGATGAGATTATAATAAGCGATATTAATAGAAATGAGAAAATTGTCGACTTTAAGTTATATATACTGTTAACAATAATTGCTTGTCATTAAATTCCTCTGTAGTCTCTTGTCAAAGGTTGACGGTAGGAAATTATCTCGGGCTTCAGAGATAAGGAAAGGCTGAAAGGTACCCATGTAGCCTTTGTTCCATTCTAATTATTGCTTGAATGATATCACTGGGAAAATTTTGTTCTAGTTTTATCGCCATGAAAGTAGTGGAGAATGGGATAAAAGAAATGACTTGATAGCTGAGCTATGAGCACATTGTGATTTGACAGGTGCGTCCTAAATGACATCCGGGTAATAATTATCCTGAATTCCGCAAAATTTTAAATAAACAAATGGACGGCGCATGGTGAAAATATTTACGAAAGACATCTATATTGATCGTAACTTGTTTGCGCGCGCACTGCACCATGGCGCGCTGCATGCACGGAGAATGCACGCTGATCCAATGTTTGGAGACGTATGGGAAAACTGTTTTGACAATGTTTCGAGGCTCACCAATATTATGAAATGTAGCCTAAATAATGCGAGACTATACTGGATGTATTATCATGGCGATAATATTTCGTCTTTATTCATTTATTTCAAATGAAAATTCAAAAAGTGTGTGAAATGAACACGATTTACCTTTGATCTGCCTATATTGATGTTAGATGCCATCCTATCCTGTCAGATTCAAGAACTTGATTCGTGACCAGCAGATCTCGTTTCAGTAGTTAGAGGCTGGATATACTGTTAATAATGTCTTGGAGCATCGTATACATGGTATATATAGTAGCCGACGAATGGATAACAAACTGTATTGCATTCCTCCGCCGAAATCTTGAAGCAGCTGGTAACGTTAATAATAATATTGTTCTTGTCCCTCCACGACTACTTGTCATCTACATTCCAGGACCCAGGGTCTCCAGAGTTAATTTCTATTATGTAAATTCAGTTTGTTTTCCATTATCGGTGGTGCCGTATGTATTTTTCACGTAATTGCCTCCAATATTGCTTAGCATCTAGAAAACCTTTTGATGTCCACATTCCATTCGTGTAGGTTCATGAAGTATTGATTGTGTTTTGAGTTTTCACTGGAAGGTCAAATATTAATTCACCGTCATAGTATTCGCAAGCCTATTTGAGCTCCTGAGTATTTGTTGGCCTACTCAGTTGTGTATACAAACCTGAGTCATTTCAATTACTGTGAGTATCAGTCATAGTTACATTTAAGGACACAAACCTGTCGATTGAAAGTTCCTCTAATCTGCCCAATGTAATACGCAATGTTTTGTATTATTTAGAAGCATAATATCTCAAACCATTCAAGCATTAATTAAGTGTGCAACAATACAGACATTCCACCAAGCTACTGTTATTATCATACTGTATGACTTCCAGGATACCATAATATGTATAGTCTGTACATAATCGGATAATATTTCAAGCATGGTAATGTGATGCCGTACATTTGGTATTCGCATGACACGTGGCTACCACATGCCTAAAAGTTTCGTTCTGCCAGGTTAAACCGCGTGTTTATTTGCGCGCATTAGAAAAGTCTCAACGCGCCTTCCTGATAACACCATCCATGATGACCCCCACGAAGATGACCCCCAACTTCGTCTTTACTTCTTTCAACCATTACACGAGTAATAAGTATGTTTAATTTCATTTTGAAGAAGCTATTAATAGACGAGGAGAAACTTTAAACTTATTATCGGGCACCGGTTAAATCTGCTACACAGTATTCTGTGCCTACAGCCTATTAGCAATGGCCATCACTCATCACACCACTTGTGATAATTGAACCCAGATAAAGTCCGTCACACTCACCTACTATTACCCACTCGATTTCAAAGAAACGCGGGAAATTTTCGGTAACATAATGTTACGTGTATGACTTGTGTAGAACTTTAACGAAGCATGCAAAGTACAGATTACTATTGCAATATGTAATTGTAATATGCGCGAATATGGTTATAAATCCTTCAGCCCCGTACGTGTTGAGTTTATGACGCAACCAGAAAATATAATAGAAAAGTACCTTAAACCTACACCATGTACAATCAGATTTATATACGGCAACACGTTGATAAGATAAGGTTCTCAGCTAATCACTAATGTATTAGCTGCACAACCTTTTAAACTAATCATAAATGTTGAGGGGATTGCGCAAGATGCCCAACTCGTTTGTTGAAATTTAATACACTACAATTTGAATTTAGGCAGTGCGTATGTGGTGGGAAATGGGAATGGTGGTTTCATGATAAGGAATTGATTTTCAATTTGTTAAGGAGACAAAAATCACACACATTTGGTTAAACAAAACAATAAGAATCACGTCAAATGAAATTAAATAGTGGGTGGAAAAATCAGAAATGTCAAACTTTGGAATTCAAATCTACTGCACTTCAAATTAAAAAGTTTGATAGTCAAGATGGCGAGATCGAGGACAATGTTTTTTAAGAATCATTCTTTTTAAACACTGCAAACCTGGATTCAGATAAGTTAACCGAGACTAATCTGTAAATGTCTACAATCCTATTTTTAACGAAATAGGTTGAAAAATCTAAGAAAAGTAAAGTGTATCGCATCTACAGTTTGCTGGATAGAAAATCATTCGTAAAAACCCTTACTTCTTAGAAAGTTATATAATAAAAGTTTTCAAATGTCTTTATCAGAAAATCAATGCTCACTGGAATAAATAGTCACTAAATGTAACATTATACATGTAATTATGGTAAACACTGCTAGATTAAACTTGTTGGTGAAATTGTAATTATAATTACTATGTGGCACCTATATTATTACTAATTAACATTGAATAGTATAATCTCAAACAGCTCTCCCAAGCAATGTCATATATAATAAAATCATATGGCTAGATTCTCAATAATTCATTATATGATCAGTATAAAAATAAAATCTAAGTATAGCACATAATTACACTAATTTATGAGGGAAAAATTAAAAGTTATAGTTTATCGAATGTTTCTTACGCATTCATTGGTGTCGCGTCATCGGTGATTTAATTGCATTATTCATGATATTGCTGCTCAATCGGATGGAATTATTACGACTTTTAAAATTAAAATTATATATTTGTCATCACCTCTTTCCTTCATTACAGTTTGTAAGTTATGCGTTTAGTTTCAAGTTTCAACAGTATATTACTTAAGCATCTCGATCAAGATAAGAACAGCAGCAAAAAGGCAGATTTAAGAAAACCTTTAAAAAACCAATGTTACACTTTCGAACACCCACCAAAACTTGATATATCATCGACCCAATGACCCAATGACCCAGGGCTTCACGATCAATAAATGTAAAACATTTCAGAACTCCTACATTGGGGCTCTATTCACTGTTTAGTTGGTGAGGGTGGGTTATCAAACACAGTATTCACATGTGGTCGTTTGGGCGTGGTTGCCTGTTTGCGCTTGAGCGTGCCGCGCGGAGTGCGCAGTTGGATGGATCGCAGTGCGTCGAAGAGCTGATCAAAGAGCTGCTGGTAACTCAGTTTAGTCAGATCACCCTCGTCCTGAAGAGTGAGAGGGGTTGGTTAGAAAATAGGATGTAACTCAGAGAACGAGCAAGGAATTCTAACATTTACAAGGTTTCAGAGAATCCTTAGGTAAAAATGCAGTTTGTTTAATTCGCAATAGTTTCTACGAAGTAATTGCCAAATTGGAATAGAACTTTTACTGTTTCTGGAAAAGAGAGATAACATCGATTTTTGCTGTTTTTAAGAAAAATATGTAATATGCATCGTGGTGTTGAAAACTTTCGATTTCTAATAATTTGTCAACATTTCCGGCATTAATTCATGGTAAATTCCCTGAACTATGTAGTGCGGCTGTACGCTGAACTACATTCCTTCGCCGGCCGCTTCCAGTTCTGGTATGTTTATCAGAATACGGAATAATGTGATGAATCATGCAATCAGAATTCCAGAGGATGATAGAACACTGTTAGTCATATGAAAGTATGCACAGTGCACACCCTATCCAAGAATAATCGACTGTCTTCAAAAGTCCAGATGGAAATCAGCCCACTTCCTCGTATAGCGGGAAGTTCACAGAATGTACTCGACCCATGACCATAATTCACTTTTCCAATTTCAAGCAGAAAATTCTCCTGTCTGTAAATTATCACAGGACGATAATAAACCAAAGTTGCGTAAGTTTCTGCGACCAATACTAGCACCCAATGTTACCTAATACTAACCAACCAGTATCACATACTGTTATAGTCACCAGATAGATTATAAGATTTTTTAAACATAAGTAGTCCGTTACATAGCGACATTGTTAAACAGATATAATCTAGTTACCAGGTACACTCAGTTACTGACAGAGCTGCAACCCGACACGATACAATATCTTGCTTGACAGTGAGTATACCAGGGTGGTTACTACTCACACAAAACATCTACACATTCATTTTCCCTTCGCTGCTACACGGTTACCAATTTGGTAACTTTGTAGCAGCGAGTGTAACTAACCAAGCTACAGTGTTATAATACAGTTATATGTTGTAATGTAGGCGAACCAATGTCTTGATTGTTGAGAGAGAAGTAAAGAAGCCATGGTAAGTAACCGTCTACAACTAGTAGTATTATAACTAGTATTATTATACAGTTCAGCAATGTGGTGGTATGAGCTGAGACACTTCCGGAATCTGGAGTTACTTCCGGAATCCGGAGTTACAATGCGAGGTGGTCCACTGTGATTTATTCTGCTGTACAGTGTACGATTAGCTTACTGGACACGGTAAAGCCGATAGTATTAGTCAGTATATATGTCTCATTATAATATTAGAACACACAGAGTAATTGAGCAATAGCATTCCTTTATACAGATCTAGCTGTACCGTGTTAAAATACAGAGATGTAATGTTTAATTAATGTAATGTTTAATTAATGTAATGTTTAATTAATGTAATGTTTCAAGTTATGTAATATAACGTTAGGGGCCATGCAGGCTGTCTTGTAACATTGTGTCCTGCAGTATACACCCTCTGTAAACTAACTTGCTAAATAATACAAACAATTTGTATACTTTAGAATTGTTGACTTGAATGTTTAGGGGTTGCATATCCGTAGTTCGTACTGAGTGGAAAGTTTTAAACAAAATATGGAAAGTTTTAAATTAGCATACTGATCCGTTACGTAATGAGGAGGATATGCTGATATTTTCGGTGTATAAATATAATTTCTATAGTCTCTAGTGTGAACTAAACTCCTGAGTTGAAATGTTCCTTCACAAAACACTATTTTAGAGTGGTTCACAAGCACTCATATTATACTCAAAATCAAGCTTACGACTCGAGTCACAATTCCCTGGATATTCCTTCTCATTCATTCTCTGACTGCAGGAAATACTATATGGTTGTTGTGATGTTCCTGTTTTTATGACGCACTATGACAAGTGGGTTAACTCCCTTTCTACAAGTCTAAAGAATGCAATTAAACCTTTTAGACCGACGGTTCTGTGATAAAAGTAATGTGAAGAATTGGTAATTTAGCACAATTAGTTGACAATTAGGTGACGAATGTTAACATCCAGGAAAACAATTTGTGATCCCGCTACTTTGTTGTAACATGATGACTGGTAGACAGGAATTTCTCGAAAGATGGCATTACATCGTCATGAAGAAATTTACAGTTTATAGTCAAATAACTGAGTGGCGGATGTGGCGGTAGTTAAGCCGGATGAGTGTAATATTCCCCCATCCCCACCCCACTTGATATATATTCTGATGCTATGAGTTATGACTATGATATGATTCTATGAAATGATTCTAATTATTCCATCCTTAGGTTTATTTTGACTTTTGATGGTCAAATCTTGTCTTCATTGTTCATCTTCCAAATTCAGTCTTCCAAAATCAAGAAATATAACATGGTGTCAGACATGCCTCAATTCGACCCATCGAAGAGTCCCTCTCCCCTTTTTCCTTTACTCCTCCTTCCCCCTCTCCCTCTCCCCGTTCCACTGGACCGTTAGGAATGGGCTATATCAAATCTAATCCACTGATGATGTCTCATTGCTTAGGGAACCTTTATAGAAGATCACGAATGTAAAACGATTTTCGTCAAAATTATTATCTTAAGCTTATTATATTTGTAATGCGATTTTACATTTATAATAAATTTCATTATGGTAAAATTAATATCCGGCTCACCATGGCGCCATTCGCTCCATCTTGGTGATAACTTAATAAATCAAGTGATAACTTAATAAGTATTTTAACATGATCTCTAAGTTTAACATTATCTTACTCTGTTAATGCTTCTTGTTACACTACATTCAACTATGCGTGGTTCCTTACCGTGTATACAGTAAAAACAAAGAAAATAGCACAGCTAGGAGCCTTTAGTGTACGCATGCAACAATTATAGTGATATTATACAAAGTTCTTTGTTCCTTAGGCTGTTTGTAATCGTCGTTCGGGAGCTTGGAAATATCTTGGCGTACAAGTTTATCAAAGCAGCGGCCGGTTATGTAAGAACAATAGCATACATTAGATATATAGACATAATTATTAATTATACTCAACATACTAAAACCTCATTTTCATATTCCCTGACTTATCAAACGCACCGACCATAGTCTAATTTCTGAATTACGGAAGAAATTTGTGAAAAGTGTCCAATTTAACTGACTTTTATGTTTACCAAGTAAAGATCATTTTATTTTACCAAATATTTTTATTTTACCAAGTTCTTTATTTTACCAAGTAAAGATTATTTTAATCAATCGGACATTATATAATTTGCGGTTCAGGAACAGCAATCCATTATTAGTAAACTATAAATCACTTTCAAACACCAGGTTACTTGTGTTACCATGGTTACTTGTGTTACCATGGTTACTTGTGTTACCATGGTTACTTGTGTTACCATGGTTACTTGTGTTACCATGGTTACTTGTGTTACCATGTAAATCTGCAGCAGTCAGTATGTGGTGGCTACAACAACCACTACAAGATTAAAACACAGGTCCTACCCGCGTCATATCACCAAGTCGTCATTATACCATATTAAAATAGCGATCATATCTCTAAATGTGTGTTGATGACTCTACCATTGTGTTGTTCAGAGAGTTGTTCTGAGTATTGTTCTGAGCTCTACTGCAAGCACACAGCTAGACAAATGTCTTACAATGGATTACTAAAATAAGAGTGATCCAGGTTAATTGATTTTACACAAAGTGCGGTATTGTCCGCACTTTGTTATACTCAGGTCCAGTGGGCGGTGTCCTTTATCTCTTTATTGTTATGGGATATGTAGTATGTGACTGATGCTGTGTAGCGATGGAGTTGGGACAAATACTGGATTACTCAGTATAAAAATATCAGCAAGACATCGTTCAACTAAGGGAGTGTTCACATATAACGTAAACCAGCCTAGGAAGGTTCAGAAAAACTTACACCAGTTTAAATTCTACACAATAGCTATGTGTAAAATGACCTACGAAGAGGGGACGGGGTATAAAATGGCAAACATTTGGCTTATGTTTAAATATGTGAACAGCCCCAGAGGTATTTACTGTTTAAGGGAATTTGTTCAGCCTCTAACAATGACAAGATAAGACCAGGACTACGACTTCCAAGACGAATGGTGACTTTGCCGTAATGGCGAGGCTTTACAACCTGGCAAGCAAGCAATCGTACTAAACACGGACACATTCTTAATAAGCTATTTATAAATGTGAGACTAGGTCTGTATCATGATGTATAGATTATATATAATACTTATAAATAACATGGTGAGTGTAAGTAACCTGTTCTTGTAAGATAATGGGTTCACATGCTCCACAGATACAGTTATCACACGCACTGTTGTAGCGCTCCTGAGAGGGGAGGAGTGGTCAGTGTTAAGGTGTGGTGAAGGTATGTGGTGGAGGTTTGTAGTTACAAGGGAAACAGGGCCTAGTATTCAACCCATTTTACTGAAATGTCTAAACTCACAAGCATTGTGAAATTCATAAAATGTGTGCGCAACCTAATCGTTCACATTTACAATCTTCATCTCGGGCTTGAGTCAGTTGTCAAACCAAACAAAACGCCCGTTATAAAAACTCTTTACCTCCAAAGTGGTGAGCTTTTCCGTCAGCCACGACTCTGAGGTAAGACTCTCAATAGTACTGCACTCTGACTCCATATCCAGAGTGCTGTTCATCGTCGTATCTCCTTCGTAGGAATCTGTCTGTGGGGTGAGATTTATTTAATAGTGTAATATGTGAAGTTTATTTGTTATTGGTTTGGATACTTCCCTATCAAGGGACAGCTGATGTAGGTTATATATTAAAGTCACTATTGTGACGGTACATTAGAACTATACAGAAACAAATTGTGAAGGGCCTGAACGGAACCCCTCGGTTTCAGTTCCTTGTTTAACACTGCCGTACAGCAAGGACATCCATATACAGGTGAATTGATAAATATAAATCCATCCCGGTGGTTTCTGTTTGCACCATTCAAGTTGGCCAATTTTGTATGCAATTTTCTTATATACGATTATAATAGGAGCCGTATCAATTGATAAAAGTCTGGAAAATGACTTACCCGACAGTAATTGGTGATGCCTTCTTTGCAGTTATTGTCATTGTGCATATCTTCCAGCATTTTAACTTTACTGAATAAATCACAGTTCTCGTCAAGAAGTAATTTTAACTCTGATTCTAGGCCCCGTCTTTTTTCTTCTGACCTAAAATAGACAAATTATTCGATATTGGGAGACGTTTTAGTTTATTGACATCAGTAAAGTTGACGTAAAGTTATGCCTGACTTATGTAATACAAGTTAATGGGTTAATCTCGAAACTAACACCTAAATCGGAGATAGTTTTCAAACATTCATTAACTGTGTTACCTTGATAAGTTACTTTGAAGTTTATTAATATTGACGGTTTCTCTTCGTGGCGAAACGGGTGAAAGTGTAGCAGGGTAGGCTGATTCGTCAAGCTGTCTTTCAAGTTCGAAAACTTTGCTCTCTAGTAGTTCAGCACGCCTGCATGAGAAAAGTAGTTCAAAACTTTTATCATATCAATCAGGCCGTAGATTAATCACGTTGATTTGAAGAATTTAACAATACCTGATATCTAAATGTTTTTGGTCATATTTTTTGACATACCTGGACTCCTCAAGATAGAGTCTTTCAGTTTCCTGGGAACTCTCGCGCATACCAATAGTTAATGATTGTAAATCAAACATGTCTTTTTCTAGGTATTTTATCTTAGCCAACATTTCTGTAGACTTTTTTTCTAATTCGATCTGAAGATGAGTCATAGTTCTTAGCAGTGTACCAAAAATTAATAAAAAATTTAATACTACAATTCTAGTTTATAAATAAGTTAAGCAGCTGATAATGAACTTAAAGAATCTGGTTATATTATTGAGAGCATTTAAATACAAATGTGACAGCATTTCAGTATATGTACCTGATCTTTGGCTTTTGACTCTGCTTCTTCTCTAAGCAGATGATTCTGCTGTCGCAACATCTCAATCTCTTTGGCATGTTCCTCGTTTGTCTCCCAAAGTGTTCGGTTTTTTTCACGAATTGAATCATTTTGCAGCAGCAATTCTCTTCCAAGGGTTGCAGCTATGTGGAGCTCTGAAAAGTAAGATAACTATAAGACAAATTTAACAGTTAAGCGGTAAAAACTATAGATAACATAAAATAAGTAAATGATAAAAAGATATCAACATTTTTACAATACCAAACTTACCATTTTTTTCAACCAATTCACAATATAAACGTTGTTATCACAAATCTGTGCATTACTCCATCAAATTCACAGCACATACACGACAAAATATTGCCAAAATTCTGCATAGAAGAAAATATTAGGGAAACGAATTAATAAAGCAAACCTTCTTCAATATTGCATGAGTTCAAGTTATGATCCTTGATCACATGGTCGAATACTTTGTCAGTCTCCATACAATCTCATATCATTCCATCTTAAAAATCATGTTAAATCAATTATGAGCTTTATCGCCAATTTTAACAGTGTTCAATCAAAATTCCATTGACCAGGCATTAAAACGGCTTGGTCAATTAAGGTTCAAACTACTACTTATAGCGTATGCAAATACAATTTGAACTGGTGAACTAAGCCATGGTAAGTGGAGGTTTGACTATATCTAATAAAACGAAACAATCGCATTGTCTAATCCTCGTAACACCTCACCCCATCCACTCCAAGACTGAGCCAGCGATTTTCTGGTTTGATAAGTTTCAAAAATTCCAACGTTTCAAAAAATACTCGCCACCCAAAATGGGGCATCAGTCCATAGAATGACTACAGTATTGCTTTGAGACTCTTAAAGGTAATAAAATCTCATCCTGCATTTAATTAGGTGGTATCATAATTGGTATCATAATTGGTATCATAATTAGGTGGTATCATAATTAGGTGGTTTCATAATTAGGTGGTATCATAATTAAGTGGTATCATATTTGTGTGATATTCAGGTTGAAGTAGTAATTAAACCATGTAGAAGCATGTTCTGCATACACATCCTCAACAATCAAAGAAAGGAAAATCTAGCAAGAGATTGTAGGTTTACAACCTACCAGGACGCGCGCCGAGTTGGACTCGTCGACGGTCCAATATATGAAACAGATATTTTACGAGTATCACCCGTTCAGCAAGAGACAAAGTTCTCTTAAGATCGTAAAATTGTCTTGTCAGTCTCACTACATTATGTTCCTTTTGGAGAAAAAGGGCCAATTATGCCCATTTAGGAAACAAAGCCGTAAGAAAAATACAATTAACTATTTCCTAGCAACTTCCGTTCACAAAATTGTGTTTGATACAAAATCTGGATAGTGTATGCTACAGCCTACAACGAATTTGTATTGCGACCATAAAATTTACATTAAAAGCATTTTCTACATGTTTTTTAAATTTTTAAAATCTTGAAGGGCTTGAATCTACATTTTAAAAGTTGAGAGTAGTGCATAGTTATAAATAAAATTGTTTAACTTTTTAGATGTTACGCTTAAATTATAAGTTTATAACCTACTGTACTAAGACGCGCGGTGAGTTGCCTCGACATTCTACAATATTTTACATTTTATGTTTGATGTTGTAGCGCTATACACTACTGGGCTGCGCTATGCATTCAATAATGCTTTTTGCAACCACTTTGTTAGATCACCGAGATCGAGATGCACCACTTAACTGGGCCACGCCGAGCTGCATGTGCAAATGATTGACATCGTCAATCAATATTTTAAATAAATAGTGTACGATGTACGAGTACCATCTGTTAACTAAACGTTTAAACTACATTTTAATTCAAAGGCATCTTGATCATTGATAGTGCGCGATACCAAATACGATGAAGTACGCGACTTACCTGGTGACCCCAGGCTATTATGTTCATAAATAAAGATTCGGCGGAATGAGAGGCTGAGCGCCGCTCAGTAATACGCGACGTGACAACGTTCTAAAAAACAAAATATTTATACTGAAAGCATTGTATTAAATGAATTTTGAGGCACTTTGATTGTTATTTAAGGTTATTCAATGAAACAAAAAATTTCTATGAAACAAGAAATTTAATTTTAGCACATTTTACAGAATAAAAAGATGTAAAACAATTCATAAAATATAATGCCCATTTGGTGTTTGACTTTTTGTCCTTGACTGCTAGTTTGGTTTTGGAAGGACAGGTAACTAACGGGGCAAGGAATGCGCGTGCCTGAAAGCTTTTGCACACACCGAAACGCTAGTTCAGTTAGGTTTTTAGAGACAAGGCTCATATTAGGACTAAAAGAAATTTGTTAATAGACATTAGGGGTTCTGTTTATAGTTGTTACTATAGGTTTCAGTCTTGTTGTGACAAAAAGTCTACACTAAAACATGCTTTAGTTTATATTGTGTAACTTTCAAGGATATAAAATGTAGCTTCAAGGTGGGTATTAAAGGGCTGGCGAAAGATTATGGCCTTTGTATCAATGGTTATAATAAGCTATAAATATCTTAAACTATACAGTGCTAATTAAAAATGTCTTTATACTTCATTCTCAGATTAGATTTAGAAAATTCAAAAAATATACATTTATTTTATTAATACTTTCTCACACATTCTTTACTCACAGGACTTGACCATTGTTAATGGTCTGGCCCGGCGCGCACTTCTTCGTAGCACATTTCGAGAAGAAAGCGGCGCGCGCTACTTCGAAGAAATTTAGAAGAGTAACATCCGTCGATCACATGACAAAACTTGGAAAACAGTAGCCTAAGGGAATTTAATTGAAATGTGTGTGACCAGCCAGTTATAATGTTTGGAAAATAACATTTGTGCAGTCAAAATCTTTTACGGTCCAATCAAGCAGGGCGTGGTTATGCTGATTGGCTAATAGCGCACGTTTAAGTTTTCCTCGCAAGCACATTACACTAGTAGTAAAGTCTGGGCGGCGCTCAGCCTGTACATTGACGGATGTTACTCGTCTAAATTTCTTCGAAGTAGCGCGCGCCGCTTCCTTCTCGAAATAGAAGGGCCAGACTATTAACAATGGTCAACCTGTACACTGTCAAATTCCGCCAAATCTTTATTTTATATGTTTATAAACATTATAGCGTTGGCTGCTGGCCGGGGTCCCCAAGTATGTTTATACCTGAAGTTACAAATAATATATGACATTTTGCTTTTAACAGGGTAATTTGATTCACGATGTCAATCCTTCCCAGCTCGGCGAGGCCACTTGTCATACGTTGTATGACCCGCCGCGCACGAAGTGCGCGGCTCCCCCTGTATCGTCAGAAAGGGGTCCATTTAGTGAAACGACCGTGGGTGTCACAACGTGATACAAGAGGCCCTGTCATGTAGTGCATCGCGCTACAACAGGGTATTATACAAAATTGTTACCTAACCATATATTTAATGTGCTTATTGCTTTTACCTGGGGACCTCAGGCTATTATGTTCGGAATGACAGGCTGAGCGCGGCCCAGTAAATTGCTTATGTAAGTAAATAATTTCATTGTAGCGCAATGCGTTACTGTGCCGCGCCGCACACTCAATGAGGCTAGATCGGCGGAATGCGCTACTTTACCTGGGGACCTCAGGCTATTATGTTCATAAACAAATAGAGATTAGGCGGAATGACAGGCTGAACGCGGCCCAGTAAGCGCTACTGTGCTGCGCCGAACTGCGATGAATTGACATCGTAAATTAAATAATTTCATTACCGCCTATAGGCTGATAGCAGATTGAGATAGTGTTCACAAATTAAAACACGATAGAAGCTACGTCGGAATGATAGACTGAGCAGCGAGCGCCGCGCGCCGCCGCCCGCCGCGCCCAGTAAAAGGATTTTGGTCAGAGCAAACAAAAAAGTTGATACCTTGTCATACGTTGTATGACCCGCCGCGCACGAAGTGCGCGGCTCCCCCTGTATCGTCACCTAGTGAAACGACCGGCCGTGTGCCGTGGGTGTCACAACGTGATACAATTGATATCCTGGCCTTAATCATAAGCAGTGCAGATTGACGATGTCAATCCTTCTGCCCAGCTCATAGCGCGCGGCCTTGTATGTTTTTGGTTTATAACCGGACCTACCAAAATGCGTGTCGAGTTTAGTTGTTGAAACAAATATTTACGAGTTTTACCCTTTAATTAAACTAGTAAAATATTTGATCCAAAGAGGTTGCTCTAACCAAAGCCCTCTCGCTTGCAGTAGCGCGCGACCGCCGGAGGCGGCAAAGATATATATATATTCAACTTGTGAAACAAGCGCGTCACGCAGTACGCGTATACACATGGCTATGTGAACCAAAGAGGCAAAGACCGTCGACGGGTCCAACTCAGCGCGCGTCTGCTGTCTTGGGAGGTTATAAACCTACAATGTATTAACTATGGACGCTACTTCGCAAGATTTTATCTCGTGTCGCAATAGTTCGAGGAAAAGACGAGCGCTACTTCGGATGTCGAACTCCAAGAAATTTGGACGAGTATCCGTCAATTGTCAATGCGAAGTATAAAGTAGCGCGCCGGGCTGTCATCTAGGCAGGGTTTTTAAACCTTGCGTGCTATTTCCTCTGTACCGATTCATATCACTTTTGAATCATCCCTTTCAGATTAATGATATTGATAACACCATGAACACAATATTAATAACACCAAAATGTTGTAGCGCGATGCACTACTGGGCCGCGCATTTTCTTGCAACCACAGACGTTCACGTATGCAGATCGGCGAGATGCGAAGGATTGACACCGTGAATCAAACCAAGATGCAATTGCAAGAGAATGACCAAATTTCATCGTTGGCTTCGCCCTATGTCTGACTTTAAATTTAGTGATTGTAAAAGTAAAACCTCCTTATATTATTATTAGCATCACTGATCAATTGAAAATTCATATCTATCAGTTCAAATGTCAAAGTTGTCAGCATTGCAAAAAAATATGACTTACAGTACAAATTGAAGTATCACTATAAAAATTAAAAAGGTGTCTTATAAAGTACGGCTTCTCGTACATGCACCCACCTCCATTCTCATCTCATCATTTATGAATCATATTTATGGGTCTGGATTGAAAAACATCTGATAAAATTAGTCTGTATTACTATTAGAAAAAATTTAAAGCATAACACATAACACGATGCTATAAACTAATTGATGATAAACACTGAGCGCATAAGAATTATTGCAGTCATAAATCACGACTCACGTCTCATAATGATATTAATACAAAACTCATCCAATCACTTGATAACATTTACACAACCTTTTTTCTTAAAACTTACGAATAAGACATAACATTGTACGATAAAAAACCTCAGAATAAATCTATCCGAAGTGTTCGATAAAAATTGGTGACCTAATTACTATTAGTCTTCCTTTTTGGTGGGTTTATACATAACTAATTAAAAATTCATTATAGTTTTCGTGGCTTCTGCAGACTTACTTGTCACTTGAAAAAGATAAATTGAATGCATATTGCATACATTTATATCATATTCATTCTGTAACTGGATTTAATAAAGAAAGTAGCATAATTATTCTCACGAAGACTCTTAAAAATGTATTAAAAAGCTATGTCGGCAGAATGAATAAGATTCATCAAGCCATTTAATTGGCATGCATCGTGGATTCTCGAGTCATTTCTATGATTGAGGCATGTCTGCTTGTATAAAAGTTGTATTTGAACCTATATAGTGTAAATGTAGTGTAAATATTTCATTCTGACTCTCAAACAGCGCATACGTACCATCGATAAGGATAATTCTGTTCGGTAACTGTACATGGCGGCTCGCATAAAACTCATCGTGAAAAATCTGATAAGCTGATCAATAAAAAAGGGCTCAAGCAATCATTAATCAAGAGGTTGAACCATTGACCTTCTCGCGTCCAGATAGCGACTCAGACTTTCAGTCTCATCCCCCACACCCCAGGTACAAGCAATGGAATGAGGGATAATGTTTCCCCTAATGTCCACAACATCCTCCCCGAAGCTAGCAACCAGCATCTCCTCACCTCTAACTGGGTAGGGCACCACAACTCTCACTGGTGAGTGGTGACGACGAGCCAGGAACCTGATCTTGAAGGTGTTAGAGTCAAGTTGGAGCAACATTCCGTTACCCAGTCCCAGGAGAACACTCCTGTCACACTGCACCATGCACGTGATCCTGATGTCTAGTGGGCTGAACTCCTGAAACAAGTCAGAGTCGTAGAGGTTGAAGGAAGGTCCAGGTATGTCACGAGGAACGGAGCGTAGTGAGGGCAACATGGCGGGAAGATTTAAAGTCTTCCTCTCATCCATTTCCATACTGCTGATGTGACCGCTGGGGTTCTTTTTAAACTTGCACACGTACACGGTGCTAGCGTTGTGCAATGCCACCCAGATCGAATGGTTCATTACACATAGCTTGGTTATGTGGTTTTGGTAGAGGCCCTGCTGGTGCAAGTTCAGATCAAATGTGTAAATTTTCTTGAAGTGTTCTACTTCGTACACGTGGATTACTTGATGCGCGGCAACAAACAAGTTCTCCTTGCAGTGCGCTAGTTTTGTGATAGGCTTGGTCTTGTCCACTGTTATGACTTTCTGGTGAGAAGTAAACTTCTTCTCGATATCAGCGTCTGAGTAAATGTAGATCTGTCCGTTACCAAGTCCAATGACAAGGTAAGAAGGGTCTAGCTCCTCCATGCAGATCATTGACAGTATGTTCAAAGCAAACGTCGACTGGTTGTTACCCTTACTTTTTATCTCCGCTTTGTATTCTATCCGGTACGTTTGTGCGTTGATAACCGCGATTGTGCCTGCGGAACATCCAACAAAAACAGTGTTTTTGAGGTAACTCGTAAAGCAGATGACATCATTGATAGGTATCATAGATTTCTGAACAATGTTGAGCTCAGTCAGGGAAATAACCGCAAGTCCACTAAGATGATCTGTTTTCTGTGTAGATCTGGTCTTGACCCACAACTCCGTCTCATAATCACTCTTATTGATAACACAATACTCTTTTAGACTGACTGGTACTTTGTTAAATGGGTCGTAAACACCACGTAAACACAGCATGTCCGCTCTACTGAGAAGATCAGTGATAAGGAGAGCGCTGGGTCTATACTCTGGGTTTGGATTAACACATTGGTTCAGCAGGTGGGTCATGTCGTGCCAGCCTAACTCTTTCTCCAGTGCAGCTTTACCAAGCTGAAAAGCACCCGCCACCTGGTTTGGGAAACAAAGCTCACTCAGAACTCTCTTGCCGGTTAGAATTTCTCTAATTAGAATTCCGAAAGAGAAGACATCGACACTGCTGTCGTAACGTTGCTTGCCAGTTATGTTGGGAGCCATGTAACCGACCGTTCCCTCGTAACTCAATAGACCTTCATCCGTTGTCAGCCCAGAAACACCAAAATCGGTGAGCTTCGCATTCATTGGTACTCCGACATCCTTCGAGACAATAAGAATGTTCTGTGGTTTGAGGTCCCGATATATGACGTTATGTCTGTGGAGGTAGTCGAGACCTTCACTCACCTGAATCAGGATTCTGTGGATAAATCTTCTGGTCATAGTCTCCCGTGAGCACTTTATAAGTTTATCAAGAGAACCATACCCAGCTAGTTCCATCACCAAACACCGTGGTCTGAGCAGCACTCCTATGAACTTCACAATGGAAGGATGATCCAGGAGTCTTAGTATCGAGCACTCTTGTCTCAGCTGATAATGCGGTTGATCCTCGTAGTCATGTTCATCATCTATCATCCCTCCAAATATTTTAACCGCCACTTTGACACCCTGGAAGGTACCAGTACAAACAGCACCCTGGGTCCCCTCTCCTAAACTAGCTGTCTCGTTGTAGTGAATATCGTCGTCTTTAATCAGGTGATTTCCAAAGTCTTTGAGCAGAACATCAGGGGCTATATCCCCGATATCAACAATACCATCATGTTGGGTATGCTGGCCACACAGCACGTAGTTACTAGCATTACTCTCCTCTATCAGCTTCTGCAGGGTGAACACAGTCGGTTCCAGGCCCTCTTCTTTACAATGCTTGCAGGGCACTAGATACTCCACTATGGGGTTCCCTCTGCAGTCTTTACCCAGGAGACCTTGGTACCATTCCTTCACCAAACTGTCAATATGGAACACGATCCGACCCAGGAAGACAGACCCGCTGTTACTCATTGTCGTCTCTATGCGAACTGTGGTGTTCTCTATACCCTCAACTAGGAAATACACCGTCTGAAATAGGATTTTTATTAGATCATCAGAATTGAATGCACGACGTGAGCGGAGAGATACTAAGAAATCGTGTTTAATTCTCCCTCACCAACTATAAGAATAAATATGAGTAGATTTTAACAGATCCATGTTCATCTCTGGTGGGACTGGGAATATAAGGAGGCCTATCAGTATATAATTCGCTGACAACTGAAGAATTTAAAAGTAAAATCCGTGAGTGTTCAAACCTCATTGTTCAGCAGGCACAATGTTTCTATATAGATACCAGTTCTCCACATGACTCTGCGTTGTCCGCAACCCTTTACCGGAGCAAACAGCGCCAACCGTGTGATCAATCTGAGAGACAATATCTAGTTACACTGAAATTGGTGTTAACTGTCATTATATGCATTATAATGAAGGTCCCGTATTATAATCATGTGACATTATTGACTATTGACCCTAAGTAAAAGAGCCGATGACGATGTAAAATCTGAAATAGCTAAAAACAGAAATCTGTCACATTCCTACCTGGACCAGAAGCCGTGTGGAATGCATGGCATGCGGTAGAGACGCTCCAAACAGTCACCACCATGGTGAGGATAGAGGTCGTCAGGTTTCATGTCAGGTAATTGGGATGGTATCAAAATCTCATCATCACTGATATTGAGCACTATCTCGAATCTGTGGAGAAGAGGTAGTTAAATTCGAGGAAAAAAAATATGAATATTATAACCGGAAAATGGGTTCCCCATAAAACCTTCATATTAAATCTTGGTTTCCTCACCTTTCCATAACATGAGCTATCTTCTCGATAAGCTCCGTGTTATCTATCACTTCCTTAGTCGCAGTCGCGTGAATATTCTGACTTGCCACGATATCCTCTGAGAGAATTTTCATTTGAATTGACGGTTTATTTTGAATATATTCACATTACAATCGTATGAAGTGCAGTAAAGGAATCTTCTGGAGACGACAAAACCATTCATATCATCAAAACATTAGTAAAACCGTAACTTACTGAGTAATATCAACATGGCACTCTTCTTCAGTATACCCTGTTTAACCCTGGGTAGAAAATACTGTTTTAAGAGACCTCGCTATCTTGGTCAGTTTCCAAAATCCTACGATGAAAATCAAGGAAATTGACATGATGGCAGAATCTTTAACTTTTAAACTCACCAATTCTGCACCTCAGGTATGGTTATAATCTTGCCGAAGATGTCGGAGAGCCACTCTGGTTGTATGAAGTAGAGCTTGTTGAGGCCTTGCGTGTAGCTGTTGTAGTGCAGCATCACCCCACACTCGTGTAGAAACGTTATCGCCTGATTGTTGATAGAAAAGTAATTATAAGATAAGAAACCTTCAGGTATGTCAGGAATGCAGTGGTAATGAAGACATTATAACTCGTGAGACTTGGTTGACGTAATGTGAGGTGTACGGTGTCATGGTCACGTACATTATCCAGATTCTCGCTGTCAATGTCAAAACCACGAGTTTCAAGCTGTTCCACTAGTTCCTCGTGCTCGAGTATAGGGAAGGGATAGTACTTGTTGGTTTCTAACAACTGTGTCTCGGCTACAAACCTCTCCAGTTCCTGGAGATAGATTATCTATTATTAGACGTGGTGCTGTCTGAATATTAGACTTAGTGAGTAAGTGAGTGTTACCCCGATGAATAACAACACTATTGAAAAACGTTTTGGATTTTGTAAAAGTCTTAAAAAAATTCGAGGCAACACAATTTATTTACCAGGAAACAAGCAGGAACTTTCTCTCCCATGATTTTAACTCTTCGCATGACTTTACTCTTCGCATCTATAAAAAAACGAAATTTAACACATAAGGTTCAATGCAAATCGGCTAACAGAGTGATACAGAGTAATCAATTAATTAAGTTGATTAAAAGATCGAGCTTAATTTTTGAGCAAACGGAAGCAAACAGTGATAAAAAACAAACCAGCAGGAGTTGCCTCAGCTTTTTCAGCGACGTTCATAATCTTGAGTCTGAGTTCAGACATGCCACCACTGTTTGGCTGCAACGTGGTCACAAAATGAATGCTCTCTATCTTCGGGAGAAAGTCCTTTACCTCTGACTTCAACAAGTCGTCTAGCGCCTCCCTAATCGCCTTCAAGTCTCCTTGAGAAGAACACGTCATCACTTTCAAATAATATTCCTGCCAAACGTCTTGCAATGGAATTTATGAAATTCCGAGCAAGCTGAAAAATATGCAGAACAATGCGGTTCACAAATAATTGGACTCTGTCGTTTATTTTATCTTGTGGTGACTATCGCCAATTTAGCTCAATTTATTTTGTGGCATCGACATAATATTTTGAAGTATGTGTGATGCTGTATACTGTATTCTGATTGGTTGTAGTTTCTAACCTGCAGTATCCAGTGTGTATACTGTATTCTGATTGGTTGTAGTTTCTAACCTGCAGTATCCAGATGAGTGCCCACCAGGATCACGTGTGCGTTTGGAGAGCGAGATTGGATGGTATGCAGCCAGGGTATAATTCTATCTATCTCTTCCATTCCTTTCTGCAGAACAAAAGATGTTATTCGAATTCAAAATATCGAACAACAGGTTCAAAAACAAAAATAGGTTCTACAACGTATCAATTAACGCGCAGCCATTGCCAAATATATGTATATGAAGAGCGAAGAGCTGATATTTAAGATTCTAACCTTGAGACTGAATACAACAAGGTAAACGCCTCTCTGAGATAAGAAACACTGGTGAGTCACGTAGAATTGTTTCTGACCCGCGAAATCCCAGATAGTTATCAAATTCTCCATCCCTCCTAAAGTTCGGAGTAAATGCATGAACATTGAAAGAAAATAAAAAACATTCGTTTAACGAAAAACTTAGTTGGTTGCAAGAAGAAATCCATGAAAAGAGACTGACCTCTGTAAAACCAGTCCGTCTTTACAACCCCAACAGTAGCGATATTGGGGGACTTATCCCTCTGTTTCCTGATGATTGCCGAGCAGAGACTGGTCTTCCCTCTCTCCTCCAACCCCACCACAAACAGCTTTATTCTGAAATTAGGCACAAACTCACGCTCCATAATGTTAGAAAAGCGAGACTAGGGCGAAATCTAAAGTTCTCTGGGAATGAGAATTATCACGGATAAATACTAAATTGTGCTTCGAAATATTAGTTATTCACGAATACAGTAACTGAAGACGAAATTAACGTGTATCATTGGCATAGAAATAATTTTGTCTTTTCAAGATCAAAGAGAACAAATAGATGCCTTGTTAGAAGCTGATGGTTACAATTGTTGAGTAAATATAACATTAACATATCGGTAGTAAATACTATAGGTAACACGTCTTGATAGGCATGTGTAACTTTTCACAATCCTCGCAATCATAGATGATGACTCACCTGAAATGTGATCTGCTGTTCATGAGTTTCTGGCGGAGGTATACTATGATGTTCGTCTTCTTCATCATAGCTATAGATATGTCCATATCTTTCAGGTTCTGCGGAGGAGACCTTTAACTTAGATTCAGATTATATATAACTTGTAAGTACGAGTCATCCGTAAATTACATACCTTGAACTCAAATTCCGCGCGATGACCACTCGTTTATTTAAAACTGAAATTTAACTTCCACTTAAAGACCACTGTTATAAGTGCCAGTATATATGGGGTCACGAAATCCTCTCCGAACCTCCACGTGGTGTGGCCTGGTTGGCACTAACGGGTGGTGTGCTCTCTTGTTGAGTACAAAGGTTGGGCCTTGCCAACTCAAAGTTCCCATAGGAACCAGGAAGTCAACACTAACAGCTACCAAGCACCAGGAAATTTCTCTTTCAGATATCAGGTTACAAGATAGTACACACACAAATGACGATACATTGGACACAGATACCTAGCTCTAAGAGCTACTAAATCACCAGGAAATTCTCTTTCAGCTTTCAGGTCCCATCGAAGTCACCCACCACAGAGCTAGGGATTCCAATTCGCTCATCCTGACTACAAGGACACACTGATATTGAGTAGTCCTGGCACTTCTCCCTCCAGTAACCACTTTTCAGGTCTTTTCAGTTAAAACAGCTAATGCGTAAGGGCTGACACACGCTAGACACAGGCTCGTGATAAGACAGAATTAGGGATTTAAACTCTGACTACGAGGACACACTGATAGCGAGAATTCCTGGTACTTCTTCCTCCAGTAACCACTTTTCAGGTCTTTTCAGTTAAGGCAGCTAATGCGTAAGGGCTGACACACGCTAGACACAGGCTCATGACAGAGTTAGGGATTTAAACTCTGACTACGAGGACACACTGATAGCGAGAATTCCTGGCACTTCTTCCTCCAGTAACCACTTTTCAGGGGACCGGGTTAGCTTTGCCACACTCTTCATTGAAGTGTGACTGGACGCTCTACAATCATCTAGTATCAGCAGAGTTTGACTGACACCCTTACTGGTTCTATTCAGTTTCTACAGCGGAAGATCTCAACACTCGAAAACAGTTCATCTCGGACATCCTGCAGAGCTGCTTTTTCACAGCCTGCCCCATTACACGGGGAACCCTTAGATCTACAGTACCCTGGTGGCGAGCATAGCTCACTAAAGCATAGTGGACCTCTTTAGTTCTGAGACGCAAAGCTAACCGGATCAGGAATAAACATCAATGCAATGCTTAGGGGTTGCAAATAGAACATACAATGTTTATCGAATGCATTACTCAATCTTTTGATTCATTTTTTTAGCTCGACGTTACATGGTAACATTTCAGGACTGACATTCCTCCTTCAGGTTAATTGAGGAAATCATACCCGCTATTTGCGTTATACATGGCAAGTATCTGGACTTATGATAACTTAGGATCTCCATCAATCATAAATTCCTCTCAGATTCCCAGGCTGCATTTAAAGCGCTTAACAGCACCAGTTTTAACTCCAGGTTCGTTCTGAACATCTCAGACCAACTCACTAGGTATTCACATCAAGTAGGACTTCGTTCCAGGACATTAAGGAGTATACGGTAAAGAACTAGCGGAAGAATTCGCAAGGGACGATCAATCCAACAACATCCCCATAGGACCAGAACCCTTCCTCCCAAATAGGCCACACTCAGTGACAATGTTTTGTTTGTTTGTTTGTTTGTTTGAAAACCAGTTTTTGCTGGTACCCATAAGGGCTTTGGAACCAATATATAATAAATTGTATGAATAAATCAAATCCCCGTGGGGCACGCGACATTCAAGATCTAGTTGCAAGCACATAAAACATTGTAAAATAGCCTCAAGACCAGAACTGCATATTGCTTGGGCTTCCAGACAAAGGAACATTCCACTTGTGATGTTCCTCCACAAATTAAATACAGGAACTTTTATTTTTCTGGAACTCACATCAGATGGCTAACATGGTCGCTTTCAGAATAGGTCACAGCCCACTAGTTTATTTTCAGAACGTGGCAAACAACGTCAACTTCAAGACGCAAGATTGCGAACACTTTTCAGGAGAAGCAGCAACATCCCAGCACCTCCTCTACAAGTGCATCCAGATCATGACGTTCAGAATGAGAATAATTGGTAAACTCTACCTTAACACCAGTAAACTACATCATATCTTCAAATTTGTGGAACAGTCGACAAGACTGGATAGGGAAAACTCTTTTGGGTAACCTCCTTGGATTCTTCACCAGGAACTTTCGCTAAATCCCATACTAGGAACTCAACCTAGGCCCATCTCCGCATAGAGACATATCTCAAGACCTATCTTGACCTTGCTCGGAAGTCCCTTGTCTACCCGCAGAAGTACTACAACGGAAGTGGGTTTGCTCTGAGACAGGTAGTGACAGCTTCAAGACTCCAGGGGTCTGTTGCATTGATATTTATTATTTTATGATTTCGTATATACTTTGGGAGTCCTGGCGTGCAGCTAGCAGGAGTTGAATTCTGTGGGCACGGTGAGAAGGCCTCCATCTTAACGTAAGAGGCCAGAAACCGTTGACCAGAACAGAGAGAGAGAGAAGTGCCAGTATCTAGTTTATAGATTCAATTTCGTCAGGAAAATGATGATTCCAAACCTCCTTAGTCAATACCACGAAAGCAATAATACCATGGAGACGATAACCAGTATAGTACCTAAGCTAAAGTTGAGTATCTTTATTCTTTAGTGAACATGGCCATCTATAATTATAAACCATTTCCCTGCTTCAAGTACAATACATATTCCACATCCAATAGATGGCGGTGGTCGGTGAGACTGAACGTGCGGAGGTCGCGCAAGCAATTGTGTTTACACGCGACATTAAGATTAACCAATAAGATTGCAGCATCCATAATCAGTCACGTGTCAACTCCAGGTACTAATAACCGTCAACATTATCAATGAATTTAGGGGATTCACCTGGTGTTGCCAACATTTGCGGATTCGTTTCACAATTCCCATGCTTTGTTGTGTGTGTCTTCCGATATAAGTACAAGGTGTACAGAATACAAAGATATAAATATGGCAAAATATTGGCAGACAGAGTTGTAAATCAAAACAGTGGATACGCGGAACAGATTAAATGGCAATAGAAATGTATGCTAGATACAAGATATGACCCACGTGCCGATAAATAAAAGGATTAGGTCAGAGGGCATTGTTTGTAATTTTTTATGATTTAATGTTTACTAGAGTTAGATATATATTTCAGAGAGAAAAGAGTTGTATCACTTCTTTGGCATTCTTCAGCAGGAATTTCCAAGTTCTCATGTATAAAAATAAATATTGCCAATCCATGCAAGCCATATAACTCCAAAACATAGGCGTTAATTCTGTAAATTACAAAAATAAGTCTAAACTGTTGACACAATTATATATCCTGCTTAGGATTAATATTAGACTTTATTATCACGAGGCCTGCAAATGAGTCACAGAACAAATCCACCCTTAACCAATACCGCCCTTCATTTCAGCGCTTATTTCGAAGATGGTGATTGTATCCGTGTCATTGTTATCACATATTGATGTTTCTAATGTTGTTAACACACCCCTTTATTGGCACGATTAAGAAGAGGCGTTGGATGTATCGTCACTACAATTAGGAGTCAATGATATCACCAAATTGACTATTACTGATGGAACTCCGAACCCTTTTTTTTTTCAGTAGAACGTATTGTGATTTCGTATGACCCACTTGCCCTTTTCGACTTACCTCCATTTTAAGGGATTGCAGGTTGACGAGTCTACCCATTTCCAGAGGCAGGTTATGGATGAAGGTGTTGGAAATATCCATATCAATCATGTTCGTCAAATTTCCAACTTCAGGTGGGATAACTTGGACTTTAGTTCCGTTAATCTTCAGAGTCTCCAGCGCCAAACTATGGAATAAATTATTATTTCATTTTACTTTAGAGGCGAGCTTTTCCGGTCTGTTAAAATTAACCGTTGACACGAAGTACAACACAACATTAACACATTAATCCAGCTAATTACATACTTAGTTTCGTCACCGATGACCAGGTTTACAAGTTCAGGATTCTTGCTGATGTTGAGCTCAACGAGTGTTCTACTCTCAAAGGTAGAGATGCTGGGGAAGGTGCCAGATATCTTGTTGTTGGCCAGATACAGGCGGGTGAGAGAGGGGAGTTGCCGGATGATTTCCACCTGCTCACAACTCAATCTGGAGTGGTGAAGATTACAATTTAATAGTGACACTTGCTACTAAGGTAGACACTAGACAAGAATTGTATATTATTTTATACTAGCGTCAAGATGTGACCCATATTATGTAATGGTTTTTGTGTGAATTTGTTTTTTGGACTCACCTGTTGTTGGAAAGTTCTAGAATCTTAAGATTAGGCAGATCTTTATAACATGACCGGGACAAAGTTATAAGATTGTTGTAACTCATGTCGAGGGTTTGGAGACTTTCCATACCCTCGAAGAAAGGCTCAGGAATGCTCGTTATCTGATTCTTGGAGAAGTTAAGAGTTTTCAGCGCTTCGAATCCTAAAAAATGATTTAATCAATTTTAAGTATTATTAAGAGTTTTTCACACTTAACCAAAAAGATGCAGAAAATTGCCTCGAATTCCATTATTCCAATTTGGGAAGTTAGATTTGGGTATAATTTGTTATGATATCTTGAAAGTGAGCACGTACCAAAGTTGTCGTCCGGCAGATATTGAATAGAGTTGTTACAAAAGTTGAGGAACTCCAAATTGGGACAGGTGGATTTCAGCCATACTGGAATGTTTTTGAAGGAGTTGCTGCTTAGATCTAGAGATTTGAGACTGGGACAAAACGGGTCATCGGATTCGTGTCCCTTTTCCTCGTGAGTAGGCTGCGCTCCAGTCGAAATCTGACCGGAAAATCTGGTGTGATTCCTCAAACCACTACAATTCCAAACCTTTTATTAGTTAACGGTCATACGTTTACTAGTCGTCAGAAATTAAGTAAAATTCAGAGTTTAGTGATCTATCATTGCACCTAATTAACCGTTAATTAACCCAGTAATTAATAAACCTAAATAACACACCTCGTTATCAGATATGTTGAGTGCAACAAGAGGCATGTTAAGCACACAGACAGGGAAGGAAGTGAGTCTGTTATAGGACAGGTCCAGTACCCGAACACTCCGGAGATACTTCCCAAACGTACTAGGGATAGACCTCAGTTGGTTGTGGTTAAAGTTCAGCTCTGTTACGTCCCCCAACTTCATCATAATGGGTTTGCAGCTTCCTGGAACACGAGTAGAGCGATGAAGGGAGCAATTGGAGGTGCTTATGAGACGCGAATCGTGATGCAGACACGTTATTCTTAAATGAATTTTATTATTTCACGCACAAATAGCTAGTTTAGATTCCTGCGCTGGTCAAAAATACTGGTAGGGCTTGTTTTGACCTTGGGCTTGTCTGCCGTAATTCGACAAAATCTTTGGGTTTTTAAATGTTTTCTAGCGTGTAATATTGTTTCCCCGAAACTGATGGACGACGTTTTCGAAGACCATAATAGGAAATTTTCCCAGTGAACCTTGAAAACTAAATCTGATATCAATCTTTAATTTGTAGCAAGTGTTGGTTCCTGGCAAGGCGGCATATTTTTGACAACATTTCATTGAAATGGCCCACAGCCAGGTTATTAATCAAAATTACCAAAATATCCGCAAACCCTAGCATTTTCCCGTTAAAACTATAAGGGTAAATAGGGCCAACTTGTGATAATTACTTATCTGCTGATATCTGTCCACAGTACCTAATCGTTCGATGGAAGTAATCCTGTTGTTAGAAACGTTGATAATTCTAATAGTGTTGCAAATGTTCCTGTTTGGCACAGACCCAATCCTCCTCCTGTTTTGATTCAACGTCTGGTTAACACTGGACAGGTCCTTCAGAGCTCTCATCTCCCGTAAACTCGCACTCTTATCAATCTCCAGAGACTGTGGAGATTAATTATTTAGCGACGAGGAATAAATAAATCATTGAAATATTCATCGGAAATTTATGAAATGGGGGATGTAGTTTGTAGGCGCCATCACAACACTTCATTGAGGTCATCTGTGAATGACTGGAGGTTGACAGGAGACATTGAGTTGCCGCCAAAAGTGTTTCAATTATGTCAACTTTTTGTATGTTGATTGTTGACGAATGAAATAGAGGATAATAAGGACTACAAATGAAAAGATAAACAGTTTGACATCAAATCGAATATTCATTATTTTTTAGTAACAAAGAAACATTTTAGAGAAAGGACAAATAGTTTGTAAAAATACACGATTAGTATCCACATTGTCATTATCAAACTTCAGTAAGTTCCCTATCATCCCGATTATGAAGCCTAGTTGTTATCAGCCGTGACAGGCGAGGATTATAATCTTTGTCCAGTAGAAACTCTTTGAACCTGTCCATTCTCCAGTAGTACAAAAACGGGTTCACAGCAGCATTAAGGATGACACATCCTGACGCACAAAACACACCAAAGTAGTTGAAATACTCGTTACCGTGGTCCCACGAGAGGAGGTTAATGTCAATTGTTTGAAGGATCTGATATACAGCTAGGGGAACGTTAAAGATCAGATAAACCAGTCCAAACATCAATATCGTCATAGAGGCTCGTAGTTTGATCTGTCCTATTCGGGATTTTCTCGTGTCCAGAAAGTGCTTTTTTAGACAAAGCGCCCAGGTTGAGATGGCACTATTGATGATAACGATGAAGACAGGGCACCAAATCGCGATAACCATAGATGCCTCCAGCAAGCGAATAACATTTGACATGTCTATATCTGAATCAATCAAGATCGCACAATTTCCTCTCGGCGAACTAAATTGCACAGAAATCCCTTTCATCAGGAGATACGCAGTGAACTGCAAGAGGAGATAGGTAAAGTAGACGGCGATACTGAAGATAACCCACTTCTGAGAAACGGCCCTGAGGGGTCTGATGATGGACACGGTTCTGGAGACAGTCAACACCACCACCAGAAACACACTCAGCCGAGCTGCCATGTACCACAATATTGACCACATCTTGCAGAACACCGGATCGCTGTAGAATCCCGGATCTCGGCCCCGGAGGAAACACACCCCGCACGGGAGGATAAGAGAGCTGATGAGGAAGTCAGTCAGCGTTATCAGCTGGTAGAGGATGCTGCTGAGGTCACGTGACTTGCTCCTGAAGAAGAGGTGGCTGAGGAAGTTACCGAGGAGACCAAGAACTCCGCCCATAATGTAGACAGTGCCGTAGACGATGTCGAGTGATCTCACCGGTTGAGGAAAGTTAGGGTCAGTGGTGGTAACAGTTCCCATTAAAGAGAAGTTGTACATATTTCTTACGGTTGTAATGGATCTATTGGGTATAATTGATATAAGGTTTAGAAAGTTGATATTACAATTTAACTAAATAATAATTGTTCAATTATCTAACATTTATAAAGCGAGACGATATAAAAAGATATACAACTTAAACTTTTTTGACTGGTTCAAATACTTTAATGGCCTTCAAATCAGCATGTAAAAATAAAAATTTTGTCAAGGAATAAGAAGTTTAGTGCCCAAAATGTGGCCCCTCAAGTGGTGTCAAAAACGCGAATTAAATAGGTAATATTTATTTTAGTCTCTTGAGTCTTGACACCACTTTAGGGTTAGACGGGTTCCTGCTTATGAATATTGAATGTAATATGTAAAAAAGCGTTGCAAAGTTTAACTTTGGAGTATGCTTTAAGATTAATTCACTGTGTCTTCAGATATACATTCCTTCGGTTACTCACAAGTACATGTGGCAGATGCTTTTAAAAAATTGTAAAAGTACAGTCATATTCTATGCGGCTAGCCTAAAATTAAAACTGAGGCAACATTTATGTATCAACAGAATAGAACAGATTGAGTGAAAATACTAGGACCGACAGCAAAGCACCATACATTATAGATCCAGACAAAGGAAAATACCATGCAAAATGCAATGGAGGCAAATGATACCTGTCTATGGACGAATCAGTTGTTACACCTTCCAAGATCCATAAATATCAATAGAAATATGAACTATAAAATAAATACCAGCTTTGGGAGAATCTAAGGTAAGCAATCTGAATCATCCTGTCACAAATATACAATAAAAGTGACAGAACTCAGAAGGCTGACTCAAATATAAATATATCTGAAAGCACCAGAGCATGAACCTCTTCAACAATAACGAGCGATTATAAACGCCAATTTGGAGACGACATCAACTGTCAAAATATATGGAAAGTGAAATATGACAGTAGTTTTAGACACCTGGATGCAACTCGGCACCCTTTATCAATAAAACAAGATCCTATTGTTACCCGAGTATAAACGTTCACGCTAACTTCACAACCGCCCTGTTCAATCTAACACTAACAAGCTTTACTTAAACTTCAACTGTCCCTGTCATGGTGACGATCTATAAATATAATTTAGAGAGGGTTGGTGTTGTGACACCTCGGAGCGCCGCAACGTTTCAATGCCGAGTTGTAACATGAAAGGTGTCAAACAGTTATTCATAATCCCGAACACCTGTCCATGAATAATTCGGATACTTTACATCTGCTTTGTTCACGCACCAAAGACACGATATTAAATTGTCACCGGTATTTAATAGCAACCAACCAAAGAAAATTACGAGAAGTCGGCTTTTTTAGATGGATCAAGCAAATACTGAGACCGTACTGATTGTAACGTGCAGTCTATATAACCACGTGAGCGGTCAATTTGAAGTTCTTTATAAAACTCAGAATTCCTTTATAATCAGATAAAATTAACCTACAAACAGATCGCTGGAAAGGCTGGTCGAAGAAACCAATCGGACCGACGAGAGGTAAAGCAATCACAACAACCACGCTACGGAATGTTATGTAACATTATATCCATAGTGAGGTGCGCGGTTCAGTACGCAACTATAATATCTCCACGTGTCCCAGTACGGTCGCGGTGGACTAATGGCACAATATTGCACAACAAACTTAAACCTTGTTCTATAAAGTAACTCCTGGCAGCTGTGGAACGTGAAGTAACAAGACAGCTAAACTGTGAAGTAACACTGTAATTACAGGACAGATGGAGTTAAAAAGTGGTCCTATAAACAGAAACTACACAATTAGTCTCGTGACGCCTGACTATGATAATTTCTGTAACTCACAAAACGAATGACCCTCAAAGTAGCTAGACAGGGAACAGATGTCAGGAACCTGACACACAGACCGCTGTTCTTGTGACCACCTGATCACGTACCGTAATCTACTCTTAACAGCTCGGTACGACTCTGAGGACAATTATGAAAAATCTATGTTTGTGCGATCACTGAAACAGAGTACAGGAGTGTAAGGGATCTTTTAATTTTGAAGGGACCTTTGAATATTGATCATAGAATATCGTGTTTAAACAGAAGCCATACCAGTAGGCTAAGATAAGGTACCTAACTGGTAAGGAATGAAATGAAACAGGGTATGTACATCTCATTCATAAGTCATATCTACAATAGTGAATAGATCTTTAAATATAAATTATCAACGTCAGAGTGATTCTCATAGATAATAAGAAGATATAAAGAAAGTTGAATTATTCTGCACAAATTTGACCTATTTGGATATAACAAATGACTCGTACAATCAGGTCAAACTGCCTGATACAAAAGATCCGTGAGAAATAGACCTTCGAACCAGACTGCACTGTCGTAAAAATTTCTCTAGACACACATCAGAGGTACCATTTAGGTGCGGCAAAATATTGCAAATTGTGCGATCCCTCAGCTTTTCACATTTGAATTGCACAATTACACACAAGAAGGCAGAAAACACACGGAAAATAATTCCGCAACCACCGCAACGAAATAGTGCTTCTGACAGAAATCAGACAACAAACCTGTGGAAAAAAACAAGAAACAAGCGGTGCTGGTGGTAAATATTGCTACAGGCGACGAGACACGTTACATCGGGGATCATTAGTTATAGGAGCCGTTTTTACGTAAGGAGCCGTTTTTACGGAAGCCATTTTATTTAGTACCGTAGACTCGAACTCCCTCCGTAAGCTGTCTAATACATAGCTATTGTTTAGAAATTACACTACCGAAAGCTTTTCTAAATCCCTGTCTTATGTAATATGTGGACGATCTCTAGAGTTACCCATAATTTAACATGTTTACAGAGATTATTTTAAGAGAATACGTTGATAGACAGACCTTTCGGCAAAGCTCTTTATGAAGCTCATCTAAAATTCCAGATTTGGACTCCAAGGGATGTGGAGTTGAAATATCCGATTCTTCGTTTTCTGATTCCGACACCCGCTCCACCCCTGCTCCTACTTCCTCTGCTCCCCTACCTCCCCCACCTTTCCACATCTCGAACTCACTGATATAAGTTAGAGGGAGTCAGACCAAATTAACAGGTGAGTTACTACAAAGTATACATTTTCCGATATAGCAAAATCGTTGTCATGAAAATGTGATGGGTTCAAAAAAACTGACACAACAGAACTCACACAACAGAACTTACACAACAGAACTTACACAACAGAACTCACACAACAGAACTTACACAACATAACTTACACAACAGAACTTACACAACAGAACTTACACAACAGAACTTACACAACAGAACTTACACAACAGAACTTACACAACAGAACTCACACAACAGATCTCACACAACAGAACTTACACAACAGAACTTACACAACAGAACTCACACAACAAAACTCACACAACAGAACTTACACAACAGAACTTACACAACAGAACTTACACAACAGAACTCACACAACAGAACTTACACAACATAACTTACACAACAGAACTCACACAACAGAAATTACACAACAGAACTCACACAACAGAACTCACACAACAGAACTCACACAACAGAACTTACACAACAGAACTCACACAACAGAACTCACACAACAGAACTTACACAACAGAACTTACACAACAGAACTTACACAACAGAACTCACACAACAGAACTTACACAACAGAACTTACACAACAAAACTCACACAACAGAACTTACACAACAAAACTTACACAACAGAACTTACCCAACAAAACTTACACAACAGAACTTACACGCTGAGAGTGGACGGCTCCACACCCCTGAGAGAGACCCACTGTTTCTTAACACTAGCAGCCCGACTAGCCAGGGATATCTTACGACCATGACTCACCGGGTTACTGTAACTGAGATATACATGTGATCAGTAATACACGAGTAATAGTGCACAGCCTACTGAGTAATAGTGCACAGCCTACTGAGTAATAGTGCACAGCCTACTGAGTAATAGTGCACAGCCTACTGAGTAATAGTGCACAGCCTACTGAGTAATAGTGCACAGCCTACTGAGTAATAGTGCACAGCCTACTGAGTAATAGTGCACAGCCTACTGAGTAATAGTGCACAGCCTACTGAGTAATAGTGCACAGCCTACTGAGCTGTCATGTCCCTCGTTTAAGGGGTGACTTTTCGTTAGGTGAGAGTTGAAGTGTAAAATCAATTAAACAAGGAATTTGCAGAAAGAAAAAATAGGTTTAGAACAACATACTTACTGTACGTGATTAAGCTCTAGAACAACATACTTACTGTACGTGATTAAGCTCTAGAACAACACACTTACAGTACGTGATTAAGCTCTAGAACGACACACTTACTGTACGTGATTAAGCTCTAGAACAACATACTTACTGTACGTGATTAAGCTCTAGAACAACATACTTACTGTATGTGATTAAGCTCTAGAACAACATACTTACTGTACGTGATTAAGCTCTAGAACAACATACTTACTGTACGTGATTAAGCTCTAGAACAACACACTTACAGTACGTGATTAAGCTCTAGAACAACATACTTACTGTACGTGATTAAGCTCTAGAACAACACACTTACAGTACGTGATTAAGCTCTAGAACAACATACTTACTGTACGTGATTAAGCTCTAGAACAACACACTTACAGTACGTGATTAAGCTCTAGAACGACACACTTACTGTACGTGATTAAGCTCTAGAACAACACACTTACTGTATGTGATTAAGCTCTAGAACAACACACTTACTGTACGTGATTAAGGTCGATAATGATGAATAACCACTCCGGTTCAAGAGAGACCAAGTTTCTGTTACACCAGTCGATTTGTTGGTCTGAAAATATTTACTTTGTTGGCTTAAATTGGGTCGGTGCAAACGGCTGTAAATGTAACATCCTATCGAAACCCCATCGCTAGTTTACTACTACTGTTTAAATTATTCCCTGATTAACAATTTCACCGCATTATTTTTAGCCGATCATACTTTTCACCGGCTTAATATTTTTGAGGATCTCCTTCAAAACATAAGAATGTCCAATCAGTGGTTCCGCAGGAAACAGAAGTAATACATCGTTTTTTTGATTTTATGAAAATTTAATTCAAATTATATATCAGATGCTGAAACAAGTTACGGGTCCGGCAGGTCGACAATAATTTCTAGCCAGTCACTATTTTACTTTATTAAATTTAAATAATCTCCTACAATATCATGTATCACGTGATTTCTCAAGAACCATTGATCAAGCCTACAATAATGGATGCAGTGAGTAACAATACCATCTGGCGCCTCTCTCCCTCTCTCCCCCCCCCCCCCCCCCCCCCCCCCCGAAAGGTTTTGGCGCCCTTATACACATTTTCTTATGTCCTAAAATAAGGCTAGGTCTTTTTTGGACGCCCCAATATTTCCTTCGCGTTACGGGATGTACGGGGTGTACGGGGTGTGCGAAGTGTACGAAGTGTACGGGGTGTGCGGGGCCCTTTGTTGCACCACTGACTAGATGAAGTTATAAAATCGATAAGATATCGTCCTCGAATAACCAAGTAAGGGGTAACACGACTCCTACCCGACAGCGACATCTGTCCGACAGCGACATCTGTCCGAATCAGGGTACCAGAAAAAAACGACATCTGTCCGAAATTGTGACCTGATTTCAATACGACACATTTCCAATTAGAGACATGATCTAAACTGTTACTTGCTAAATTGTATACGTAACATGTCCAATTTGAGATGTGATCTGAGCCATAGTTTACTATTACTGTTTATTTTCATTTGATTGGGCGACATCTGTCCGAAAGCGACATCTGTCCGAAAGCTGAATTAGGGATTTCGGACAGATGTCGCTGTCGGACAGGAGTCGTTTTTGGCGACATCTGTCCGAATTTCGGATCATATTGTAATTTAGGTTCACATTCGCATTTCACAAGCTCACAGGTAATCTCGTGACGTTCTAAAGCTGATGTGATCCCTTAAGATCTGATCCATCGATACGTGATTGACTAGTTGAGAACAGGATCGTGCTAGCCGTACCCTAACAAGCTGTCGATCACATGAGTACATATAGGACAGCAGTATGGAGATCACTTATCGCAATCCACAATGGCAACCAATCTTCAGTTTATCCCTGGACGCAAACAAGGCTCGGAGAACCCTATCCTTAATGGCTTCAGATACGTCTTCGACAAGCGAAGTAACGACACCTCCTACTGGAAATGTTCGGAATTCCGAAAGGGTTGCAGAGCCCGCATCCGTACCGTGGACAGACAACTGATCACTCCTACTCCTGACCACACTCACCCTGTCCACCATGCTGAAACGACCGTCCACGTACGAAATACCTCGTATCTGAAGCAGTCGGTGGATTGGGTTACGAATCTAGAGCAAAGCTTGGCTGCCAGCTGTCATCCCTCAACAGAATGGTACAGAGAAGCAGAAAAGCAGCTAACAGACACCCTTCTAACCCGAGAGATCTGGAAACGCTCTCCATTCCTGCAAACTACATCCTCTCTACCGACAACGAACCAATGATGCTCTGGGACTCTGGATGGGACGAACGGACTCGTTGATCTTTCCTTTGGGGGACTCCTAAGAACGCAAATCATATGGTGGACGCGGAGCATTGGGTAGTCGACGGTACCTTCAAATCTGCACCTAATCTCTTCCATCAGCTCTTCGCAGTCCATGGCCTCTTCCCTGACGGCTGGCAACCTCCCCCTCTTCTATGGACTCCTTCCTGGAAAAACGACGACCCTCTACCGCAACCTGTTCCTTAAAGCTATCGGAAATTTGACTATGCTTTAGATTTGATTCTGTGATATTGTATTATATTGAATTAATTTATAACATTTAAATAACATTGAAACTATTGTCCAATTTATCGACATCAAATTAAAATAAACTGTGGTAGTAAACTATGGCTCAGATCATATCTCAAATTGGACATGTTACGTATACAATTTAGCAAGTAACAGTTTAGATCATGTCTCTAATTGGAAATGTGCCGTATTGAAATCAGGTCACAATTTCGGACAGATGTCGTTTTTTTCTGGTACCCTGATTCGGACAGATGTCGAATAACCAAGTAAGGGGTAACACGACTCCTGTCCGACAGCGACATCTGTCCGACAGCGACATCTGTCCGAATCAGGGTACCAGAAAAAAACGACATCTGTCCGAAATTGTGACCTGATTTCAATACGACACATTTCCAATTAGAGACATGATCTAAACTGTTACTTGCTAAATTGTATACGTAACATGTCCAATTTGAGATGTGATCTGAGCCATAGTTTACTATTACTGTTTATTTTCATTTGATGTCGATAAATTGAACAATAGTTTCAATGTTATTTAAATATTATAAATTAATTCAATATAATACAATATCACAGAATCAAATCTAAAGCAAAGTCAAATTTCCGATAGCTTTAAGCTTTTAAGGAAATCCATAGGGTTGCTGTAGTTGTCGTAATCATCTACAATTCTCTGAAGTTGTCGATCATAACGGATCCATTTGGGTGCACGTGGCTCAGGTAGTTCCCGCCCGTCTCTCTTGGTTTTCTTCACGTCTGTAAGGGCTTGTTCTGCTTTAAGGCAATCAAGGAACTTCCAAATTGTGGGCTTCGAGCAGGACAGCATTGAATGGAATCCGTGATGCCAACCTTCTGCGATGTTGGATGAGCGAGGAATCCTCATCTGTGCAGCTTCGTGTTGATTCCACATGTGGGGAGCGAAGTTAGGATTGGTGGTTGATGTCCCGATCCAAGTGTTTTCGTAGTATGAAGCAATCTCAGCCATGTCTATAGGAAGGAGGGGCTTCAGGTGTCTCCAGATTCGAGGGACGTCAGTCTCCGGTACGTAGGCAATCGCTCCAGTCATCGCGAAGAAATCCCGAACAGGAGAGTTTGGAGTCAGGTACTCCTCCCAGATGTTGGTCTGCTTAACATGCTTCAGGAGGGCTTTCTTGTAGTGGAAGTTACATCCTCGTCTGGTAGTGGAGGGCCACACGGAAGCAACTGCGTTGTGAATGGCGAGCTCGTAGTCCATGAGGATGGATTGTGGTTGGTAGCCCCCAGAAGCCCAGGTGTCTATCTCCTCGAACAGGTTGCGGTAGAGGGTCGTCGTTTTTCCAGGAAGGAGTCCATAGAAGAGGGGGAGGTGCCAGCCGTCAGGGAAGAGGCCATGGACTGTGAAGAGCTGATGGAAGAGATTAGGTGCGGATTTGAAGGTGCGGGCTCTGCAACCCTTTCGAAATCCGAACATTTCCAATAGGAGGTGTCGTCTCTTCGCTTGTCGAAGACGTATCTGAAGCCATTTAGGACAGGGTTGTCCGAGCCTTGTTTGCGTCCAGGGATAAACTGAAGATTGGTTGCCATTGTGGATTGCGATAAGTGATCTCCATACTGCTGTCCTATATGTACTCATGTCCTGTGATGTGATCGACAGCTTGTTAGGGTACGGCTAGCACGATCCTGTTCTCAACTAGTCAATCACGTATCGATGGATCAGATCTTAAGCGATCACATCAGCTTTAGAACGTCACGAGATTACCTGTGAGCTTGTGAAATACGAATGTGAACCGAAATTACAATATGATCCAAATTCGGACAGATGTCGCCAAAAACGACTCCTGTCCGACAGCGACATCTGTCCGAAATCCCTAATTCAGCTTTCGGACAGATGTCGCTGTCGGACAGATGTCGCCCAATCCAAGTAAGGTAAGGTAATCCAGATTTTATGCTGTGTCCTATCTAACATTAGATTAACATTATGTAAGGGCACGGCTGAACAAATAATTTAATAATCAGCCAATATAAAAACGCATTCTTCAGTAAAGTATTCTCCAGAAAAACACCACAGATAAGCAGAATTAACTGTTGATACAGAAATAACCTGGTACATATTGTGGTAATAATAGCCGCTTTTAAATCAGGATATCATGAGCTTTTTTGCCGGGCTTTTCTTTTGTCCTCCTAATATACTAGCTGGATATTATGAAGCTGTACTCCTTTTTTGTAAATGCTAGTAACTGGCAAACAATGGGTGCACGGAGAGATAAGAGCTTATCATTTATAGTATCAAATTTACGGTTCAACATATGGGAAGGTATTCCACTGACATAGCGCTGTAGATATGAACTCAGACCGTGAGGGTTTTCCACATTTTCTACTAAATGAATTTTTTCTAAATGAATGCGTTTGTGTGCTTGCTTCTACTGTCTGTATTGAAAAAGGTTAGAAAACTCGATGTATATTTACATAATTATATTTAAGACCTTGAAATTTCTTTCTGATTATCTCTGTTTAGCGCTAGTTTAAAACATTTTTATATAATGTTTCACTTGTATTGTATGGTTTATATTTATTTCGTTAACACGTACTTAATTTTTGACAGGGTTACGGACTAAAGTGTTATACTTGTACGATAGATCAGGGCGTGATTTACGACGCAGGTGGGGAGCGGATAAAGTACTGTTTAGAGCAAAATTGCAGAGCACAGTAAGTCGTAAAATTATAAATATCGGGTCATTGAGCCAGTGAGTCGGTGAGTCAGTGAGTCAGCGAGTCGGTGAGTCAGTGATTCAGTGAGTCAGTGAGCCAGTGAGTCAGTGAGTCAGTGAGTCAGTGAGTCAGTGAGTCAGTGAGTCAGTGAGTCAGTGAGTCAGTGAGTCAGTGAGTCAGTGAGTCAGTGAGTCAGTGAGTCAGTGAGTCAGTGAGTCAGTCAGTGAGTCAGTGAGTCAGTGAGTCAGTGAGTCAGTGAGTCAGTGAGTCAGTGAGTCAGTGAGTCAGTGAGTCAGTGAGTCAGTGAGTCAGTCAGTGAGTCAGTGAGTCAGTCAGCCAGCCAGCCAGCCAGTCAACCAGCCAGTTTTAATACTTTAACAGAATATGCTCAGGTGTGTTGTAGCAGTTTTAGAGCCGGAACCTGATGTACTGACTGAATACAGATTGTGTTACTCAAAAGTTCCCGGTATTGACGCTGCCTTACCTTCCTATGAAAATGTCTGTAATTTCGTCGGGTAAGTTGTAACGTCTTTAAATTGATGCTATTAGATATAGATAACATATCATCAGAAGAAAGGAAGTACTTCTTAAAGCTAATAGGAGCAACAAGAAATAAATAAACTGTGCAATTTCAGGTCCCTTAAAGGGGAGGACTGCAGACGAAGTGATGTGTTATTTTGCGATGATCAACCTCTCTGTAACGTAGCAAATTTACCCACACGCAAGGTCACAACAGTAGAACCCCCCGTGCCACCTACTCAGGTATACTGACTACTATACTCAGGTTTATCACTGTACGTCCTAGTTTCAGTCTTAGCTTATATCAATCAGATGGTTGGTTTATGTTCTTGATCACAAGCTTCCCCAACAACCAATTACAGCATCTAGCTCGCAGATTCCTGGGTATTGCTAAATAATGAGCACACCCTAACATCATCTTAAACCATGTTAAAACCATGTTAAAACCATGTTAAAACCATGTTAAAACCATGTTAAAACCATGTTAAAACCATGTTAAAACCATGTTAAAACCATGTTATTGTACCAGGAGAAGAAGTGGAATAAGACCCCACTGGTTATTGGTGGGTCAGCTGGTGGGATAGTGGTATTATTACTTTTTGTAGCAGTTGCCGTTGTTCTCGTCAGAAAACTAAAATACAACGATGGGTGAGTAGTACGCATAGCTTCGGAATAAGGATACGTTTAAAAAGCTTTTTTGTATGATTATCATGGTTAAAATTAATTTTCTTGCCTGTTATCATTTTGTCTACACTCTACAGCAATCTTAGAAAATAATACTAACATTTTGAATCAGACGAAGAGGGCCAGCAGAAATCAGAATCGACAGTGTGATCCACCAGTTTGAAGTGAACGAAACGTACATGACAATGGAGGAGATAGAGGAGTTGGAGGTAAAGACGAAGAAAACGGGAACTGGAATATCGCGAGAGGATACAAGTCAAGGAACCGTACTTGAGTTGGGCGGCAGAAACTAAAAATGAACATCATTCATGAAAACTGAAGATTTTAGTTCATTCATCATGAGGCCATCAATGGGTCATGGGGCCTTTTGGATGTTCGAAATCTTCAACTCATTACTTTTATTTACGCCGTACGGGTGGGTAAATCTAACAGTGTATTTCAGCTTGGAATATGAATTTAACCTCGAAATAGAGAGCGGTAACACGAGGTTGAAAATCTGAAATGGTGAATCATTCATGATGATTGATGAAACCAGCATCATTCACATAATATCTGCAAACGAAGTGTGTCCCGAGGGGCTAAAAAGGCGAGGAAGCTTGCGAAGTATTTGCCATGCAAAATGAGTGAATGGTCCCTAAAGGTTGTCAATTGATTAGCCTTGGAAAGGATGAACTCAACAATGACGGCTGAAGAATATGAACCGGGAACCCCTATCAAATTGACAGCCAACATTTTTAATTTTTATCTTTTCTAAACGGATAAGTTAAACGTATTATATTTATGCCATTTTTACGTTACAATATGATATCAGTGATACGATTTTGTTGGGTTGATATCCATTTTTACTTTTATCGAAGGTTTAAACTTGAAATTTACTCGTTTCTTATCGCCTCATGTTATTAACTCATTATATCCATTTCATACCACGCATAATCGTGCTGCAAACTATAACACAGCTACTTAATGATCTGTATATATTTGCCATTTCTCACAACTAATGGCAAAAATAGTTTTCATTTTTGGAGAAAAAGTTAACGAGATTTGCTTATTCATTTTAACCTTTCTCTTCATCAAACTGGAAGTCATTTGTTTTTTAAACCTTGGCTATTATGCAATTATCAGTATAAAATCTTACAATGTCTAATTCGGTACAAACCTTGCGACCTGTACCCGATTTCCCTTAGTAAATAGCCCAAGATATCTATCTTCACTTGATTCAGACCAGGCCCACCGGCTGTTGTTTTGCTCAGGGCTATTTCAACCTGTTTTTGTTCGACGTTCTGCCACAGAATATGTTCCACGATACTGTTGGAACAAATAATTAAACATAAAAATAAAATATAGAATAATCACGTACATAAACTAATTGAGTTTCATCGATTTCAAAACAAATGAGTTGGAAGGCATTAGGCACCATAGAGATGCTCATGTTTTAGCTAAAATTGTAATTCCATTACCTCGGGTCCATGGACTCGACAGCTGCTATGAGGGGGTATTTACCGTTATAGGGAACATTCACATTGGCGTTCATCTCTAATATTATCTGTACGCTCTGAGGATATCATGGAGCATAAGAGCTTACAATCACAAAGAGTAACCAAGACCAACAAAAATTCAGCAATCTAATGGTGACAACATCATTTGCAGAGTGCTATTTTCATTGTACTATTGATCAGTACTAGTAGGAATGAGGAATGTTCATTCTTCTAGTCATCCTAAAAAAGTGTCTCAGTATCAGTACTTACCACAGCGTTTCCTAAGTCAATAGCTTTGTTGAGAGCTGCAGAGAGCACCTGTATGTCTGTACCAAGGGCACCCCAGAAACTGTAGATCAGATAACTTAGATGCTCGTCCTGAGAAGTGGGAGAGAATTATTAAAGTAATTGCTATTAGTTTATCTTTCGAGCTTGATATGTAATTATAGAGATTTGATTCAAATAAATTCATAACGTCAAATTTGATTCGGATGAAGGCTTTTGAAACATAAAAATTTGATGTTATCTCTAACTGATCCATTTTGATAATAATGTAAATATTAATTATTATGCAACGATGGGCGGATGGGTCTTATACAAGGTGAAATATTACATTGGATTCCCGGAACAGATCTAGTGTCATTGGTAGAAAGAGTTCCACGATTTGGAGTTTTACAGAGTTGGCAAGACCACAGAACGATCTCAGAGCTGTTATTACCTGCAAAACAAACTTTTGGTAATGGTGACTCTTTAAAATATACTACTGATAATCATCTGCAATTTATTATAGGGCATAAAGTCATTAGCAAAATATTCATAGGAACAATCCACTAACGATGCAAACCGAAAACATTTATTCTTATCAATTGACACGAGAACTGGAGAACAAGGACACGCGACGAAACGTACAGATTTGATGATCTCGATATCATGAGAGTGTTCGTTGAAGAGGTCGTGCAACATGGTCAGGGCCCCCGGTACCCCTTCTACCGCCACGTTAGGATCTAAATCACAGTTTAGCAGAGCTGACATTGTGTACAGCCCAGCTACAACCCACTGAGAAACAGGTAATTAAGGTAATTAAGGTGCCTTAATTGCCTTTTATAACAATCGTTGATGACAGTTCGTACTAGTCGGTAGTTGTTTTATTGATTATGTTACTGAATCATGAATGGTTGAATATGTCTTAACTAATTTACTTAAACTTTGAATTTGTTCATCTAGAGATTTAGTTCATTAATATAGAGATTTATCAAACCTCTCTGTACTTCTGATTTCTGCGGGTAAGGATCACTACAAAAGATAGAGTGCCGTTATCTTTCTTCCCACCGTGACCACTGAATAGAAGGTCATGTGCTATCTTTCCTGGGGGGCAAGTTGAGAGCTTTCAGTTCCAGCTTTACGTAAAGTTACAGTTTGTATTTCTACATTGTAATAGAAATGGATTCACAGTGCCAAAGCATTCGTATCCACTAGATGAGACTGTAGTCGCATCATTAAAATCTCTCTTTAACTATTTGTGATATTAAAAATACTATACTTAGACAGCAGATTTATCATGAATTCTGGCAGATCTTACTGTGGTTGCAGAGAAGGGTGATACTCATCATAGCTACAAGGTTCAAGTAGCTTACCAGGCCATACAACTCTGCTGCTGTCAGGATCTTCTTGTATAACTGATACAAGTGATATTGTTAAGTGATATTGTGACGTGGTATAACTCTTTATGGGTATCTTAAGTCTTAACTCATCTTAATCTTAAGATTTTTGATCTCAAGTATTGCATCAACAATAAAACAAACTTAATTGAGTAAAATCTAATTTCCGCTCACATAACAAATATGAAATTTCCAGATGGCTATCCGACCAAATTCTCCAATCTATAAAATTAACCATGTGACCATAAGATAATATTTTCAGTAAGTTACCTACCGAAGGGGTATCATGGCACATGTTAACCACACTGGTGTCCCGCAGGAGAAGAGTAATGGCTCCCAGACACAGCTCCTTGATCACCACCTCGTGTCTCTTGTCGCAGAACAGAGTGATCAGCTCCTTGAACGTGCCACTGAGTAGGAGAGGTAATTAATTAATTAATTACTCCTAATCTATCATGTTTGGTAGATTGGAAAAGAGCTTATATAATAACCCATTTCTTTGAGAAATTCTAATTGTACCTTTAAAAACTGGCGGTGAATTTACAAACATTGGGATTCTTATGGGTCCGATAGTTCATAAAACAAAAATAACCTCGAATCAAACTTTGTTCTCTGTCTGACATCACTGGGTAATTTAAGCTGGAAGTTTATCATGAAGAGACATCCCACATATTGAATATCATCAGAGGAGGGGTGGTCTTTCATAAACTTCAGAACCTGAAGATGAGTAACCATGACTACCATGACATGTATACAGATTATTATAGGTGCATCGTTATCTTTCATTAATCTTAACTAAAATATGGTCACTGAAAAGAGAAAGTTTGGAAGGAAAATGTGGTTAGGGATCTGCAAACCTGTAGATGAATCCCCTTGTCAAATAAGGTCATAGCGAAGGTCTGATTTTTCTGGATGATCTCGGCGATTGCTTGACAACTCCCAATAAATATAGGTATGTTTTCTTTGTGAAGGAAGATCACGTGCACAAGGTTCATGCACTGTGCTTCCGATACCATCACTGATTCTCTGACTTCGTGCAACTGCGGACCAAAGCGGAATATATTTATTTGGGATTTTATCATATCCTTTTTTATTGCCCGATGAAAATGGAGTAGTGGTGGTGAGATGTGGGAAGCAGTGGGGTTTTAGGCGAGAGTAATTGGATCTGTTTAGAATTCAGTATATGCTGAGAATAGGTATTCGGGACTCGGGTGAATGGTGCTGAGATTAAATTTTTTTTATTTCATCGCAGTTATCGAGAACTTATCACAGCTGCAATCTGCATCATATGTTATCAAGTTATAAAGTTACAATTTCTTTTAAAATAAAATCAGAGGTGAATTTTAAAGTTGAGATCATAAGTTTTGGTTTTGTATGCACATTTCCCAAACCTTAGCAAGACATGCACAAGCCACTTCAACCAGTTTTTTCTTCTCGTCGTCCCAACAATTTGACTCAAGCAGTGAGAACATGTAGTCGGACCAGGTTACTGCTTCAGATTCCGAACATTCTTCGTATTGGTCTGAAAGTTAGAGTTCCTGTTATTAGGGACACCGAAACACCAGATGACCAGTAAACTGGCCATAGCAATTACATCGGGCAATGATGTTGTCTTTTACAATTATATTGTTTTTTATAAATGAGTGAATAAACACCCCAACATTTGTGGATAACTTACCTAGATACTCTAACACATAAAGTCCACTAAAAATTATGTCCCGGTTTTCCGTGTTGTCATCGAGAATAAGTTTTCGTACTACTTGGCATATTCCCGTCTTTTGCAACCTGTAAGAGTTGATATAAATCATAATGTGAAAATAATTAGAAGGACCAGAAAAGAGATGTATGTAGATTGTAGCTAGTTAAGTAGAGTGAACCCACTAAAAAAGTGGTCATAGATCAGACAAGGCTGGTCGGTCGGAGGTCGATCGCTAGTACATTGTCGTCGTCAATTCATGGATGTAGAGTCTTGCCACTTCAACGAAGCCCTGTGGACAGTGGACACCTTTTCATGATTTTAGTTTCAATAATAGTCTCCACAGATTATCATTTTGTCGATTTCAGGGCAGCGTTCGATTCTATCAGAAGGGACTTTATTTGGTGCAGTATGAGACACTATGGGCTGCCTGAAAAATATGTCAGAATATTTCAGTCATTTTTTGGGGGTACCATGAGTGCCGTGAGGGTTAATGGGGAGCTGACAGACTGGTTTGATGTTAATTCAGGCACAGGTCAGGGTGACATTCAAGCACCTCCTGTCTTTAATTTCTGCCTAAACTTTTCTGCATTTCTGGCTGAGACCAACAAGATCATCAGTCAGGGCGCAGTGCTGCAGAAAAAGATGAAGACGGTCGAGGAAAAGGTCATTCTGGACACCGATTATGCTGATGACATGGCTATTATGGACAACTCAGGGGAAGGCCTACAGGAATCAACTGATCTATTAGTTCATTACAGCTCCTACGCTGGGCTCAGAATAAATGCAAAGAAGACCCAATGCATGGCTGTAAGCAAGTGCGCCTCCCAGCGACCTTTCATCAAGGATGATTGTATTGAGCTGTCGGTTGAGGGTGAACCCGTCGAGCAGGTTAGCAACTTTGTCTACCTGGGTGCAACTATCAGTGGGGATGGGACAATCAACAGAGACCTGGATGTCCGTATCCAGAAGGCTAATGGCGCCTTTCATCAGCTCTGGAACATTTGGAATAGCAGAACTATAAAGACTCCAACCAAGATCAGGATCTATAGGGCTGCTGTTCTCACCATCTTGTTGTATGGAGCTGAAGTCTGGAACACCACCAAAAAGCAGATGAAACGCTTCGAGGTTTTCCATCAAACCTCCTTGAGAAGGATACTTAGGATTAAATGGTTCTTTCATGTGACCAACGACGAAGTTCTCAGGAGGGCTGGCATCAAGTCAGTTGAGACTTTCATCAGTGCTGCCAGGCTACGTTGGTATGGACATGTAGTTAGAATGCCAGACTCTAGACTAACGAGGTTTCTGTTGAACTGGAAGCCAAATTATGGAAAGAGGTCAAGGGGCAGACCCCGTAAGAACTGGAAGTCCTGCGTACTCGAAGATGCTGCTAAGTTTACAGGTGTTGAAAACATCGACAACGACACAACAGAAGCTTTGGCTACCAACCGAGTACAGTGGAGACATATGTTACGCCGCCAACGCGATGTGTGTGATGCAGGCCACTCCAACGACTAGGAGGAGACCTTACCATGTAACATGTATGTAACATGTAACAGATTATCAAGGAGGTCGATATTCAATTATTTTGTTAGCACGTACTGCGCAAGGGTGGTATTTTGGTTCGCTATCTTTTTGGGAACTACTACCGATACGACGGGATTTTACTCGCAACGTCTGAACCCGATGGTGTAAACTGGCGGATTAACCAACAGAGCTTCCTTGCCGTAGTGATATGATTAAGAGTAGAATTACTTGTTCGTGCTACAATTTATGATCAGTATCTTGATAGAGATCATATCAATGCAACATCTCGCTCTATAACTGTCTAGTAGGTACCTCGCATATCTAGTTGTTATCAGGATTGACCAACCCTTACCAGCTCAATAATATTATGCGGGTCTGAAGTTATTGGTAATCTTCTGTCACACCTATGGGAACCGCCCGTCAGTAAGTTATTACATCTCGATCCCGGATCAAGAGTTCACAATGCCAAGTGGTTTGCCCTTGACCGTTATTTTAAGAACATCGCTGCGTTACTTTTAATTCTCAGTTCTCCTATAATTATATGAGCTGAACGCTTCTTTTTCGTCTCATGTTTTACTCATTTTCAGATGAATTTTATCTTTAATTACAAATTGGGGACACGCTTTTATAAGATTACAATGTACGTCCACATCTCTTAATCTGAAATAATTGTTACTATAGATACTTAAATCTTGGGCCCGACGGTTTAAATCACACTGGCACCTGCAATCTAAAGTATAAGAAGTTGGTTCACAGCAGATAAATTGTGTATTGAAGCGCTGCTAAGTTGCTCCCCTGGCAGTCACATACCGTGTTTTCGCTATCTTTATCTAGCTGCCACGTTCGCAATTCAATTTGTTTTGTGTGAACGGTTTGTTCGCAAACAACTCGGCAATTTTGTTAGTCAATTCTTATTTTATCATTTTATGGTTTAATAGTTATTTTTTACATTTTCATGGTTTTTGACAAAATTACTGTTTAAAAATGTATTTGTGATCAAAATTATTGAATTGAGCCCAGGCAAAAATTTTGGAGAATAGGATGGTCACGGCGAGAGGTTGACGAATGTTATCGCCAGATAACATAACGTAATTCTAAAGTAATTCTTGAAATAAGCACTTTAGACTTTGGAGAATTGGAGCATATAACCATGTTGATAACGTAATCAACATATTTTTCATTTTCAATCTCTAGAATAGTACGAATTTAAATTTTTTAAAGAATAGTTTCAAGAATTGTCAAAAAATTGATAACGTAATATCATAATATGTGAACGACCTCTAACGACAGTTAATTCTCAAAGAAACAAGTCAGAATTCCTCCTAAACACCGTCAACCGCTCACAAGATGCCTGCGTATAGAATCTTGCTCCTCATACTTCCCTTACTGACGACAGTCCTCTCTGACAAGCCCCATATTGCTCTAAAGTTTGGAGATGACATTGGAAGCTACATAATGATATCCCCGGATATGTCACCCCTGGAGGAAAAGGTGTCCATCTGTGCCTGGATCAAGCAGCTTAGCGCCATATCTCATATAGGAGGGTGGATTCACTACAAGACTATTGAACATCATGATGGAATAACTCTCTCTGATAACCTTGTATGGGCTTATATCGTAGGTTCTCCCATTCTCCCACACAGCCAGAAACCAGCACATTCACAATGGTACCATGTTTGTCTTACGTGGGCATATAACAGCGGAAAAAAGACCCTATATTATGATGGTGTTCAGATAGGGACTGCCTCTTCGTCTGGCGCGAAGTTCTCTGTAAAAACCGGCTCTCTTGTTTTTGGACAACATCATAAAACCTACAAGATGGAGGCTTCTTTTTCTGGTTCACAATATTCATTTGGAGGTGAAATGACAAAAGTGAACATCCTGAAACGAGAACTGACCGAACAAGAGGTAGCTAAAATGTACGAGTCAGGGATCTGTTCCAACTTCGAAGAAACGTTCAAAGAAGACATTCATCTATCCTGGGAGACGCTACTTTCCGATAATACCGAAAAACATGGAAATATTGTGAAGTTGAGCTTGACCTGTCCTGACCACACACACAGCCAACCACCTACTGTCATACCTGCCACTCCAGAACCAATCACTGCTGTACCAACCACTGCTGTACCAACCACTGCTGTACCAACCACTGCTGTACCAACCACTGCTGTACCAACCACTGCTGTACCAACCACTGCTGTACCAACCACTGCTGAACAAACAGAAGAATCTGAGGGGGGCTGCAACAACCGCTGGTCAATTCTCCAACAAACTGAATTCTATAACAAGGTTTTTATGGTTATTAAATTCATTAACAAAATCTGTATTTTGTTAAGATTCTTAAACAATTATTTTAGATAATTCGATTTTAATTAATTAAACCAGAGGTATTAAAACAATAATAAAGGTTATGCCTAGGTTTATTGTGACGATTCTAGACTAGATTTTGTATCAATTTAATCAGTATTATACATAGTTTGTATATACATTTATTGCTTGTTTAATTTGTTTTTTTGTGTTTAATTTACGATTATTTGTATCTGAGATTCTGCGATTAAATTTATTTTGTTGGTTGTAATGTTGTGATATTGCATAATTTATTGTAAATATAATATATTTTTCAGAATTATGTAATGTAACGTGATGAAAATATTTTAAGCGGGCATATCCTGTCCAAACCCAGGATGCACTACAAGAAGAATTTGTTTTAACTTGTATGAATGAAAAGCATTAATACGTCAAAGTCACATGATTTCAGGAAATCGGAACGGATCTACTCCAAGATTTGAGGGACATATGGGAGCTGCTCGCCGAGTTCGAAGGACATCAAATTGATGAGGCACTTATAGCTCACCTTATAAAACATCACTGTGCAAATGAGAACCTAACAACTGCTGAGGAAGAGGAAACTGATGGTTGTCATAACCGCTGGGCCATCCTTCGGTCCTCTGATTTCTTTGATAATGTAAAAACTTGAAGATTGAAGTATTTTAAGCTATTAGATCAGACGTTTTAAAGAAACGTTATGCTGACGAACGTAACGGCACCAATTTCTTTTATGATATTATGAAATCTAATTAATTTTGATTTCAGATCGTCCGTCTTATCCAACCCTTCTAACAGAGACTCATTAATAAATAAGTAAAAACCATCTTAAATGAGGCATTTCAGGCAGTGACAATTGCTATGATGCAAGATTTGAGGGGACGATGGGAGCTACTAGCCGAGTTTCAAGGGCACATCATTGATGCTGCTCTCATAACTCACTTGAGGAAACATCACTGTCCCACTATAAAACAACGCTAGGTATATTGTTTTTGGTTTTGTGCGTAATTTTAACTTAAAAAGTCATTTAATTAAATGTTCCGACAGATTACCGAATTGACCTTTTTATTTGCTGAAAACCTAACATTTCATCACATTTCAATAGGAGATGATTACCATGTTCTCTCAATTCTCACGTTAATATGTCTTTTCCTGCAGATTTACGAAACCAGTGGAGTGATAGAGGAGTTTTTCTTACTTGGTAAAGTTGTTGCGATAAGAAGCAAAGACGTCGTCTTCAGTGCTGCCATACGGCAGCAGGTTCCTCTGATGGTACGCCATCTGAAGGGGTTCACCAGTGATTAAACTTACCATCACTTTATTATCAACAAAGCAATAACACTGAAATTCTAACTCAATAGTTGAGTAATTTTGGGGTTTGGGAATTGGGGTACTATAAATTATACAAAGATGAGTTTATTTTTGGAGTTTGTTAAGAAAGATATTGAACTGTTAAGTTTTACCTTTTCGAACAGACAGATACACTCCATAATGAGATCAATATCTTCAGGGTACTTATGAATGTTACCCATTGCTATCTCTGGTATTCCTTGTTCGATAAACCTAACAAAGTAAACTGTAAAGCATGGTTTGGAATTAAGAAAGTTTTTGTTCCATGAACCATCCTTGGTGGTACAAAGTAATGTGTGTCATAAGCTGATTCGCTGATACAATCCCAGGATTAGAACTCACAAATAAACAGTTTCATCGTTGGTAAGAACAGTGAGGAGTCTTGTGATGTGAAACTGTATGGCCTTATTTTCACTGTGTTCTTCTAACAGATCTTTGAACAGCTGAAGTCGTCCCTTAAGCAGAATGTAGTCATCCTGAGGGAGAGTGCATTGTTCGTTACATGTAATATGCGTAGTTCGTTTTTCATGAGACTGTAATTATCATAGTAATAAGTATATGTTCATTATACACACACACACATTATTACTAAATATCGATTTTTTTTCATCGTCAGTATTTGTCATGATATCCCGCCTTTATCTTGCCTTTTTATTGAACTTGAAGAGATAAGACAGAGACATAACTCCATTTTCAACCAAATCAACGTTCGACCTTAGTTCTGATAAAGCCATTGTCACCTGAAAAAAGAGAACAAAAAACTTTTAAATCAGAAATATAATATTTTTTGTTGCAAATCATTCGCTTTGTTGATCAGAAACAAATCCAAACTGATGGCAAGATAACTAATAACGAATGTTAATGCGCAGAGTGTGCACTGCCCCCCCCCCCCCCCCCCCCCCCGCACTATAATCATGATGATAGTGTGACTCACGTGGTTGCACCATTTGCACCTGTGCTTGCTTATCAGGGCACCGTGGTGGTCACTCTTTTTAGCGATCATTCCCAGCGCTCTGAACCCCTCCGCCTGATAGATAACATGCAATCACACTACAATCACACTGCAACACACTAACAATTGAGAATAACATTGATTACCAGGATTCTAAATACAATTAAAAACAATGTGAGAATTAAGACATAGCTGAAGAATCTGACCATGACAACAGGGTTGTTCATATACTGAGGCTGCTGGAGAGTGCTGATCAGGCACAAGTACACGCTTTCATCTACGATCAGTTTTATCCCCATGTCCATGTCGCACATGTTCCCGAACAGTCTGAACCCGAATGTCTGAGGAGTGTAAGTAGCTGTAAACTGTTTTGAGCAGCTACATTGAACTTACTCAAGAGCGTCTTGTTATCGTGCAAGGGTAAAGCAATTTTCGAGGAAGGCACAATGTAAAAATAAATATATACAGGGTGGGCCAAAAGTCAGTGTGCAAACGTTGGCCTTAATAGCTCAGTCACTGAGTGCCAAATTGAAATAATTTGTTCTGGTATGACTTTCTACCACCACTGGTTCGAGAAATTTGTAAAATCGAAACATATTTGTGTTCATTTTTTTCAAAAGAAGGTTCATTTTCGCATTTATTTGATAGTTTGGCTTATCAGATCGAGCCAAATTTTATTGAATTGTGTTTGGCCATTTAAATTACGTTTGCCCTGAAAAAAAGAGAGTTCTAGCTTCTCAGATGACCGAGATATGAACCTTAACGAGGTTATTCATTACGTGTGATCAGGTGATTGGTTTACCTAATCACGTGATTAGGTGACCCCGTTAACTACCCCGTTAAACATTATGGGAATCGTGAAGGCTGCCCAATTAAGGTGTCGTGTCGCGGTGTCACATAATCACCCAGTCAATTTTGTTAACGAGATACAGAAAATGCTTGATAACTTCGTCATTTCTGATCCGTTTTGCCTCATATTTTCAGATCATATGCAACATTTAATGATCTACCGTCTCTGAAAAAATTAGACATCTAGCATGTTCGGGGAGAACAATATAAGTGTTTTAATATTGAATGGGCGTGGTCTGAAATATTCGAATTTTCAAATTTTGGTGACGGGAACCTCGAACCAGTAGGTACAGTAAACCATCTGCAAAGCAACAACCCTCAAATATAAAACACGGCGGAGGTTTAAGACCCAACGTTTGCACACTGACTTTTGGCCCACCCTGTATTATATAATAGCATGTTCAATCTATAATGCTCATAATTATCCATAGTTTAACTGGGAGACTGTGTCACCTGTATTGAGGGGTCCGTCATATGGTTGAACATGTACTCTTTTATCTGATTAACAGTGTTGTAACGGTTCATCTTCCTCCAGATACTGTCATCTGATTATAAGAGAGATCACGTGTTACGAGACAACAAAGACATGCTAACTTATACTTCAGTATTCGGGTACGGGATAACTACCATCTTAAAACTGAATTTTGACTGATTTAGAGATTTCAGGATTACGGCCATTTTGCTCAATCATTGGTTATCCAAACATGGACTTCCGAGCCTTCCTTAGTAAAAAATAATTAATTTTTAATTAATAAAAAACTTAAAAATTTAAAAATAATTAAAGAAACAAACCTACGGAAGTAGTCGTCAGGGCGTTATTGAGTAACGTTAGCAAGTTTTTGAACTGGACCACGTCTCCTTCGCTCTGATCAGTAACCCGGTCAGTAACTTGAAGCAATAAACAGCAAGTTATCATATTATACACTCCGGCGAATATACTCAGTTACCAAGTGATTATAACCACCAGAGATTTAAGTCAGGTAAATAAATACTTCGGGTTAAACCTGGTATATACGGCTGATAGAGCGGAGAATCTCGTCGTATCTGTCATGTAATCCCAGTCCCTCACTCATCCTTCGTCCTGAGACGAGAACAGAATTATATGATATTGATATGGTCAATGGTCACACAACGATAGATAACAATGATCAGTTAGTAATAGTTTGTTCCTTAAAATCAAACTCCCAACTCAAGTGGGTGCTGTTAGATCCATGCTAGAAATAAGTAAGGTACGGGACATTTTTCCAGAAAGGAGATATAGATGGAGAGCGGGAGGACTTTATCGCCGTCAATTTTGGGGATTTTTGATTTTAAAGTTTTCCACCTTCGACAGTTTCGGCAAAGAAAAAGAACATTTTCAACACAATTTCATACTCATAACTTCATAAACATGCTTCACATTACCATCCTCACCACCAAGCTCCATGTCACAGGACACTCGACTTACGCAATGTCTCCAAACTGGTTTCGAACTCATATCGCGATATCGTGACCCATCCCCCGAATATCATCAAATTCAATATCGTCAGTAGAAAAATTTGCTAAATTATTACCAATTACAACTTTTTCGCATTAGCCATGTTACAAATGGTCATAAATCAACAAATTGGTAACCTAATATGTATCAAAGCAAATATTAAATCATACATATACTGTATTTTTATTTCCTCCGCAACACCTAGTTCAAGACTACATTTCTTTATTAGGTTAAATCGAGTAAATAATATCGGCGAAGTCACAATCAAAAGTAAAAGCGTTTAATTGCGGTCTTTCAGCTTGCTCTCGGTGTTAAAAGCAATGAAATAGCAAAAAGTAGTGAAAAACATTTTCAGTAACTCAAAAACATGCTGCACATCATCACCACGACCAAGCTCCATGCCACAGAAAACTCAACTTACTCAATGTCTCCAAACTGGTCTCGAGCTCTGACCGCGACATCTGGACCCATCCCCCTGACACATCGTCAATTGCAGTACCTCTCAGCTCGTCCATCTCCAGCGATTGTCTGGTGGCAGGTAGTGGGCTGTCTGGTGGTTGTCTGGTGGCAGGTAGACTGGTTCGACCAGATCTCGCCCTTCCAACTTCAGGTGAAAAGGTGTTACCCATAGTGAGCGGACTTCAGGTTAAATGAGGGTGCCCTTACACAGTGTTACAGTGTTACAGTGTTACAGTGTTACAGTGCAACATATATCCGGATCTTATGGAGAGTGCCCAATGCAGTGTTCATGTGCCAACGATAAAAGATTTGGGGGAGATGTAGATCTTACTATTTATAGTTTTTGGAAGCGAATGATGCAACAAGATGACGGGAAAGATATAAGTAAGAAAACTACAATTCCAGTGGATACATTGTAACCCACTTGTACCTGGTAGGTCTCGGTGTAGATTCTGATAATGAGTAGCACATAGAATTTGGGAATCGGGACTGTTAACAGAAAAAAAAGTTTAGAAATTGCGTTTGGCTGCAAAACTTTGAAACACATAATTTAATTTTATCATTTCTAAATCATGAATATCATCTAAAATATGAGCCTCGTTGCGATATAATGGCATAATCATACAGAACTCACCAGTACAGGTTACAACTTACATTTTCAGAACCTCGAGTTTAGTTTACCTAATATTTATAACAAAAACTTACCTCTAGGTTGAGCTGATTGTATAGCAGTACAATTTACAGTTGAATGTTTATCCTCTCTCCCAAGGCCAAACTCATCACTCGAGTTAGACCGTGCAAATAACGGGTCTGCAGGAGAGGGGTTTATAACTTATATTATTTCAATAAGTTTAAGGGATCGTTTAAATATAAGGTAAGCCTACTGTTTGCCATTTTAGAAGCCCTCCGTAATTGCTATTTACACATGGCTATTGCGTAGAAATTAAACTTGTGTAAGCTTTTACAAACCCCTCCCCCTAAGTGGCGTACGTAATATTTGAACGATCCCTAAACAGTTAACACTACAGTTGGAAGACTGCTGAGTGTTAAGCAGCACTTGCATCTCAGTCACAAGTGCAAGTCCTGCGCATGCAATCGCACTGACCTGGTCCATTTAATGTTTTCAATATCGGCACATATACTTATAGAGGCCGAGTGCCAGCAAAGTTTGTTAGCGATCTTTTGATTTACTAGATTTAAGATTTGGTTTCAATTTCTAATGAGCCAGGTCAAACGCTGATTTTCAAGTCTCAGTTTAATACGATTTACGAAACGAACTTAATTCAAAACTCAATTAGGTCAGAATAGATCAACTACGCCTAGAATTATCACGGAACAGAGATGATAAGTGATAACCCCCGGGCCCCGACTTTTTTGGATTTCAAGAATATAAACATAAAATTCTGTATTCAATTTAAAACATGTCACATGGATAATTTGGTATTTCATGCACATTTGAGATTGAAACATGCATTCATTGCGAGCGTTAACCCACGGTACTGCATTTCACGCGAACAACAAGTGAATTTAACTCACCAACCCCATTATATATTTTAACACGCCGTATGTTCGGAACCTGCTGTTTTCTCATTCTACAGCTTACATTTAAATTTCTCAATCATCAGCACTCCTCGTCTGGCCTTCACGTACGACAATTATACACATGTATTTCTTAGTGAATGTTTAACGTTTAATTAAAATGCATTTATAACGAAAATATTATCTAAAATGACAAAATCGAGATAAATCATCACTACATTGGCATAGAAATAATTCAAATTCAATTACGCGATCGAAAATATGGAAAAGATATACGGGAAAATCATTACAAAAAGTGCTCTCATCGAGCAATACGACATGTAATAAGAAGTTGTCATCACAATCATGAGAATCTATAACTTATCGTTGATGTCACGAAATCAGTTCGAAATACTCATCGTTCAAACATGTGCATACTGCATAGCGCATACTGTATTTAAGATCAAAGGACAGAGAAGATCAGATTTCAAGTCCTAATTTTCGAGCTCAACACACAATAATATCATTTCGTTCTTTACACATAAATTATTTTACGTAATCAAACTATGTAGTATGTACATGTAAACATATTCTCAACTGTAATATACATTGAGCTGTGGAATGAACAATTCCATGTATATTGCCTACTTTGAATTCCGTGTAAAATGAACGTTCATAATCTCAGAGATCGTACAAATCAAGCATCAACATTCCACGTTAATGAGACCACTCAGAGAAGCTTATTAGTAAGATAATATCAAGGTAGGACGGGTCACAAATATATCAATTATCTGAACACATTGAAGTCGAATCTAGCTAACCACTTCGACCAATCGACCGAATTAAAATACATGAACTTCCTGCACACATGAATGAACCAACACAGTTAACGATTTGAATCGCACATACACAGTACACAAAATACAAACGAAATAAACCTAAGGGTAAAGTCTGTTTCCTTCGGGCTGTCCATGGTAAACTTAACTCCTATATGAAAGTAGGAAGATAAATTTGGGCACTAGAAAATATAGAAATCACGTACGGCAAAATGTGTTATATTGGTGATGAATCTTTACATGTGGATTAGGATATTCATTATTCATGTGGCTACAGCTTGACATTAGGAGGATTTCCTCTGTCAGTTCGATGAGTGAGTGAGTCTTTAGTAACCGAAATGGCAAAACAGAGCCATAACTAGCTGTGACACATTCGTTACCAGTCAGCAAAGTGTGGAGTGGTTTTTTATGGGAGAGAAACAGCAGAATTCCATCAAATGTTACTGAATGAAACACCATGTTACACATTCCGTTATTATTTGATAGGATTAAAGTTAAATACAGCTTATCTATATGTCATGATGTGGTTACACAGGGCAGGTGTGTAAAAGAAGAAAACTTAAAGCCGGATAATGTTCTGAGCTTCTATACAGTAGTAGTAGTAGTATACTGTATACAGTATACAGTATACAGTATACAGTATACAGTATACAGTATACAGTATACACAGTATACAGTATACAGTATACAGTATACAGTATACAGTATACAGTATACAGTATACAGTATACTGTATACAGTATACAGTACACAGTACACAGTACACAGTATACAGTATACAGTATACAGTATACAGTATACAGTACACAGTACACAGTATACAGTACACAGTATACAGTACACAGTATACAGTACACAGTATACAGTATACAGTACACAGTATACAGTACACAGTACACCGTATACATTATACATGGGGGTGTGTTGATTCACTATACTAAAAGAGTTCCCCTCGTAATTCTGAGCAGTAAGTATTATATGGTTAAGGATCATTCAAAGAGACAATGTTTTTCTTATAACGATGTTCTAAACTATCTGTTGGACGATGAGATACGCACAATAATAAGCCAAAAGGGAACACAATATCTCATAAACGTGAAACAGAAATTATCACAGAAAACACATACAAGAAACCACATCGCACCGTTGAAGTTATTGAGAGAAAAGTGGGAGAAAAAGGCGGAAAATAGTAAGCATTATCTTAGAAACTTGACACGGCATAAAAACAAATGCAACATCTCGAATACAGTCGTGTATGTTTCACAATGAAACTGTTCAGAAGGAACCTATTTTCCCATGTCCAAGTATTATGTGACAGCGCTTTATCTAAGCTGTTGTTCAATGTACTCTCAATGTGCTCTCAACGTACTCTCAATGTACCTTCAATGTACTCTCAAGAAATAGCGCTTCCAACGCTAAGTATTCATTAACGTTTTGTTAGCCGTTTTAAAATGTACTGTTATCTCTGAACATATACAATTTACAACGGGCCCTGGCAGTGGACATTATGACTGACATTTCTGTGATAACTTCCCCAGGACAGTTATATTACAAAGTAGTTCTTCTTGACAGTTGACACATATTTCCCTCAATTTACATTATGTGGTCTTATGTTTATTTGAGTTCCCGTCTTATGTTCCCAGCAATCTAATTTCTCCACCAAACATTGGTTTACAAATGTATAAACCTTAGAGAATCTACACGAGCATGTTAGTTGCAGTACACACAATAAGTTACCCTGTACTCGTGACGAAATGAACATCTTGGCTATTGGCCATACCTGAGTACAAACATATCAGATAAAGCTCAAATAACCTGTAGACATTATACCAATATACTAATAATTATCCCAAAATACATGATATTAGATTGTTTTTTTGTCTAACTAAATCAATGTTATTGTAGACGCTATAATTCGCTTCATTTCATCTTGTAACTTCACACAAATAAATACTTTCTGAGAGGGACGAGTTTTCACCAATATGAGGTAAATCAGTTGAGCTTGATAACCGAGTGTCGACATGTAGGAACGTTCACTGAACATAAGGCACAAACAGATGAAATTCACCCAGAAATCTTGAATCCCTTCTTCTGTTCGTTCAGTATTGAGCACTCGGAGCGTTTATTCTGAAATCATTTCCGAACACCGCAGAAATGTGCACAAACATTATAATAACTCGCAGACCACAACCCAAAAGAAGACTGATGGAATGTTCCTTGGAACGTTAGCTGAAATGTTCACCTCCTTACTGTCAACATATCGCAATATGTGATATAAACGGAGCCGAGAAGAAGTCCAAACAGAGAGATTATCATGGGGAAGAAGACGTAGTACCAACTTAGCTCCGGATACTGAAATCAGGGAAATAGTTAGTATCAGATATCAAAAAGCAATATAAATCAAGTTAAAAATAAAATCGTTGCAGTGAGATATTTATTATCTGCTAAATTTTCATAAAGTAAGTAAGTGATAAGCAGATGATTATTCTCAAAGTAAGAAAGCCCAAAACAAGATTAATCTATCCCTACGTGACGTCACAATTATATCTGTGACGTCACACTTCTCTTGATTACGTCACAACAACATAAAAAACCACAATATATCAATCTCACCGTTCCCTTCTTAAGACATATAAGGATCTCTGCAGCCAGTTTAGAGACGAGTAACCCAAGATACAGCACCACAAAGAGAGGGGTCTTCACTTTTGGGGGGCTATTTGTTCTTCCCTCCTCACTTCGAGACCGCACTATCTGGGATTTGAGTCAAACGTTAAATATCAACACCGATTGTGAAACAGTTGATATGAATTATGATTATGAAGGAATGGATGAGATGTCAGATTTATTCAGATAAACCTTCCAGGACAGAGATGAAGACACTGATGTTAGCATACGTCCGGGATGGGCGTAATCTAAGTTAGATAGTTTTGGCGCAAAAATAGATCAAAACTCAGAGATCAACTGGCACCCTGGCCAACTGAAACATTTAAGACGAGGATCTAGAAGTGATTATGTTATACTCACAAGGAAAGTCTCGTAAACAAGGGGTATAAAGAGGAGTGCATTGATAATCCATACCGGGGTGAAAAGTAAAAACCAGTTCCACATGTGTCCCTTGTCAACCTGAACACAAGGAAATTTTCAAAAACAATGTCTAAATTAAATGTACCTTGTCAACCTGAGGAAATTATTCCTAATTTTTCAGCGATCTTTGATAGAAAATAAGCTTCGTGAAAAATAACCCGTGTTTCTATTCGAGCTTTTCATCTAGAAGTGAAACAAATTACTCATAGTATGGAGCTAGGGTGTGAAGATATTTTTTTAAATAATAGAAATTACGAAACGATAAAGTCGTTGCAAACGGTGAGTAGATAGATCTTAATAACTTACTTTGATACATAGTAGGATAAGAAATATTTGCTGAATTAGTACTATGTGGGACACACACTTCAGCTTCATATCCGTAAATCGAACACGAGCGATATCGTTAATTGTTCTTCACACCATCGTATACATTATATCTAGAGTGAAACATCGATGTAATGAACTTTTACAATATAGGCAATAGTTTTTATCATTTATATCTTGGGAGTTTCATGAAACATAGCGAAATAAATTATATTTTGGCAAACTTTCAGCCCTCAATGAAACTACATGATACCTTGTAACATTGCAACATTGAATTGAAAGATAATTGTTAATTATTTCCATTTTAATAGCACATTCTGTGGATATAAACATTTGAAATCGTTTCGCAAAAAACTATTTTACAAAATTGTACAAAAAAACATGGAATTTAAACAGCTTTGTTCCACAAAAAATTATAGTACTTCGACTATGTCACGCCCGGACGGTAGATACATACAGAAGACAGATGTAATTGTATGTCTAAGCCCAGTCTGGCTTAGTCGATTATAATAGATGCACACATGAATAAAACAGATCTAGCCGTAAGCCGACAGATAAAATGAGCAAAAAAGAAGAAACAAGCAGAAAATTCCCATCAAAATCAAATAAAACCCACAAAAGAACTCAGGGTGTCACGTATCCTTACAATGTCAAAATCATTCTTTCAATCATCAAGTGACGTCATCAATTCCTCACGTGACGTCATCAATTCCTCACGTGACGTAATCTTACATCCAAAACGTCACCAATGATCCCCAAAAAACATGTCATGATCAGTACTCGAATTCCCGTTGTTAATGTTACTTATCGAGTTCAGATTATTCTGAGCAGTGTTGATAAGTGAGTCCAGATCGAGTTCAGCGAGTGAAGGTTCGATGTCACCGACGGAGTACATGCTGGACTCGGTCAACATGCTATCAGGATGAGTGTAGATGGTGGAGTCAGAGTGCGGGTTCGGGTACTGGTCATCCGGCATCTGAGGGATAGCATAGGGTTTGTACAATGTGCGTGTATACTGTATAATGTATATATTATATATTATATATACATTATATATTATAATGTATATATAATACATTGACTATATATAGTCAGTTTTTTTGTGGGAATTTATCGATTGCTAGTGCTGCGTTAAGCATCACCATTAACACTTCTAAATATAATAGGGGACAGCATTTAATTTCACGTGCCTTTAAGTTTAAATAAGTGAAGACTAATTACGTTAAATACGTTTATAGGTGATCGTAACAAGTAATGTTTTTGGAGTTTGTTTGGCTGCGATTATAAGGATAGAATTAGAGATGTGAATTATGGGGTTATTATTGAGAATTACAACTTTCCCAGACAAGTTAGTTAGTTACTCGGAGGCTCTCTCCACGAAACTTAGGGACATGTTCTATGGGGCCGCACTGGAATTATTACCTCGTTTGCTTCTAAGACACATGATTTTAGCCATACAATATTATTGGTGGTGAATTACTTTGTATTCATCGATGGAAAGTATACAGTGTATACTTTCCAGTGTATACTTTCCATCGATGAATACAAAGAATATCCAGAACAAAATGTATTTGTGGCTGCGACTTTCGGTACTGAAATCTGGTTTCTCTCAGAATCACGGAAACTTTAATTTGCTTACACTGAAGATATATTCGCTTATTGTTGACAAACCTCATGTGCTGCAGTAGGTGAAACATTAAAGTCGGAGCAGTCGAGCGAGTCAAACAAGTCATCGTCCAGGTAGGGGGTGCAGGGTGAGTTTAACGTGCTGCCAAAACTTGAATCTGGGGACAAAACGAATATATCAATCAAATTCATTTCTAGCGAAGATTACATTTGAGCGAAAAGATCATTGTTGAGTTATCAAGAGATGATAGTGGACCTTATATCTTCAACAACCATCGAGCTTAGGAGCAATCCCACTTACCGTTGCTAAGTAACGGCGCAGAATGATGTCTAGGTAGATCTACTGACACGCTGATGTTCTGTCTAACATATGCCGTGTCGGAAGCTCCCATCTCACGTTTCTGCGAAATGAACAATTTAAATGATATCAATTATCTAATAAACAAATTTTATAAACCAGAAAATTAGTTCGACTAAAAAGATTGTAACGTCAGTACCGAAAACTCATGACAACAGGATACACCTGCCTCTACCAAACATGACAAACCCTTTTAATACTGACCTGTATGTACTTAGAGAAAACTTGATTCTTCGGCTTATTCGGATACAGAACTTTCAAATCCGGGAGCCCCATAATGCGCTCTGCCAGAGATATGTAAGACAAGCCCCGGTGGGTGCTGGGCTCCAGATGGAGTATCTCACCCGGAGATCTCCCGCCTGGTTCTTGGTGTAACCAGCTGGCACTTATACCCCCTACCATGCTGTCACTAAACCTGGGGTTAGTTGATTTTTGTTTAAAGACCGTCAACATATAATATTTCATGTATCAATAAATTTTATCGTTTGCAGAAAATAAACAATAATTAAGTGAAGCTAAAATCAATTGGAGACAGGCAAATCTATTAAATTTTTATAATAGGGCAATGGTGCCCTGAATCATACTCTTATAATGGTCAGGATTAGAGCAGCATCAGACGGTCAAGGAATTAAATTGGTTGAGATTGAAGTTGTGAGCAGTACAAACTTGCGGACTTGTACCTTAAGATGAAGGTATTAGGTTCACACTTGTATAACAGACTCTGCACCTCATCCTTACTGATGAAACCTTCAACCAGCCCATCCTTCCACAAGTCCCTCAGACACTTGTCTATCAGATCGTAGGCACTGTAGACCCAGTCCCAGAATGAAAACGCTCGGTCTGCTTGGTTCTCCTTAGCAAACACTTTCCACGACACAGTATCCTGAGTTATATTGTATTAGACACGAATAAGTTATTTCGATTATATATTTCAGGAGTCAGGACCATACACTGAGCGGTTCTTACATGAGTATTCGTGCTGTGAAACAATAACAACTAATAAACAAACCAAGAACATTACCTTGTCTGACACGTGATCACTCCGCAAGAGTTTCCGGCCCAAACACCTAACATTGTTATCGGAGAGACCTCTCCCAGTCTGCATCTTGAACCAGGACGACAAAACTTTGCCAAGTTGGGCCCAAGTGACTTCTTCGATTGGTTTCTCACCGTTTTGACAAAAGGAGTTGTCCCAGATCACTGTTGCCTCCGCTAATGCTATCTGTGGAATCATATCGTAGACAAATGTTTTCATTAAAGCTGTTAATAAAAACTTCGACATGCAAAATAACCTTCGTATAATGAACAATTACAATATACTCATTAAATTACGAAAAAGCTGCTTTCACTTCAAAAAATCTGATAAAACTCCACAAAAAACTCCCTTAAAAGTTGTGCTGTACCTGTCTGGTGTGAACAATAAGAGCTAAACTAGGACTGATGGTACAGAGAGTGATACTCTGCTCCTCCGCTAGGTGGAGGGAGAGTGTGGAGGTGAAACATAGTCCGTACCTCTCCTCCCCCGCCTTGTCCGCTGAAGACGCTCTCGTGTACCTGTCATAGTCCTCGTTACAGCGGACTTTAACACGTGACTAGTTCTTAAGATTTTAAAATATTTTGGTTTTTAAAAGGTAGCTTGAAATTCAGATGGGTCGTATCCCTGTAAAATGTAGCCAATTTCAATGGAAAAAGTTGGATAGTAACTTTTTGAGCATGAGTTTCTTCATGAAGAGTTTGACTGAGTTGGTGGAGGGGTGATGCTCCATGACATTGCTCCCGTTGAGGATGTCACCACAGCCGGTCTTGTTAGGTAGCACCTCTCCAGACAGGATGTCCTGTATCTGGGAGAAGGACACTAGCGTACACGTGACCTGCAATACTACTATTAGAGGGGTGTTGTAGTGGGCATAGAAATATTATATCAAAACGTTAAAATCAGATTAGATAAACACATCAGTTCCAGTACTTCCTTACCTCTGGTAGGTTCATCTTGATACCGAAATGTCCGCCAACCAACAGTCTAAGAGTAGCTGCGAACTTGGTGTCTTTCTTAAGAATAGCCGAGGGCAGCTCCTCAATAACCAATGCGTTGCTTACTAGGTTCTTGATAAGGTTTACAACCTGTGAATTAGAAGTATTTCTAAAAGCTGATAAGGTAGAGCTAAGAGGAATGAACTAGTAATTGTAGTAATACCCTGTATTTTGTTTTAAAATCAACATATTTCCAAGGTTATATAACCCATACTCTGTAAACGATACACCGTGTAGTACACAAAGTGAAACTCAATACAGGAACATTCCTTGTGTAACTTACATATTATTGCCCAGTCAAATCTTTATTTTTTTTCTTTTTTTTTTTCTTTTTATTTTTTTTTTTTTTTTTAAATATGCAACCTACTAAAACCAATGGGGCCCTCCCCGGGGTCATTACTCTCGCATTTGCGAGAGTCGTCCCAAAGGTGTGAAAGTAGGTCAAGATCTGTTCACACCAAGCCCTAGCATCGCTATTTGCTGACCATCTGCCTTCACTGACGGTATGTTTTTAGAGAGTGGAGGCCGACCGTCAGCTTGGGATGCAGGGCCAAGTGGTCAACAACGTCAAGGCCCCCTTCCACATGGGCCATGTTGGTTTTGGCAGATACTGTGGTAATAAGATATGAAGTGAATGAGTGAAATGAAGTGATTGAAAAGGGTGTAAAAGAGGAAGAGCTTGTAAGGTAGTTTAGGAATGGAAGGAAGCAGGGCATGTACTACAAAAAACAGTTAGTAGTACTGTAAGATAGTAACAATAACCATTGATAATAAAATAACAAAGACAGCAATATAAATGGGGTGGACAATTTGCCCTAATCGGCCAAGATCGACACAATAGAACTTTTGTGGCCTATTTTGTCTCCTGTAAGTGAAAGTTTAAGAAGTTTGATATATCCCTGCCAGATCGGCATGTCCCCTGCCTGAAATCTTTTGCTAATGTACCATTTGGCAACAATATTAAAATAATTTATAATTTGTGAAGTGTGATTACAAACTATAAAATTAATTTTATTGGGGTCTTTGTAATTTCTATCGATTTTCCTTTTTATAAAGTCTTCAAGTATTGTGATGAAGCTATTTGTGTGGATACAATGGAGATAGATATGAGGAATTGTTTCTAAGTATGTGTTACACAGGCTACACATGGGAGTATAAGTATCTGTAACAATTTTCATTTTGTGTCTCATGTATCTACACGTCGTGATCCTCATTAAAAGTTTGTACTGAAATTGAATCAACTTAAAATTTTTAGATACTAAGAAAAATAGGTTGCTAAGAACGACCGCCCATTCTATTGGTTGATTATTTAGGTCAATAACCCATTGACGTAATGGGGACAGCTCGTTTGGGCAGATAGAGTCGTACATTTTATCCCGAATTTTACTTCCCTTCACCTGTCCAGTTACAGAATGTAAAAATTTAAGTTTTATATTTGAGTCAACAAACTCAATATTCCTTGAGTTAATAGTGGGGCAGTTATATCTCCGTATCCCCATGATAATGTTACAGTACTCAGTTTTGGAAATAGTATTTGGAGACAACTCCCACTTGTTAATGAACATATCGTAGTTAAGGATTGTACTTTGGTCTATAGAAAGGAAATCTGAGATGTAAAATATTCCCTTATCAATCAGATGATTGTTTTAAAGTTTGGCCCCGATGTCGGTTATTGCTTGGTTGTACCACACGCAGTGATCAATAGAACCCAAAGCTGCATTTACCGAACTTATCTTCCACTCAGTGTAACAATTAAGGACGTCTTGAGTAAAATGGCAGTTGGTTTTAGCGAGACCGTTTTCTACGGAGATGGTGATATGGTCAGGAAATTTCAGCTGCATAATCATAATATCTTTCCAAGTGTGGTGAAAGGAATTATTTAGTAGCTTGGATATGAGGCTGGTTTTAAGACCTATAATAAAATCAGATAAATAAAAAAGTCCCAGGCCTCCATGTTCCTTATTTCGGGTAATAATCTCACGTTTTACTTTATCGCGTTTGCAACCCCAAAGAAAATGGAAAATAGCCGTGTCAAAGATTCTGATAAAGGAAGCATCCGGTCGAGGGAGAGGAGAAACAAGATATGTTAATTGGGAAAAGAGAAGGGTTTTAATGACTGTGCATTTACCCATAAGCGTCAAATCCCTCTTGCTCCATCGGTTTATCCAAGACTGAACCTTAATCAATTTATCATTATAATTACTGTTGACAATATCCATCAGTGAGCCATCGTTCATATAAACTATACCCAAAGCGGTGAAGTTATTTGTTATAAAATCATAGCCGTATAAACTTTGAAGGGATTCTAGTAGAGTTGTATTAAGACGAGCTCGACCTAAAGGAATACATCTAGTTTTGTCGATGTTAGCTTTACACCCCGAGCACTGAGCAAAAGTTCTGAGTTCTGTCATAACCGCCTGTACACTTTCAATTGAAGTTTTCAGAAACAGATCAGTGTCGTCTGCAAAGAGACTCTGTAAGATTTCCACACCTGATATGTTAAGACCCCTGATATTGGGATTAATCTGAATTTTATTCGAGAAAGTTTGGGCCACAATCAGAAAGAGAATAGGAGACAGTGGACTACCCTGGTGCCCAGTCAAATCTTAAGTCAAGATTTTCTACATTTTCCGACCTTATCTCGGAGTGATATGATGGTACTGACCTTATCTCGGAGTGATATGATGGTACTGATCTTATCTCGGAGTGATATGATTGTACTGACCTTATCTCGGATTGATATGATGGTACTGACCTTATCTCGGAGTGATATGATGGTACTGACCTTATCTCGGAGTGATATAATGGTACTGACCTTATCTCGGAGTGATATGATGGTACTGACCTTATCTCGGAGTGATATGATTGTACTGACCTTATCTCGGAGTGATATGATTGTACTGACCTTATCTCGGAGTGATATGATTGTACTGACCATATCTTGGAGTGATATGATTGTACTGACCTTATCTCGGAGTGATATGATTGTACTGACCTTATCTCGGAGTGATATGATTGTACTGACCTTATCTTGGAGTGATATGATTGTACTGACCTTATCTCGGAGTGATATGATTCTACTGACCTTATCTCGGAGTGATATGATGGTCATTGATTCGTCTGGACTGTTGGAGCTGATGTCTTTTACGGTGTTGTAGTGCCGCACAGCCAGGCGAATCTGAAACAAAATTCCGGCTCACAAAATATCATTTATCTTGATCTTACATATTTTATTGACTAATACTCACCACTAACAAATACGTGACACAGAGAAGGAAGGGTTAACATTAGACGGCAGAAGTGAATCCAAGAGTATAACCAGAATATCATGAAGCTAGATTGTAGGCAGTTAGAACAGCTGATGATGAGGTTAAAATGAAACATATAATTTTGACAAACCTGTTGCAAGCAGGTTTCTAGTTCAACCACGTGACTTTTAACTCTAGCTTCTACGTCGTTTATATTCACTTGAGCTTCAAATCCTACCTTAAGAAACGAACAATTAGAAACTCAAACTACAATCTTAAATAATTGTGACTATTCTAATAAGCACTATCATTTCAATCTTATTTCGATACATTTTATTCGAAACAAAAACCGTTGCTTCCTAGAAGAATTTAATATTTTCCTAAGCCCACCAACAGACCCACCAACAGACCCACCAACAGATCCATTAACAGACCCACCAACAGACCCATCAACAGACCCACCAACAGACCCACCAACAGACCCACCAACAGACCCACCAAGATACTTACAAGCGCACGACGTTGAGACAGCTTATAATCAGTGATATTCTGCAATATCATCTCGTTCTGTACGCACAACTTGGCCACTGTAGTCTCAATACTGCTCCTCAAATACCGTCGAGCTTGCTCGATAGTTTGGAGATGTTTGTCCAGGTTTCCTTGCAGTCGCTTCATCTTGCTCTGCATCGCTACTCTCTTGTTGGGCGACATTTTGTTCAACACGTCTCTAAACATGTTGTGTTATTGTTCAGACAAATAGTTGAAAATTTAACAGTCATTGTTATAGATTACATACTACAGAGCCGTGATATCTTATAATAAGTCTTATTTTTTATTTCAAGTTATTGTACTGCTATTTAGATAGTTTTTTGAGCTTCTTGCAAGTTACCCCAGCAACCTCCGAGTTACCCCAGCAACCCCCAAGTTACCCCAACAACTCACTTGGTGTTCCCAAGGTACTGACATATAATGTTAGCACTCTGCCCCCAACTATCCAGATTAGTGAGGGTATTGGAAATGGCAGGGAGTCCTCCGGATCGGGACTGGTTCATGTCAGGGGTCATAGGTGCACTGAGTGGGGTCATGGGACCACTCATAGGTGACATGCACTGCTGCTGAAACTCTTCTGTTAATAGTTTGTGTTCCTGAAAAATGTGGAGATTAATAATAAAAATATAGCTGAATGAATAATCGTGTGATGTCGGATGTGTGGTAAAAGCCATCAGGGTGCAATAGTACCTTAGAATTAGCAGCGAAAACACAAAAAGGATGATAAGGAATTTGACTATAACGATAAAACTTACAGTTTGAAGGAGCATGCTGAGAGTCTGAAGAAGAAGAACAGGGTTTTTACCGTACAAGTTAATAAGCTGAGCTCTGCACTGTGATAACTTGTGGGACGCCAAAACCAGATCTAACTGACCAGTATTCTGCAGCTCAACCACCTGACGGTATTAATAGTTTAATTGTTTAATCAATTAATTGACCCTGCAACAAACATAAAGGTATTTGACCTCCATCTTACTTATTCTGATATCTTGGTTAATTTCCAAACCCCGAACCCGCGAGATCCTCTTACCTTAGCGTCGAGAGCGTTGATAAGGCCAGCTAGTTCCTCCTGAGCTCGTGTTGGAGGTAACGACATCCAAGACCTGGATTCGATGTAATGAGCCAGGTGGTGCCGAACCTGAGAATAGCTGCTTTAACTTTTAGTAGTTTAAACTATTTCGATTTTGTCAAGGAACCTTGTTTTTCTCTAATAATTCTATGATAGGAAGGATGTCAATCATCCTGTGTTCTTTATTAGAAAACACATTAATGCACAGACTTGTGATGCTCCTCTTCAAACTATCTGACGATATCAGTCGATAAGTGGTTAATAACCACTTATCAACTGATATAACCACTGGTTATCAGAAAAGGATCCGATGAGACTAGATCCGATGAGGATTGAGGATAGGACAAAGGAACATATCACATGACAATATTATCACGTTTTGTGAAAAGTGATCAAGACACGTTTCCAATCTAAGCTGAGGAACTGAGCGACTTTTGCTACGCTATAATTTATAAATTTACCGCTGAATTAATAGAAGATAGATAAAATTGTTGCCCGCATAGGATTAAGGATAAAACGTAAACTTGTATAATTTATTAACCAAATGTTATATTCAAGTAATCCTAGAAGCTAATGAGGTTAAATCACAAAAGCTGTATATGACAATTACTGACGAAAATTCCGCCAGGAAAGTTAACTTTCGTACCATTCTATGAGGCAGGTCAACTCCCTACAACCATACAAAAAGGACCATCTCATTCTCGACATTATTCTTTCTTGACTCAGCCCGAATGTTTCTGTTTTATCTAACACTCCTGATCCTGGCCTACTCCGTGGAGCAGTCCTCGGCTCACGGTCCCGCCACTGCTCTGAGCTTTGGCAACGATCTCCAGAGCTACATGATGCTGCAAATGGACATGGAACCGGTAAAGGAAGCCATTTCGGTCTGTTCGTGGATCAACAAGAAAACAGGTGATGATGTTCATGATGCCTGGTTCACGTACAATGCACCTTCCAAGATTGATGAGATCTTAATTGGAGGCAGGATAAGGGGTTATGCTATCATGAACCAGGATAATATAGAGAACAGCCAGGCCGTTCCTTCAAACGAATGGCACCACGTCTGCATAACATGGGGGCATAAGACTAAGACCAGGGTACTATATTTTGATGGACAGGCAATAGCACAGGAAGCATCTGGTAACGTAAAACTGACCATGGGAGGATCAATAGCTATAGGACAGTTCCACCAGAAGGAGACAATGGAAGCTATATTCTACGACGGACATTCTTTCGGAGGTGAGCTCCTAAAGCTTAACGTCTACAAGAGGCAACTGGAAGCTGGGGAAGTAGGAAAGATGTTCTCCGCAGGGATGTGCTCCGATTTCGAGGAATCTCTACTTGGGGACGTATTCTTGCGATGGGAGACCATACTCTACGCTACTGAGAGGCACGGAACGATCACTGAAGTGCCGATTACATGCCCTGGAGATCACTGGAATGTGCTCTACTTCACAGACTTCTACAATAAGGTTAGAAATGGACAATGGTAATATTGTTGACGTGCCAGTCTAAGAGCTCAAAGATTACTCATGAACTGAAATTGATAATTCCATAGTAGTTATTTTTCAGCTGCAGTTATTCTAACTTGCTTATCTGCTTGACACTTGCGACGATGATAAAACATTTAAACCATAAAACTGCGTTATTATAAATTACAGGTGAAATTTAATAAGGTGACCTAATTTCGTAAATTGTAACTTTTCGTATCCCAGGTTGTGGACGATGAGATTCTGAAGAGGATGGAGGACCAATTCGAAGTTCTTGAAGAATTTTTCGGCCACAAAATAGACGACCCTCTCATCCAGCATCTCAAAGATCACCACTAGAGGGACAGTACAGCTAGAGGGGAATAATGTTTTGGAACTTTTTATCTTTAGGCAACGGAGATGAATAGTTCCTTGACATTGAAGCGTTGAATATCCATTGTTTCTCGGGCAAATATTTGTGAATTTTGAAAACTTTTAATTTTAGTATGATTTTTAACAAAAGGTTTAAAACGGCATATTTTTGAGAAATTTGATGGAAAATCCGCAAAAACTTACATTGAAAATAACAAAGTTATGTGTGTTTCAATTTGTTATTATAGGTACATTGCGAAGTGCTTAGATAAAAGTGAGTTGTTTATTTCCAGACTTGGTATGCGCATGAATATTGAAAATTCTCCAGAAATTAAATCGTGGGAAATCAATTTATATCGTTTACGGAAATGCAGTACAAAATGATTTTATAGGTGCATTTTTGGAATTCATTTCCTGATACAGTACTTAACAGCAACTGTATTTTCCAGATTACCTGTTGCCAAGTATGCAAAGTCCTGACCTCGATCATATCTACAAAACTCAACCAAGCCCTCTTCGAAGAGGGCTTGGTTGTAAGGGATAAACATTGCACTTATTATAGATCTAGATATTGGAAGGGAGTTGAACCATATTCTTTCTCAAAACACGACAATTTGAACAATAAAAACCCAAAATCACTGTCACGTGTCAAAACAAATATAGTACACTTCCCCACCAGTACCCATATATCTATGAACCCTAAATCAATAGATTGACTAACGTCGAGAGGAAAGTCCTTGTCTCGGTAGAGTTGTAAAGCTCTGTTAGGCTGGGTCACGAGAGCTCCCCATTGTGCCATATCTCACTTTCTGCTATATCTCTTTATTCCTGGTCTCTAAAGAGCTAGCTGCCTTAGTGCCCTGTGGGTTTGGAAAATGTAGCAAGAATCAGGGCTATAAGAAATTAAGTCTCACAGGGGCGGAGTATATCGCTGGTGTCAAATATTCATAAATTTTAATGGTAAACTTATTGAGTGTTTGGGTATCAGGGTAAGGAATCTTATATAATTATTAAGGTTTTTGAGGAGAAATTCTTTTTAAAGTGTAATATTTTCAGAGTTTTGGCAAACCTGTCAGAGATTGCACTTCTCTTCTCAAAACTGATTACACTCCTGTCCGATCTGAAACTAAAGTAACTATCACATCAATAGTGGAGATTGGTACGAAGTTCCTGTCTTTTTTACCAAGATAACGTCATGAACTTTTGGTGAACTTTTCCATCAAGCAGGAATCTCGACATGCTAGGATATCAGAAATACTGTGAATATTAAGTTATGATAGTTTAAAAATAATACAATAAAAACTATCACGATAAAGTTAAGATAAAATCCAAGCGAAAAAGCAGGCAATCTCAGGAAACTCAGGAAATTCCAGCTGATTCCTTTATAATAACGAGAGATCAATAAGGCAAAAATATTGTTAAATCAATAAATAATAATCGCAGAAACTGAGGTTAGTTCATTGTTTGCGTCTGATAAACTTGAATAGAATCAGGCGCCAATAAATCGTCTATTTCATGTTCTCATGTATTTGTAGAGAGATACAGAGAATTTGCGGGGTCACTGGCTGATAGGGCTGTACATCACACATTTGTCGTGAATCATGATCGTCACAAGATGCCAGATCCTGAATTTTGTTCACACTGTTTGATAGCCTCCATCTGCAGTCTTATCACACCTCTTACCTCCAAATACGGGTACGTTTTCTTCTTCTCCGACGATTTACGCGCCTGAATAGAGTGGCTTATTAATCACATCGCGCAATACTAAGCGTAGTTTAGGTACTGTGCAGTTTAATTAAAATTAAAATTTCAATTACTAAGCAAGATTAACAATAAATGCTTTCTAGTTAAACATTCGGGCACATCCAATAAATACATCAGCTAAACATAAAGATATAAACTTGTTGTTAGCGTCAGCTGACGTTGAAAGAAATAGACAAATCAGCAATGATGTTTGCAGTCGCCCCTAGACAAATAATCTCACGATTGAAAATGTAAAAACTTACAGCGCTGTTCGTTAGATACTCGACAGAACGATCTTCTTTCTCTTTCTCGTGCACCCATCTAGGTAACTTCTCATCCACCAACTTCTGTATCTTTTCACGCTGCTCAGTCACACGGTATAACTCCTACACAAAACACAAGTTAAGTAAAAACGAATCAATTTTTATCCGTTCTATGAAAAAGACACACCATAAAAATCTGACATGATGCCATCCAGAGTCCCACTGAAGAATAGATATAAGACCTCCACATTCTACATTCTACAATCTACATTCTACCATCACAAATCAGATGTCGAGCAAATACAACTGACATGCAATGTACACGTGACATACCGTGGCATAAGCCTCGTAGTTTAGAGGGTCCTCAGTGACCATGTTTGCTGGAGTGGCCGCGTTCTCGTGTTGATGTTCCAGTTCGGATATCAGCTTAGCCCGCATAGCCGGGGCCAGCATCAGATGTGTGCTGGATATAATATGGTATGAAAACTAATAACATCGCTAGCCGTTTGGGGGTTTCTAGAGAATGTTAAAACTCCTTATCTGCTGTAAACATCACGTCGTGTAAATCATGTAAATTATGATTTCCAGCGAGACTGTTTCAAAAGGTAAACATGTTAGATACACCTATTGTATTCCTGTATTAACATTACATTTACCTAACTGGGTGCCCACAAGGTTTCCTAGTATCTGGATCCACTAGATTACTCTTGGGACGACTCAGCATGTTGGATAACTTCTTATGTTCTTTGTCAATTAGGAGAAGGTCCCGAAACCGCAGATAATAAAGCAGCGGATGTTTTGTCCATTTCTCGGTGTAACGATGTATCGGTGTTCTCATACTATGAGGAAATTATTGTGAATCACAGAGAAATGGGGAAACGTGCAAACATGAGGTACCATTCGCTCATTCGATAGAGTTGGCGATTCAAGCTCGTCTTGCTAAAGTCCCATGTGATTTTATGCCACAAAATGTCATATTTCCAAATTGCAAATCTTAATATGCACCCCAACATACTAGTATACCAGTCAAATATGACATCATTTCTTAAACACATTTCAAGGCAATAGCGAATCATAAAGAATATAATTTAAGCAATGACAATAATAGTACATTAAACTAGTTGTTATAAATAAAGTACAACCAAATACGAAATGATAAGTTACTGGAATATACATATTATTATATAATATATGACATCTATTATCTAATACACGTCTTTTCATCACCTCGTAAACTTAATTCATAATACGACACGGGATTTATAATAATTATCCACACTGTCTGTTGATTTCTTAATAGCAAATTCACCATTATTCTCATTTTTATTTGGCCATCATAAGATTCCGAGAAGATTTTCAAGAGCCGCTGAGTATTGAGCAGTGACTAAAACTTTAGGCACTGTGAACAAAGTATGAACCTCATTTATTAGTGGCTGCTCGGTTAGGATCATACTTCTCCAACTTAACGATGGGTTTTAGAGTCTCAGCTAGATTCAGGAGTTCCACAATGGTAGGATCAGCTAAGTTGTGAACCTGCATGGACATCTCCACTAGGCACTGAGAGGATATGTCGGTGGTGTTGCTGGTGTCACCTGCCTTTGGTACCTTTTGGACCTGTAATCACACCGTTAACCTCGTAAAAACATTGATAAAAATAGAGATAAAGGTAGAGGATAAAAAAGATTGTCAATTTATATTTGACTGAGATCAGGGCAAAGGAGGAGAGAGATTGAAACACATTTAATACAGAGCTAGAGAGAGGTTGTCACATTTTCAGTTATCTCGAAGGCTAATGTCTACTGATTTCATTGTAATAACCTGGAATCTGATCAGGATTCAGGGTCACCCAGGAATCAGGATATGAGGAGAAATATTATTCGATCTTATTTTGAGATGAAAGAGTTATCGAAAATTGAATACAAAATCCAAGCTACATTGCGCGTTAAATGAACTGCCGTGACAATACTTGAGAATACTTAGGAAGATTTCGCGTGTCACAAACAAGTGAACAGCGCTATGTGACCGAGTTATGGACCCATAAATCTTAATAACAATCACTACCAGACACTCCTAGATCCCAGCAAACGGTTACAGTTCCGCAATAAACGGTTCAAATCTAACCTTGTATATGGTGGTCTCAATATGTTTAGTCCTATAACGCTTCCCTTTCATGACAACCTCGTAATCCGTTTTAAATCCAAGATCAGCGAGGAATTTGACGGGGTTATTTCCGACGTGTGCTCTGACTACTGTTCTTGTTACTAGCTTCTCGTGTGCCTGATAGGGTTTTATACAGAAGGGGAATATTAGAGCTAGTAAATTCGGATGAGATGTGAACGATGGAAATATCTTGTTAGCATAACTAAATCCATAAATAGTTAATGAACCTGGGTAGCAGGGGTTCCTTGGTATTCCAGCAATGTTACAATACCTGGGTATTAGGGGTTCCTTGGTATTCCAGCAATGTTACAATACCTGGGTATCAGGGGTTCCTTGGTATTTCAGTAATGTTACAATACCTGGGTATCAGGGGTTTCTTGGTATTCCAGCAATGTTACAATACCTGAGTATCAGGGGTTCCTTGGTATTCCAGCAATGTTACAATACCAGGGTATCAGGGGTTCCTTGGTATTCCAGCAATGATACAATACCTGGGTACCAGGGCCCAGGGGTTCCTTGGTAAGCCAGCAATGTTACAATACCTGGGTATCAGGGGTTCCTTGGTATTCCAGCAATGTTACAATACCTGGGTACCAGAGCCCAGGGGTTCCTTGGTATTCCAGCAATGTTACAATACCTGGGTATCAGGGGTTCCTTGGTATGCCAGCAATGTTACAATACCTGGGTATCAGGGGTTCCTTGGTATTCCAGTATCGTTACGCCCATTCCACCTTTACTACTCTTATCCTTCACCAGAGGCTGCAGATAAAATTAATAGTTAGAAAATTATTCAGTTTATCCTCCGCAGGTTCTATTATGTAAATACCGGAATTAAAGAGATAAAGAGTTGCAAGTGTGTTAACCTTTCTAACGACAGACACTTTAACTGAGTTGCTGCTGGACTTTAGAGCGTAGAAAGTCTTGTGAAAGTCGTCCTGTTCGGGTGGGCGGTCTGAAAGTCCCTGTAACACTGTTGTTAGTGTTGGAGAGTAGTTTGTGGTTTATGAAAAGAGGGCGTAATACAACAGAACATTATTAGAGTTTTCAGGTTCTGAACACACTCAGTGTAAACATACTTCTAGTCTAGCGTGTAGAGCTCGTGCTTGTTCTGCGTTAGCACTTCCCACTAGAACACACTCCTGGATGGAATGTTTTGTCTGCCCCATTCCTCCCATTCCTCCCATTCCTCCTCCCGTCATTCCGAACATTTCTAAAACTTTATACTTTTATATAAGGATTTATTGGATTATAAGCAATAATTTAGCATTTCTTAGTAGCTGTTGAATTTTGATTATAAATTTCAATATTGTTTTAGGTACAGCCATTACATACAAAGTTTTATCATAACATCAATTTTAATTCACCACCCTAGGGTGGCAATATAAAAGAAGACACAGAGAGACATCGTATTAATTGTTAATTATTGTACTACAAATAAAGATTAAAATTAGTGTGGGGAGATGAATTCTGGCGAAAAACTATCCAATTTATCACATAAATTTAGATGACAACGTAACCAACTTTAGTTTTGACATGAATCTCAATTGCATCTGAATGTTACAATCATCCGATAAAATAACACGTATTCACCTATTCAATATTCCCACAATATAATAATATATACAACATAAAACTGCGCAATTTTAGTTCAATATTTGGGTCAACATTGGGTCACTTGTGAACATTGCATAATAACCTATAATCAACATAATATCATAATAATTAACATAATATCAGTTCATTAAGAGGAGGAAGAATAAATTAAAAATTATGATAAACTGCAACAAATGAAATATAAAGTTATACCTTACGAGACATATTTAAAAGGTACGAAAGTCGGTGGTTTTCCGAAAAGAAATACCATATTTTCGGACTACCAAAATTTAGATCACCATAATTTTTTCCCCCAAATTATTTTTTATTTTCTTTAATTATCATGACTTTGTCGATTTACTATCAATATAGTAAGTTATCAATATGATTCATCTAACAAATGAACACTAGTATTACACCTAGGACTATACTGGAGAGAGAAACGCCCCTGAACCAGAAGATCAAAAAGGTCAAGAAGAAATTGACTTGTAATTTTTCAAATTTCATATTTTATTTTATTGATTATCTCAAATATTGGGTTTTATTTTTGTAAAATAAAGAATGAAAAGAATCCCCAAATACCATGATTTAATTTGGGGTACGAAATGAGTTGGTTTTCGGCAAAAAATCCCATATTTTCGTTCCCAAATCATTTAGGTCACCGGAATTTCGTCGAGTACAAATATGTCTAGTAAGGTATTATATATCAGGTCCCATTTGGATTAAGATAACGAAAATCATAATGTATCTTTTATATAGCACATAGTCGCAAAATTACAAAATTTAGAAAGTAATATAATACATTTCTAAAGATGGGTCACAGAATTTAAGAAACGACATAATCAAAGACTATTTGTTCTGTTTTTTGAGGATTTTCTTCCTTGCTTCGAAATCTTCTTTTGTTAACCTGTAGCCCCAATGTTGCAACGTTTGCCTGATAACGGGAGAAATATTCATGTTATCATAAGCTGACTCCGTCTTAACAATCTTCCCAATCAGAGTATTCTTCCATCTTCCCTTCGCTCCAGTACAGTTCTTCCACCTCTGAATTTGTCTAGCATCGTCTTTAGTTCGCCGTCCGAGATAAAACCTGCAATACCAATGGAACCAGCCGTACGGATCCTGCTTGTTGATCCAACCGCTTGATTCCCACATGTCCAGGTCACCTCCACACTTCTTGCCGTACGTGTTGACTCTTTCGTTGTAAATGGAACAGGCGACTTTGTTCTTTATGTTGAGACCTTCTAGCCAATCTTGTGGCAGCTCCAGCCACTGTTTGTTGTACTTCAGACCTGTAACAGACGATTTGATGGGTCTGAAGTAAGTACCGCCAAAGCTACCAGCTTGGAGTACTTCTTTAGGCGACAAGTTTGGAGTGAGTTCCTTGCAGTCCTTGAATATTATTACACCGTTGCAGTTTTTCTGGGGTAGCTCAGCTTTGTAACCATCCCTTTCTCTGACTTCACTCTCTGTTTTGAATACCTTTCCTTCAAAAACACTGATCGTGTTACCATCTGTCTTTGCTTGTTTGGTTTTTTGTTTGTCGGAAGATTCGACCTTTCGTTTTCCTGAACTTGTTGACATTTCTCTAAAATGTAGGTTTGCAGAGATTAAGAATTGGAATGAGAAAATGGACGGGTTTTTCGATGTCTGGAGAGTATAGAAAAGGAAACTTCTTGAACTATTCATACACCATTATCTAACTGTAAAGGAAGTTATTGAGAATGGAAATTTACTCCAAATCATCAGTTAATTTGCATCCAATACTGAAAAAATCTTTTTTATTTATGGACTGATTCAAAAAGATACACGCCAGATCAGTAAAAATGTGAAAATTGAGATATTTTGTAAAAATCACTTGTATTGAAGTACAATTGAGATAACTATGTCAATAATCAATTTTATACGTTATGAGGTAGAGACTCTAGAGAGGAACGATGTCTACCAAGCAAAACGTGTGAAATATTTTAAAACGTTCAGTTGACAGCTAAGTCGACTTCTTTTAAAAGAAGCAAGTTCTTGTATTCCGCAAAAAATTCTACATCTGTACATCTACTTAGCCAGACCTGGTGACTAGTCTCATAACCTGGTGAGTAGTCAGTAGCAAAGTTAAAATCAAGTACTGTCACATTGTTACACACTACCTTTAGGTGGGTACAAGTTTTAGTTATAATCCAGTGTTTTACTTTGTCAGGTGGAACACTGTCTAAGTACTGTGTATTGTACCTACTTCCAGTACACCCCTCTATATAATAACCCCACTGACTGGTGTTTATATTCTCACATCTTATACCAATCCACATCTCATCAGTACTACCCTCTACAGGTAGAGTATACAACACATCAATATATCTATGTAACTCATTATCTGTTGTTATCAACTGTACTGGTTCGTCTGGTAACAGGGGGTACTTTGTCCTACTTACAGTCTGTATCCAACCTGGAAATAAACAGGATGAATTAAATTCTCAGTAAATGATTAATGTTGGTAAAGATAGGGTGGCTACTCAATATAACTTTGACACGTGACAGACATTAACCAGTAAGCTCGCAGTATCAAGCAGATAAATTTCAGAGTAACTGTAACGTACTAAATAATCTTGCTTCATAACACATTCCGTCATAACTCGTGAGCACTATTAACATAAATATCATATGTTTTTTCGTTACAGGATATTTAGTAAGTAAGTAAAACAAGTACCAGATAAGTAACCGGGTTCACTAGATAATCATATAATTACCTGATTTAATTTCGTCAGTTTGTAAAGCCACGTCTTTACACAAATAATCATCATCGCTATCTTCTAAATCTTCAGTAATCTCATCTTCTTTTAGCTCTTCTTTAGAGCTACTTGAACCTCCGATACTCCTCACTTTAACAAATCTTTCAACAACAGCTTTAACTTCAGCACTTTCAGAGTCTTTAGAGATTTCAGCTAGGAAGTTAGCCAACTCGTTGAATTCAGAGGGAAAAGTACAGGCTGAATTTCTGGACATCAAGTTTTTGCAGCAAGTACAGAGAATTTTCATCAAATCCTTTGCATCTCAAGGTTAAGGAGAGATAAGCTGAAAGGTACTACCTGATGATACTGAAATCATTACCAGCTATAGCTAGAGACATGTCTATACGACGTTTTGGTAGCTCAGCAAAACCAGCCATATATCTTTGTATAAACGTAGACTTGCCAATCTCACCGAAAGTAACATTCTTTACAAAGCAGCTCACAAACTTGCTCTGTTTTAGATTGTGCTGCGCTCGACTGGCTATCTCACAGGCAAACAGAATATTATCGTATGATATATTCTCGAATTTCAGGACATCTGTTTTAAAGTACTTCAGACATCTTTTAACAAGCCAGCTAACATCAAATACGTGAGCCATTTTGTTTACTTCTTCAAATATTCCTATCTCTAGTTTCTCCACCTCACCGGTATACATTGCATCTACAAAACAGTCTACAGCTGGCTTTGTGAAATCCTCCATTTCAAGGGTAGACTGAAATGAGATTTATTAACTTTTAATTAAGTAGAGGTTTTAAATTACTAGCTGGTTCAGGTAGGTTAAATTTGATAACAATTCTTTTCAGGCCGAAAAATAAATATTACATTTTTAAATTCTAAGTTAAAATCTGGTTAGTTGCAGCTCAGTTATTGGACATTAAGGTTTTATTCCAAGTCTTACCTGAAACAAGTTGGTAGTAAGATCATCAATAACAGGACTATTAAGAGACATAATCATGGAGTTAGTTCTGATTTCCTGTCCATCTTTTAGTTTCAGAGCAAGATTACCATGTACTGGGGAGTTGATGTGCTCCTTCCCAAAATTAAATGGCACTTTAAATCTTGGACTCATAGCTAAAATAGTGATTTGTAAAGATAGGACACAAAACAGATTGCTATGAAGAACAGTGCTCTACTATGATGATTATTTTTAACAACTAATTAATAATTATACCTCTAATACTTTTTGAAAATTTGGAATTATATATTTTGTAAATCTGTCATGGAATTGAAGTCACCTTCTAAAACATAACATTTCAAGCAAGAATACACCAGTTCTGATAAAAGTAATTAGATCTCAGTTTACTGTTAGAGAAACGAGTTGGAAGAAATCTAAATAAATTAAATACCCACACGTCATAATAAAAACTGTTTGATCTTCAATAAGTTAGATGAAAAATTTAAAAACCTAAAAGAACAGTAAAAATAAAATTCACCCAACTTTTCTGCCTCTCCAGAATTTGCCTCTTTGTTTCCTCATCAGCCCTGATGCAGACCTTCCCAGCTGTCGCCTCTCAGTCTGGTGCTGCTTCATCTCTTCTGTCCTCTTCGATTTGTGGGTTGTCTTCTCAGGCTCCATTTCTACTTTCATTTCACGAGCACCAAACAGCTGGGTCGAGGATGTTACTGCGCCGGTATTCTCTGATAATCTTTGACCCAGTGGAATTGATGTAGTAACAGAGCTTTTCTTGGAGTATATAACAGATTCATTCTCAAGGCTGACAAGCTTCATTTGACGTTTTCGTTTCACTTTCTTGAGTTGTGCAGCAGATTCCTCTGCCTCGCTGTCCTCTGCATCTGATGGAGCGTTGTACAAGGTGAACTCACTAGACTTGCTCTCATGTTTACGAACAGTTGGATTGATCAATTTGAACTGTTCGCTCTCTTCGTCCACTTGGAAGTCTGGATTAGAGAAAAGTAAACCAAATCTGTCATCCTCCAACAGTTTGGATCCCTTGTGCATGTCTTTCATGGCTAGAGATTTATTAATTTTTGGGAGCTTCTTCACCTCCACCCTGTCTTTCATCTGAGACTGCAGCTTCTTATCCACCACACCTTTTTTGTACTCTTCAAAAGCAAATGGGTTGACTATTTGCTTCACCTCCCGATATAGTTTCATATCAACAAAGAAGCCATGCATGTAAGCTCTGAGATAGTTGGTACCTATGAGATGAGATAAGCCAAGTGACTCCAACTCTTCCTTAGTGACGAATTTGTAATCATCATACACAACATTCTCAGTACTTTCTTCCAGCTCTTCAGTGAGGTTGTCCAAGAACCAGCACCATTTTGGAGCTGGGCCAAGTGAGGGGATAAAGTAAGTTTTCATTTTCTGTCCTTCATTAGCAAAGAAAAACATTCCACTTCCCTCATACCACGCCACGTCACAAATATCCTCGTCTGATTCAATTGCTGTGAACGGTTTACCACTGTCCTTGTGCCACACTTTAAAACTTTTGGAACAAGCAGATATGACATAGTTATCAGAGTCTGAGTTGTAGAAATGGATGCTGTTGATGGGTTTCTCATAATAATGGTCTTTGCTTAAAATAGGTTTGGTAGAGCGAATATCGTACAAGATAACCTGCCCAGATTCAGTGCCAACACCCAGTTCAAGTGTCTTATTGGATTGGATACAAGTTATATTCTTTGTGTCTGGAACGGTGAGAGTAGCACATCTGGATCGAGAACGGGGATCCCAGCATTCAACTGTACCACTGTCAGTGCCTGAGGAATGAAATATTATTTATTAAGTAACAATTTAGTTGTCACATAGAGGACAGTTTGAGCAATAAGTTTGAGTAAGTGAATTATCTGTACACTGACCAAACATAAGAAGAGAATGTTGAGGATGAATGTGAGTCACATTAACTCCAGTTGAAAGTGTTTCAATCGGGTTCATAAACGTTCCTTTACAAAGATTCAGCCGATATACTTGGGGACCAGTAGCACCTGAAATGGATCAGTTGAATTCCGAATACTTGTAAGTTTTAAAGCCCTGACTCCTAATTAAAATCGTTCTTCCATGCAAGTAAATTTAACCATCTACTGTATCTTTAACAATGTCAGAAAATTTAATCAAGGTCTAATTGTACCTATAAAAAGTTCAGCAGCTCGTGTATAGTAGCACAGATCACGCCCAAAAGTTGGTATCCTAGTTTTGTAGTAAATTCCGTCCTGCGTTTGAAATTCGATGTGTCTGTCAGATTGGAGAAGGACAATCTTCTTCCAGTCATCAGAGAGGATGTGAAATGCTACTACTTCATGGTCCAAGCCTCTCTCAAATTTCATTGAGAGTTGCTTTGTGTCAAAACACCTGAGATTATCATTTTTGTCAAATTTATCATGTTTATAATTCATGAACCCATAAATATTTGGGAGAAGTAAATGACCATGGTAAATCGGCTTTGCAGTAAATATGGATGCAGTTAACCAGGGTTTTACTGTACTATAATTTATTGAAATTTTTAGTACATCACATAGGTACTAGTTATACTAGTACAGATAAAAATAAGAAATATTATGAGACTCAAACCTTAATCTGGGAGGATACACCCCAGAAACATAGATGTGTGTCTTATCTGGAGTGATAGCAATCTTTTGACTGCTTATAGGCATTTCAAACTCCTGCATCAACTGAATTCTTTTCTGAAGGCCAACATCTGATTTTAACAGCAACCGCTTCTTGCGATCAGACAGCCAATCAGGAATAGACTTGCCATGGGTCAAGTTATAAATCTTAACATCATTAGGGTTGAGCACTTGCATGGTAGTTGATTCTAAAACATTGCTCCAACTATAACATAATTAACCTGAAGGTATATGTTCAAAATAAAAAGATAAAAATAGAAATTAGCAGTATTTATATTAAGTTTAAGGAGCAGTACCTACATATGATTATTACCTACATATTTGACGACTTTTTTCGTTAAATAATGCACCCTGGTTTACTCCGTCACACATTTAAGAAAATATATAAAGAATGTTTAGGGCACCCTGACAAGGAATAATAATAATAATAACAATTCTATACAGTTACATAATTGAAACAATTATAGCCCCTTATTGTGGGCAGAGTATGTGTCTTTGTTGAAGTGTCCTGGTATAAACTTATCTGAGTGACTGCATTAAAATAATTTAAGGAGAGTTCTCTTGAAACTTTAAAACAATGGGGATAAATACTAAGACCAAGGAATGCTGAGTAGTGTAGGATTACTTTACAACCTGGAAGTGCTGGGAATTGTTATAATATCATATAACTATACAATAGTTGCAAGCAAAGAGCACACAGCAGGCACAAATAAGTTTATTTTGTCACATACTCTTGATTATATCTACACATGTTTGAAATTGAGCAAATATTGATATACCATCTTAAACACCCTTTATTACATACTGGATCAATTAACAGAGGCGGCTATTGAGGGCGTCCAGGCGTCCGTGGACGCCTTAAAATTATTATCTGGTGGCTGGTGCTTAAAATAGAAATAGTAATTAGTAATAACTAATAGTGTTAGGAAATAACAAATCGCAATATAAAGGTCTTCATTTACTATCATACGTTTTAATGTAAGCGCACGCATGATCTTCGTGAAATTTTGTGTTGTAGGGAGTCCAATCCTACCTCTGGACTACTCAGCCGCGCAGTTTTAACACTACAGGTAATCTATTATGATTTGCCTCGATTTGGGGGTCCAGGACCCTTTGCAATTTGACTGCTATATGATACTGCGCGGCTGAGATCGTACACGTGTGGTGTCCTGTTTCACCCATGTTATAAGTTTTTGTTTGCTGTCGCCTGTAAAGTGTAACACATTACATTTACAAGGCCCTTTGTGTAATGTAATCGGTAGTTTGGAGGGATCAGCTTGAGCCGGCTCCCAAGCCCCCCTCCCCCCCCCCCCCCCAGTCCATTGATTGGACCCCCAACAAAACTACCAGTCAGCTCCCACGAGCCGCCTCTGTCAATTAACACTATTGCAACCACGCACCAGTCACATAAATTATTCTGTGGTAGTAATATGTTTACAGTGTCACAATTGAAACATCGCAACATGGTAAAAAATAGGTTAATTTTGTCACAAAAACTATTATAACTCTGTTTGCTCCTTGCTGGAAGATAACTAGTTTATCGGAATTCGTATATTATATTAAATTCTAATAGAGATAAAGTGAACTTCAAAATAGGGCAAGCAATATAAATTTCGTCACATAATTTGTCGTAATTACGGCCCCAACGTTTATGTGGCTCTTGCTATGTGTTGGCCCACAGCCAGAAACCATTGCAGATTGGCAGATAATCTGCAAGGAAATTTTCGATTTCGGAGGACACTTTTGGTGCCATAGAGGAAATTTATAAAGTCTACGATCTGAATTTTGAAATATTTTACCATGAATTTTAAAGAAAGGAGGGGTAAAGAGGAAATTTTCTAAAAACAATCCAAAATTGTTGACAAATGAAAGAAGAAAAAACTAACAGTTCTTTGAATCGTTTTTGAAACTGAGTTTGAAAATGATCTCTAATGCCAAATTCAAAATTGCTTCTAGGCCTTCTGTGTTGGCAAAATCATCAAGAGTTTTTGCCTGCGGCAAACATATCTTCAATTCCTGTCTGTGCGAAAGTTTAAGTTGTATGCACTCTACATTTCTCAGGATACAGTTGCCTCTACTCTGCAAGGCACATATAATAATTTGTGATTTTTTTTTGTTGGGGACCGGCCCGAAGTACCAGCCAATGTTTACTCAAAAAATAATATATATAATAAGTGTTATCAATTCAAACTCAAAACTCATACAAGATTAGATCTCATTAAAACGATTAAAATGTATATAATAGAGCTTGTCGAAACAAAACATAGCTGAGCACATATAAAGTTGCCTTTAGTTGAAATTATCATATTAATATGCTTTTAGAGTTGTTAGAGTGGAAACAGGCGCATAGCTACTGCTAGCTAGCTATTCCAAAATTTTTAAAATTTAACGACTGTTATCAGTCGCATAGCGTCATGCCGTTTTTGCTGGCGAATTGATGGCAGTGTAACTGAGATGGTATGCAGTGAAATTGATTCTGTGATGGCGTGCTTATGGGACAGAGTTATTATTAGCATTACGGTTGATGTTGCGCTCTGATTTCCTTAGTCCCGTTATATTGTATAACATAAAGTTAGGCCATTCGTCTGCAATGCCCTCGTTTTGTTGATCAATGAGCATGTTTTTTATGCACCTTTTGTAGATGTTAAGGTTGAATAGACTTGGCAAGGAAGTTGCTGCGACACTATATCTGTTTATTGCTAATAGTGGACCTTTGTAGAATACTGAATTATTGTAAGGGTGTTTACCGTATTCATCTGACCATAAAGTTGTAAGACTCGAATCCGGATCGGCGACGTTAAATATTGGTGCACTGTTAGGTATTGTTTTCTTTATAGAGGGAGGCACTAGACTTGGGAAGTTTTTTAGCTTATGTATAAAAACTAATGCGTTCTTCACGATGATACTTTGAACTGTCAATATTTTGTGTACATAGAAACCAGACTTGGTACTTGCTGGTGGTGTACCATCTTTGTACCAGTAATTAACAAAACCTGGTAGTATTGCTCTAAGACCCATTTTCTGTTTAACAAATAGTGTTTCTGTATGGGATTTGGCAGCAAAACCCCAGACGAGGGAGCAGTAATTAAGGTGAGACTGCACAAAGCTGTGATATATTTGTAAACGTGCTTCCAGAGGCAAATATTTTTTAAGTTTGTACATGACTCCAATGTATCTGGCCATTTTCATTTTCATGGCAGAAATATGTTGCGACCAGTTCAGTTTGTTATCTATTATAACACCTAAGAAACGGGCTTCTGTTTTTCTTTCGATTGTGACACCAGAAATTACTACATCGTGATAAATGAGGTTTCTTTGTCGAGAAAAGATCATATAATTCGTTTTTTTAAGATTTAGAGCTAATCCGTTGTTATCTACCCATTTAACTAAGACATCGCTAAGAATTTTGAGCTTATCATAAACCTCGTTTATATTTTCTCCTGTTAGGAAAATGTTTGCATCATCTGCGTACATGATGAAATTAGCTATTTCTGATATTTGAGGAAGATCGTTTATGTAGATTATAAAAAGGAGAGGTCCCAAAATTGAACCTTGGGGTACACCGTAAATAATTGGATTGGCTGAGGATTCAGAGGATCCAATTGATACAAACTGGTTTCTGTTCATAAGATATGATTTAAACCAGTTTAAAGCTAGACCTCTTATGCCATAGTGCTCGAGCTTATTCAGGAGTATGGATTGATCCACAAGGTCAAAGGCTTTGCTAAAGTCAATCAAGAGGAGCAAAGTAACTTGCTTTTTAGACATTGAATTGAGGATTCTGTCTTTAGCATTAAGAAGTGCATGTTCACAAGACCTACCTGGGCGGAAGCCGTATTGATTTTCACAAAGTATATTGTAGGTATCCAAGAAATTTATGACTCGATTGTGCATAAGCTTTTCGTAGACTTTTGAGAAAGTGGCAAGTATGTATGTATGTATGTATGTATGTCGACAGAGGGCAGCGCTAGGCCCGCTGTGGTGCCCTCAACCTACTTTTAGATTAGAGGGTCATGTAGGCGACATCCATGTCCAGTGGACAACGCAGGCCGGTGAGCTGTACACTGGGCACGCGCGCGTAATAATAGAGCTCAAACAGGTAATAGACCCCGCGAGCGTATAGAATCAGGATTTTACAGGATATGGACAGCCGGCCCTGTGACGGTGATGGATGCGTGCAAATCTGAGGGCTTGAGTCGATTGTATTGTGGTGCTAGTGTACTCTGATAAGTGAAATAGCCCGAACCAGGTAGCTCACCTGCTCCGCATCGCGGGGGGGCCGTTCCAATTTACAGGACGTGTACATGGGGAGATATGTCGACGCTCGTGAGTGAGGAATAGCTGAATTGTGATGTGTGGGTTATGATGGTGCTGTTACTTTATAAGTATTGAGTTTCACGCTACATAAATATTTATAGTAGCATGGTTAAGATTCATAGTTCGTAGTATAGTAGTAGTTAAGTCATTTTTCCTTGTTAATGAAGTAAGACGCATGAGTTGATAAATTGTTATCGGGTCTTCTCCGATATATTCAAGGTTGATGGCGATAATTAAAACAACGAAGAGCTGCAATTGTAGAAAGTGATAATAAATATTTGTAAATGAATCTCGTTTGTTTGTGAATCCTCTTTATCGACACTAGGCAGGGTATGATGTTGAGGCGAAGTTCGGGACTGATCTGGTATCATCTTCCTTGAGTTTACTAATCTTGATCAACCTGGAGTTTCAAGTATGTGGATTAGTACGTCGCAGTTTATTTTTGCGCAATCTCGGGCGCGCGCACTAAATTTTCTGTTAGAAAAATGACAGCTATTATGTTGCTACATCCTTGAGTTGTATGGCGTTCGCGCGTTACGTTTAATGCGGGAAATTTGAAGGACGGATTTTACCGGTTTGAGAAAATAGATTAGATTGTAGTTGTGTTTGGTGGAGCAAGGCGGTAGGTTCGTTTTTTTAGGGGTGATTAGTGGGAGTGTTCTAACCTGGTGGTGGTGGAGGAACTGCTAATACCGGATGAAGGGGTAACCTGGAGGCAGTGATTGGATCTCTACTGGTTCGGAGAGTGGGAGTCCCTTATTTAGGTTGTCTGCTGAATATCTGTGTCAAGTCGTCAATCTGGAATAACTCGGGTTTTAGTAATTTATAAGGTGGGCTGTAACATTGCGTTCCAGCCCTGAGAGGGAAAATAAACTGGTAAGAAGATGTGGTTATTGGAAAATTGATGCAGATTACATATTTTATTGACTGATCATAACACTTGGAATAATGTTATGTGGAGTCCAACTTGTAGTTATTCATCTCATGTGATGGTTTAGCGAAGATTTCTGGATCGGAGTAGTATGATGCAGATATCAGATTTCGTAGTGCTGATCCATTGTGTTGATGTACTACTGCTTAAACTGGTTTCCACGTATGTATGTCACAAGGGTAGCCGGGGTACTCGAATCCTAATTAGATCTCTAGCTTTGTGTTCGCTGTAGAGCGGAGAGTGGATATCCATAGTGCTGTGTACCTGTGTAGGGTTAAAATTCCAAGGTTGCTGAAATGGTGATGGTGTTAGAGAAAGACGCAAGGTGTAACACACCGTGGTAAGAAAGGCATTATGGTAGCAGAGAATGCATTATGACAGGAGAATGAGCGAAAGTAATGCAAATGAAAAAAAGGACCGAATTGCTGAGGTGATTGAGTGAGTGAGATGCTGCATTACTACTGGCTGACTCGCCAGCAACAATGCAAGTCCAAGAAGAAAGAAGGAGAGACACTGTCCGTTATCTGGGTGAGCCACCACCGACAGAGCTCCCACTTCTGTGGGGCTGAGGGTGTTGGCTCCAAGAACCAGCCGTGAGCAAACAGCGCCTGTCCCCCTCTATGGTTAACTTGAGAGTAACAGGACTATGCCATTCTCCAGGCCAATCCGTTCAGTAACCAGCTGACCCAGCACCACCTCTGATGGAAGATGTGGTTCGGATTGGACTTCGCTAGGATTTGTCAGTTTTTCTGTAGACACTAATGCTCCCTCGAGGAAAGACATGAGCCCCGGCGAAATTGACCAAAAACGTGGCAGGGATTCTCACCCTGCAAAAAAAAGTGGCAAGTAGAGATATCGGTCTGTAATTTTTGATGTCAGTTTTAGATCCACCTTTATGTACAGGAACTAATTTTGCCGTTTTCAAGGCTTGGGGAAAGACCCCTTGTTCGAACGAGCTGTTAACAACGTGGGCCAATACAGTGGTAAAATTATGACAGCTGTTGGCAATTTTGAGTGGTTGGATTTTGGTGTCAAGAGTAGCTTTATTCTTAAATAGGTTAATAACGTCTTGAACTTCGGTAGTTGTGACTGGTTTTATGTAGATACTATTTGGAGAAGGGTTACGTAGTGTCCCCTGGGCCCCACCAGGATCGAAAGTGGTCCTACTAGTAATTTCAGATTTAATTTTTGGAGCGATGTTTGAGAAGTGATCATTAAATTTTTCTGCTACTGCTGCCGGAGTGCTGACTTGTCCGTTTTCGTCCGACAGTTTTATCGATGTAGGTTTGGCTGGTTTCCTATTCAGAAGTCCGTTAATCATCTGCCACTGCTTCTTAGAATTATCTTTGTGTTGTTCAAAGAATTTTTTGTAGTGTATGTTTTTGGCTTTGTCAACGTGTTTGGTGCAAAACTTTTTCAAACGGTCATATTTTAGCTGGTTCCTATCAACTGGTTCCTTAACAAAATCATGATATGCCTGATTTTTACGTTCTATAGCTTCTTCAAGCCAGGGCAGTATCCATGGTTTGGGATTAACACGTTCATTTTGTCTGCGCTCGGACTGTCTTTTTGTCGGGTAGGCAGCGTTATAAATCCTGTTGTAAGCCGAATTTAAACAATCAAACTGCTGGTTAGCATCAGGGGTATTTGTTAGTATTACAGACCAATTTTCTTCCATTATTAAATCTCTAAATTTATGGTTGTTGGCCTCATTAAAACTACGTACGTTGGTTTGTGTTGGATTTTGATTATAAGATGCGGAGCGGTAACTGCTGGTGGATGTATTATCAAGATTAATTGTTGTAACTATCGCTAAGTGATCCGACAGATCTGTCGTTAATATGTTGCAGCTTATTGTATCTTCAAGATTGTTCGTGTAGATATGATCAATAAGCGTGGCACTGTGGTCTGTTATGCGAGTTGGACGTGATACAATTTGGATGAAACCGTAAGAGGATGCAATATCTATAATGCTTTGACATGCCTGGTTGCTACTGTGCTTCAGTAAATTTAGATTAAAATCTCCATGTAACGTCATATGTTTGCGAGAGTGTCTTCCCAGGTTGTGAAGCGTACTTTTAAAAATTTCAAGAAATGCTTCAGGTTTTCTAGCGGGAGAGCGATAAACATTTCCAATTATCTTTGTTCTATTATATCCTTTACACTAGTGGATCTTGATAAATTGAAATTCGCCGCTAGTATTTGAGGGTTCAGGGTTGGGATTGAAAATATCAATTTTATCAGAGTCAGCTACACGTTTGTGTATGTATATGGCAAGCCCCCCACCTTTACCCGATGTGCGGATGGGATCTTGGATATACGGTTCATGGAATCCATTTAATGTGATGTCGTTTATTCCGTTAGGCAATTTTTCTAGTGTGCAGTTAGTTTCGTTAAAACACAATACATCATACTTATCATATATTTCTATATCTTCTCGTAGTTGATAAATATTTTTGAAAAGGGATCTGATATTCATGGAAAATGTTTTAAGTTGAGAGGATGTCGACCTTTTTACGTTACGTTGCTGTTTATACTGACAGTGAGTTAGGAAAGCCGAAATGTCACTCCATGTTGAATCCTGGTGCTCTTCATTGGTCATGGCGTCTCCAATAAGATTACATCGACTATTTTGAGCGTATGGATTATAAATAGCGCAATTAAGCTTATTGTAGTCATCGTAAATTTCATAGTAAGTCGCGTAAAATCCAGGAATAAGACTTTCACAACAGCTTGTACAACCTAAATTTTCCTTAAAACATTTGACGTGGACGTTGTTTTGGCACCATGAACAGCTGCGGATGTTTTTGGAAGAATAACACCAGCCGCTACAGCTACACCATTTTATTTTGATTTTATGACCAGAAGTATCAGTAACATTTCCATTCGCTGCCATTTTAAGTTAACTCTTATGCTTGTGGAGGAATTAGAGAATAAAAAATGTATAAATTTATAAATAACTATATATATATATAAATTTCGCCCTTTATGCAGATGACACTAAAATTTGGAGGGAGATCCTTGGTTACCCTGACCATCACATAATCCAAAATGACATCAACAGATTATATGATTGGTCAGTGAGAAATCGAATGAAGTTCCACCCACAAAAGTGCAAAGCCCTCTCTGTGTCCCTGCAAAGAAACGTGCTGGATAACTTGCCATTCAATACCTTCTTTTATAAACTTTCTGGAAGTGATATTGACTTTGTGCCCTCTCAGTCAGATTTAGGAGTCGCAATAAACTCCAGGTTTAATTGGAATGCACAATGTAAAGCGCTTGTTTCCAAAGCTACCTCTAGACTTGGACTACTTAAGAGAACATGTCATTTCACTACTGATAAAAGGCAGAAAAGATCGTTCTATTTAGCGTTAATTAGGTCTATATTTGAACATTGTTCTGTCATATGGTCCCCTCAATCTGCAACTCATCTTCAACAGTTTGTTGCTATCCAAAAGAGGGCTATTAAATGGATCAATGGTGAACCTTACTCCAGTTATAATGACGATAGACTTGCTACAGAGCAAAAGAAACTAAATATTCTCCCTGTTAAACAGAAGTTTATTTATAACGATCTTATGACCTTCTATAAAATAGTGAATAGCATAATTCCAGTTTCGCTCCCTACATATATAGTCCTATGCCGTCCAGAGGGCACCCGATACACTAGGCACAATGCTCAAATAATTGATATGTCGGATACTTCAACTTACATGAGTACCACTGTGCCCTGCTCGGATGCCTTCCGAAATAGCTTTTTTCATAGATCTATGCTGAAATGGAATAGTCTACCAGTATGTATCCGGCAGTCAGAGCGGATTTCTACTTTTAAGGTCAAACTGATCAAGTACCTCTGGGCTGCCGATACAGTCTGGCCAGATTAGCTCATCAGTCTTATGAGTCTCAGAAATTTGTTTTTGTTGGTTACAATTCTGTCCGTCCAATTTCCTATCTGCTTGTCCTTTTCTTTTTTCTTTATCAGTTGTGACGGAATTGTAATGAACAAAATCCTTATAATTATTTATGATATGTTTGATTTCTTGTTAATGTTTGTCATTCAAATTTGGTAGACGGCCCCAACGTTAATGTGGCTCTTGCTATGTGTTGGTTCAGCCGAATTAATTATTATATAATCAAGTTTATTTTTCTCGTTAGTTGTCATCCGGCCAAACATTAAGCAACTTATATTGCAGTACCATTTACCATTTAGTATATCAAAATATGTCATTGTAATTTTGCATGGCTGAAATGTAACGCTTGATTTATATATATAATGATTAATTGAATTTTCAAATAAAAAAAAAATATCTATACTAGTGCAAATCAGATTCTTTCACGAGAACCGGAGGTCCTGTATGCTACAGAATCGTGATCTGAGTCTTATCTACTTATTTGTTAAAAATATTCGCTAAATCAAATGTTACAATATAGTGCCCTTATCTCGATTTTCGGGCTTATCAGTATGATAATATGACTTTACCTAAAGTGTATATTAAGTCGTTGTGATTTGTATGTGTGAAATTGTTTCGTTGTGTAGTTTTGTGTGGTGATTTTTGCTATTTAGTTGTTTGTGAAGTTTTCGAAAATACTGTTGCACTGAACTTTGACTGAGGAAACGTGCTTGATGCTGATTTACCAGAGAAGCTTCTATAATTATTAAATAAAATGTGCACAGTTTTGTTTGGTAATGTGAAAATGTTTTAGGAAATGTATGGTGGGATGATAAGAGACAAAAATGCTTGATAGTGAAAGAATGTTCATCAGTTCATCTGATAAGCTTAAGAAGATAAGCATTTTCGACCAATCAGATCATTTCTTCAAAAATCGATCGTGGTAGCAATCAAATGATGAATTTGGATGAGGAGTGAGGATGTACTGAAAAAGATATGAAAATACTTGATGATATGCTTAATTTAAGGGCTTGACAGAAAAGGTTGATTTTTATATAATTAATTCATTTATGGATTAGTGCTCAACCACGGTGATATCTGAAAGGACTGTTAGGCTCATGGTGGTAGAGCCACGCACAGTTCCTGTGGCGTGGCAGTTCTGATCCACATAACTTGCCAACGCAGTTGACAAGTTCATATGCAACAGCCCTTCTGACATCGTGATGTAAATGGATGCCATGCTTATCATTGCGGTCCCATACATAGTATGAATGAACCCGCTTGATAACGGCATGGGCATCTTAAAATGTCATATTGGGTATCACCCTGGCGAGATTCACCATACATAGATTAAAATCATCAATTTCTCTGTTCAACCAACCAATTCTCGTTAAAGACAAAGCACAAAAAACAAACTGTGTGCTTTTGTTGCTCTTACAGCTTTCGACAAGGCGGGGACAAAAGTTATCAGCCAGACTCTTGGCAGATTTTCCATACCGATTTTTCCATACCGTGATAACTACGACAGATGGTGCAAGCTGGTAATGTTTTACTTTTGGGTTGTACGAGAAAGCCATTTTGTAATACACTATTTTGAAGGGCTTCAGATATTTTGTTATTGTAGATTTTAATGTGGCCAAGCAAAAAATTCTTGCTTTGCAGAGCAACGATTTGGAAGGGTTGACATCGTCAATCAATAAATTACTTACTGTTCCGCGCTCAGCCTGTCATTCCGCTGTTTATGAACATATTATAGCCTGAGCACTGAGGTCCCCAGGTAATAAATTACTTGTTTTTTGTCCTTTGTACACTCTTGTAATGCACAAGGTGGAGGGCTTCGACGCGCCGCGCAAACTACTACGTTGCAGAGCAACGATCTCATCACTCATGGAAGGGGTAAAAACGTTAATCAAATTCAATGCACAAGAGGCTCACATATAGCTCGACGTTATCGTGCTACACGGTGAATTTTCGTTCGCGTTATTCACAGTTAGAGGCAACTTTTTGTACCAAATTTATCCAAATCAGAGACAAAAATTCTGTGCCAACTCATGGCGCTTATTACATAGACTACAGTGGTGTATTTTATTTGTATCACGTTGCGACCCCCACGGTCGTTTCACTAGATGGTGTCCTGATCCTGACGATCCAGCTAGGGGGGGCCGCACACTCGTGCGCGGCGGGTCATACAACGTATGACAAGCATTTTACATATAATAGTTTGTTAATCTCTCGCTAGTTCTTGACTTCACCTAACCATGTACTTTCGCGCCACTGCGGGCGCGCTTGTTTCACTGCAAGTTAAGCGCTTGTTTCACTGCAATGTGCAAGCGCAAGGGCTCTGGATAGAGCAAGTTCTTGACCATTGTTAGGGGTCGTTCACATATTACGTAATCAGCCGAGGGGGGATCAGGGGGGGTTTCCAAATGCTTACGGTTGATTACGGGGGGGTTGGGGTTGTCATGCGTTGTATGACCCGCTGCGCACGAAGTGCGTGGCTCCCCCTGTATCGTCAGGACGATAAAGGGGACCATAGTGAAACGACCGTGGGGGTCGCAACGTGATACAAGGGGGGGGGGGTTTCGGTCGTTGATTACGTAATCAAAATTTTCTTTTTTACCCTCTAGAATAATAACAATTTGACAATATTTTAATTCAAATTCCACTCAATTTCACTCTGAGTCTGATAGTGATAAAATTTAGAAATTGATCGAATATCCGGCTATAATAGTAAGTAGTTTAGAAGGTGCTTGGCCGGATATCATAACAATGATTTCGGCTCATCATGATTTGCTCTAACCAGAGCCCTCTCGCTTGCAGTACGTGTATACTAATACACATGGCTATGTGAAGTGATAACGCAATAATAATATATGTGATGCGAACGACCCCAAAGGCCAAATCAAAAGTGTAGTGTAAAAAAGTGTTATACTTATTGCTTATATTATAACACCAAAATTATTCTTAAAGCATAATTTTTTAACGGTGTTAAAATCATAATATACTTTGCATCACATTTTACATGTTAACACCGCATTGAAAATCCACAAAGCCAAATCAACCAAACATGACAAGCTCGCGATCATGATGAACTAATAGTTCAATTTTCTGTTTCATCATTATGCCATGTAGTATGCGACGCTGTTCAATTTAAAACTCTCACCGTTGCTTGAGATCGGAAACTTTGAAGTGTACTTGGAATAATGGCAGTCGACAAGCTAAAAACATGACTCTACAGCTTTTCCAATTAGCGGATTTATACTCAAAGAACCAGCCGTACATTCATACTGTACCGGCTTCTTTATTTAAAGTAAACAATTTTTATGGTCCAGACTTCAGACTAACGAAGTTTTGTTATTTGTTTCGATTTTGAGAGTTGTTTGCTGATTTCAGAAGTAATGTATTTACTTCTGAAGCATCACACAGTTACAACTGTGCGACCTTGGTTCTCGAATCCGCCCGACCATACAAACGTCTACTGGAATCCACTGTGGATTTGCGGAGTTCACAGTTTTTAAAACTATTTTGTTAAGTTGATAAATCTTTGCTTGACGGATAATAGTGCTAATTTCATTAAGGTTGTGGAATCGAATGCATAACTTTTCTGTTTTCGTTGAGTTCGTCGTATTTACGGTCGTACCAGCAGGAATCGGGATTTACTTCTAACTTTGAGCTTTAAATATGTCCGTATTGGAAAATTTTACAAATTCTATTTAAACTCTTGTTTTTTGAGACATACATTTTTTGATTAACAGCATGCCCCACCATGAGCAGACAAACGCATGAATTCAAGGCGAAAATCCCCGAAGAACGGCGGTAAGGTATCATTCGAGGAACTGCAGCATGTGTCTTCGAGGCGGCTCAACAACCTGCTTCAAGAAAACCTGCAGCATAAACTTCACCTCTTTAAGGTTAAATAATCTACAAATTTTTAAACTGGCGTAGAGTCTGACTATTACAAATGATTGTTGCGCTGCAATCTGTCTCTCCTTATATCCAGCTGTTTCAGTCAAACTACAAGAATCGAGAAAAGCTCCTCAACCGCCAGACTTCAAATCTACTCGAGCAACAAGCAGAGTACCAACACAGACTCCGCACTTGCAGTCTCTGCAACGGATACAGGAGACCACCCGTGGAGACGTGTCTGGAGGCAGGAGAAAGAAGTTTTGCAAGCAGCGCAACTAGTTCCAGCAGGATGGAGTCTAGGAGACCACCATCATCGGCCAGTAGCACCTGCAGCTTCTGCTCCACACCCCAGCTCGCTATAAGAGACTGTGTTCACCTCCGACATAAGACCCAGGACAGTTCCCTCGGAGATATTGATAGCTCTGGAGACAATATGACCGACTGTCAGGACATACTGAACTATTACAACGAGTTGATTGACAGAGAACAAACTAAAATACCCTGGTAGGGGGATTATCAGTACCGTCAACCATACGGCTGTGTTTGTTGGAAATTATTTATTCGGGCTTGACAAAAAGTAATCACATGTTACTAAAATATAGTACTTATCAGTATACAGTAATTTAGTTCCAAAGTACTTATTTATTCTAAGTTCTATTTACTGCCACATTGAGCGTAGAGTTAAGTGTGGCGTTCTTTAATCCTTTTATATAGAAACCGTAATATTTAATAAAGCATCATACAAACTTTGACGAAGTAACATTACTCACCGCATTATTCAACAATTATCTTTCAAAATGAAGAAACTGAGCTCCAAAGCTTTGTACGAAAATAGAAATTAAAGACAATATTTAAAAAGGTATTTAAAAAGACTTCAACATTCTCTAATTTCTATACAACATTATAATGTAAACCCCAATTGAGACTCTTTCTTTAGCCTGTCGGCTTAAAGGCGATAAGAAACTCGGGTCTTACCTAAAAATGTAAGCGGTGAAGGTCTTGTAGCGATAACATTAAATATCTCAAGTTAAATAGATCATGCAGAATTTAAACAAAATATTCGGGAAAAGCACATTCCCTACATTTTGCCCACCTTAGCTTAAATAGCGCAGTCCATCCGAAAATCAACATCCATAAATTCTTCTCTTCTTAATTAGGTTTTAAGTATTAGCTCAGTACTAAGAGAAATGATTTCCAGCTCTGATAAATAAGGTATATTTCGCATTAAGATCAATGTAGACTATCTACTGTGATCATTTTGACCAATAATGTTTTAAGTAAACCAAACGGATAGGACTTAGGCGCAATGTGCAATATAGCGCCAACCTCAGGTGAGATGTGCAATATAGCGCCATCATGTGCCCACCAGACCAGACCAATTTATCCAACCCGAGGTTCATCGCCTTCTTCCTCCGTCTCCCTGCCTATTTCGGCGGTCCAAAGCTGAAATGGAAACATTAGACTTGGCCTTATAAATTGTAGCATTTATAATACGCTTCGGCACAAAAAGCATACCCACAGGCCACAGAAGTTATATTTGTATAATACATTTAACAATATACATTTAAAAATATACATGTACTATAATAGTGGAACGATTGAGAATTGGCGGTTGAGACCTCTGATAATCATAATAGAGGGCCTTGCGGTGTTTCCACTCGAGACACTAGGAACCAACATACTTTAATAATAAACGTATTTTAGACTATGAAATCGATTAAAAGTGGTCCGGTAATGTCAAAGATTGGAGTGATTTTTATGTGTATTTTAATTGGCTGAACTTATTGTCAATTTCTAAAAACTACTTACTCTAAATTAGTGCACCATACGCTATTATACAATAATATACAATCAGGTGTAAAATGTATAACGACTTTAGATTGCTGAGTGTAAGAAATGTTGGCCACAAAAGCTCAATGCACAATTTCGGGAAAATAACATTCCAATGAACATAAGTAAGTTTTACAACTCAATAAAATGTGCATGTTACCTCTTGATTATTATTCAAAAAGGCTTTGCAATTATCATACTTAATCAACATTCAACATACAAATAGAGTTGTTGAAATATGCCCACCCGATTGTGTTTGAAAAGTATGCTGAAACCATAAATCAATCCTTCAGTACTAATACGGGCTCAGAGAATGTTGATATCAGTTGTGTTAAGAATGAAATGGACATTCAGCAAAATGGATATAGATATGAGTAGAGCATTCGACTCTGTTAAGAGAAAACTATCATCAACATATTACATCATGCTGGTTGCTCAGAAGATGATGTTTGACTAGTTCAGTAATTGGTATCTGACACCTTCCTCAAGGTTAGAATAAATTCGTCACAAGAGTGTCTAATTGGAGCTTTTCAGGTAAGCTTTTCAGGGTGACAGCTTTTCAGGTAAGCTTTTCAGGTAAGCTTTTCAGGTAAGCTTTTCAGGTAAGCTTTTCAGGGTGACAGCTTTTCAGGTAAGCTTTTCAGGGTGACAGCTTTTCAGGTAAGCTTTTCAGGTAAGCTTGCTGCAGCCTTTCACCATCTAGGAGCAGTATCAGATAGACTTAACCTACATATCTCTGATCTAGGACTACCAACTGAGATATCGAGAAAATGATGCTGTGAAGGAGGCTCTCTCTCTCTCTCTCTCTGACTGAAATCTTCAAATGAACGAATTAGAACTGAGTTCAACTCAGGCTCACTCTTGTGTACTGAGAAAGATATAGGAATACATAGGATTCTCGCAGATCTAGCCTTCAAAAGCATCGGCCACCGTGTCTTCTAATCGTAGTTTTACATCATTAATTCTGTTGACGCCCTGTCGTATTATACCGAGAATTTCCTGCTCTCTGCGTGCCTTGACACACCCAATATGAAATATGCATCACTTCATCATTTCAAATCACATAATTGTGAATTATTCATATTACATATGATTCAAAAGAAGTCTTATGTCATTGCAACTGCTGCAGAAGCTAGAAATTAAACTGGTGCAAAGGATTACATCACCCTTTAATCTAATTGAGAATGAAGTTGGGGAACAGGGGGGGGTCCAAGGGGAACTTTGGGGAGTTTTGGGGAACTTTTTTTTGGGGAACTTCAGGAAACCTGGGGGACTTTCCCAAAGTTCCCCAAAAAATTATCAATGAAACAAATAATTTTGGGGAATTTTGGGGAACTTTTTTTTGGGGAACTTCAGAAAGTTCCCCAAAATTCCCCAAAGTTCCCCAAAAAAATTATCATGCCAAACAAATTATCATGCTGCAAGTATCAACAAGTAAGTTAAGATTATACCTTATAATAACATACATGTTAACATTAATGGGTATTAATGTATATTAGAGAAATTTGGAATAATTTTGAATAATTTTGAATAATTTTAAATAATTTTGAATAATTTTGGGGAATTTTGGGGAATTTTGGGGAACTTTGGGGACCTTTTTTTTGGGGAACTTCAGAAATCTTGGGGGACTTTCCCAAAGTTCCCCAAAGTTCCCCTTGGACCCCCCCCCCCCCCCCCCCCCCCCCCCCCCCCCCGGAACAGTCTCTAAATTTCGATTTGACGTCAAGATCGTTGTATCACGTCAAAGCTAAGGTTGACTATATAATTATATTCCTCAGTCCACATTCATAGGTTTCTAACATAATATGTGAACGATTCCTTATGATTTGTATATCATTTGCGATCCTAAAACTTTAGTCGTAAAGTCTTAAGGGTCAAATAGATGGGAGGAACTAATCAGTGACCACTGCCTCCATGCCAGAGTCGTGTGTATAATCAAAACATAAATTTGCGTGAATTTAAAATATATACGTGATCTGTGGATACAGGTTGTTGAAATTGTAAACATAATCAGTTAGGGTCTAAAAAGTAACTATTTAAATTCCATTGACGATTAGACTCCTGCATGGGAAAACCTTTTTGACAAAGTAGTCACAAACAACAATTATTACTCACTGTTAAATTGTCTCTGAGAAGCTGCATGATCAAAGTGCTATCCTTGTAGGTATCTTGATGAATATCGTCCAGCTTGGCAATTGCTTCATCGAAGGCCTGCAAATTGCAAAGAATGAATGACCTCATGCACAGCAATAAGGTAATGCAATGATATTTCGAAATGAATGATGTAATTCTTTCGCGCGCTTGACCGATATACAATCAGGATGGTCCACGAGGATATATCTGTTCGAGTACGATTGAAGTATGATTACACCTCCGTTTGCTGTTAAGTGAAATATTGCAGAAGCACTTTACACTTATCCAAACGGATGGATAGTTGCCAAAATTGGGTCCCTCCTGAGGGCTGCCATGCATGCCTAGGGGCCTAGCTGAGCGCGTTTCCTCTGCGCGTGAATATAATTCATTTCCATGCCACACACTGCTCATTGCAAACCTACTTTCATAACAAAAACGTCGAAATTTACTAGTTCTAAAAGTGCTTGCTGCATATTTGTCCCGTTAGAATAAACCGCCCAAATTACTGACTCCGAGGCTGAAGCGTGAGGCGAGGAATACTCCGCATTTAACGTACAAGTGTAAGCTAAATTTTTGTTGCTCTAGTATCGGTATAAACACTTAAGCGATTAAGTTACAGTGACGTTTTAACATTCAAATGAGCGAGAAGCACAGAAGAATATTTTCAAAAGCGGTTCAACCCAAAAGCAGAAGGTGGATTATGACGATTAAAAGGATTTCGATTTACTACGAACTACTAGCCCTTACCTCTTTTGCTAGCTTACAGGCTTCACTACCCTCATTCATGATCTCGTAGTAGAACACAGAGAAGTTTAAGGCTAATCCAAGTCTTATTGGGTGAGTGGAACTCAAAGAAGTTTGCGCTATCTTCATTGCTTCGGTGTACGCTTCCTCTGAACTTTTAACTGTAGCTGAAAATAACGTAATTTAATGAAAATACAAACAAGTCAATGAGCCCATTACAGGTGACAACACACACTAGATTTACCTGTAAAGACATGGCGTGTGTGTGTGTGTGTGTGTGTGTGTGTGTGTGTGTGTGTGTGTGTGTGTGTGTGTGTGTGTGTGTGTGTGTGTGTGTGTGTGTGTGTGTGTGTGTGTGTGTGTGTGTGTGTGTGTGTGTGTGTGTGTGTGTGTGTGTGTGTGTGTGTGTGTGTGTGTGTGTGTGTGTGTGTGTGTGTGTGTGTGTGTGTGTGTGTGTGTGTGTGTGTGTGTGTGTGTGTGTGTGTGTGTGTGTGTGTGTGTGTGTGTGTGTGTGTGTGTGTGTGTGTGTGTGTGTGTGTGTGTGTGTGTGTGTGTGTGTGTGTGTGTGTGTGTGTGTGTGTGTGTGTGTGTGTGTGTGTGTGTGTGTGTGTGTGTGTGTGTGTGTGTGTGTGTGTGTGTGTGTGTGTGTGTGATGGTAAGACGTAATATCGCTATTCGCTATGTGTCGGGTGTAATGTTTATTTTATATAATTAGTGTGGTATGTTATGATTTGCACATTCAGCAATCCTTTTAAATAGGTAATTGAAAACTTTTTGATCTGATTCTTTCATCAAGTAGGGGCTCAATTTTGTCATTGTAAATCGAATGATACGGAGCTATCAAGCCAAATTGTAGTGGTGCGAGACACAGGTAAATAAGAAGTTGGTATGAAATGTCATTAGACAACATTTTAAATGGTAGACCCGAGAGGCATTACCATTTAGCAGAGGGTAATCATAAGATGAAGCAAACAGTTTGGGAACAAAATAAAACTTTAAAACTAAATAAAACTTAAAACTAAATAAAACTTAAAACTAAATAAAACTTAAATCTAGATAAAACTAAATAAAACTAAATAAAACTAAATAAAACTAAATAAAACTAACTACTATGTCGGAACTAAGTCCGAACTTGTCGATGTTGATAGTTGGATAATATCCGGTTGGAAGAGACAAGGACCTTGTCTCTTCCAACCGGATATTATCCAACTATCAGTATTTCAATCATGAGACTAATAAACAGCGAACTACTCCGTTATTTGATATTCCTTGTCTATGTTACTGAAGGAAGTTGGGACACACTTTAAAGAGGAACTGCGAACCCTGACGCGGGACAGGGTCCAGGGATATATGGAGGGGGTTATCTGGCGTAGATCGGACTTAGTTCCGACATAGTAGTATAAAGCTAAATAAAACTAGATAAAACTAAATAAAACTATAACCTGTTCTGTCGGGATCCTTGGCCACTTCAGATAGGTATCTATAATAATCCCCCTTCATTTTCAGGTAAAACACTTTGGATTCTTCTTTATCAGCCATGGGAAACAGTACATCCACAATCAGATCCTGAAGAAGTTTGATTTTGTTAGTCGACGATTACGGTGAATCAGTTGCGTGTAATTATACCAACTAACTCGGAGTAGGTGTTTATTGGCCTAAATGGAAAAGTTCAAGAAATAAGTGCCAAAAAAGTGTAATTGGAAATTTTGTTCTAGAAATTATGGATGTGGATTCTGGTGGGGAGCTGGGATTGATTTTTTTGGCACGTGACCAAGCAGCTTCGACTATTGACCAATCGAACTCCAGAATCAATGTCACGTGTTAAAAAGTTATGCTTCACTTCACCACCAGAATCCACATCTATTTATTCTATTTAATTCAATAATTCATGTATATAAAAGCAAATGAGCCAAACTCGGAAAATAGAGCCAATTGGTAATTCAGAGGTAATTCATTTCTCTTGACCAATGACCATGCTGTCCAATCTCTACCTTTCATACTATTTAAACTCAAACTCCATACACAATCTGTAACATTTAACAATACATGATAATATATATTATACTTTAGCTGTACAACAGTTATGATGGCTCATAATCATATAATTGTTCATTACACCCGGCCGGTAAACGTATAATTCAGTGATCACGGTAACGTTCAGCATACAACAGAAGATAATGACATTCGTACAATACACATAATAACGTCCCCCTAATAACATGGTCATTATTATTGCATAATTTTATAAGGCCATTGTACTACCAAAAGTATTTTATCGGATAACAGTATTAACACTTACCAAAACTTCTTGGCAAATGCCCGTCAGCTCTTTTTCTATCTTTTCTTTGTACTCAGCAGTTTGTTTCTGTTTTAAAGTTCCCTGTTCGGTTTTAGACTCGATGGATCCTGCAGGAAGATTGGCGTGAATTTAGAAGCGGCACGTGTGCTAGACTATTGAGTCATCAGCTGTAGATTTGGGAAATTTTACATATTTATGCTGGAGATTATGTCGAATTTAAATTATGACTGATTATCTGATTAGTGAAATTAGGGTCATAATATTATTATCATGTGATATAATACGGGTATATGGCCCCCAGAATATAGGTCGTTTTTTGAGCACTTAGAAACAGGTGTTAAAACTACTTCTAAGCATGTTTAGGGCTGTAAATATGTACATGATAACCATTTAAATGTTTCTTGGGTAGTTGAAAATAATTATTAGGTTTTTAAGTGTACTTTTTTTTCACCTGTAAAAATACCATTTTTTAACAGGGCCCCCAGAATATAGGTCCAAACATCTGTTCCTAAGTTGTTCTAAAATTGTCACAGACAGTTATATGCAGTCAGAATATGTTGCTGAGACTGTATTGATGATGCCAATGGCTCCAGATACTAAATTGAAATGGTTTAGAGTATACTAAATAGCAAAAAATCAAAAACTACGGCCCCCAGAATATAGGTATGCAAAAATCGTCCTCAAATACTCCACCTTCATACATTTTGATGATGCCATCTCTTCAGCATATGTTCTTTAACTGTTTCTCATCACTACCCCACATTCCTTAATGCTCAGGGTGACTTAGAAAATGCAGAATCTTGGTCGCTATTTTTTTTTTTTAACCTATATTCTGGGGGCCATATACCCGTAATGAGTAAAATCTTTAATTTTACTTGTTAAAAAGCTTTCATGCACTCATTTAGTAGGGATCTTAACTAAATACTTAAATAAGATTGAAGGAGTGTCCCTAGATATGATTGAGGGGGGCTGTTTTTATCTGTATCAATACAATGTGCACCTCAATGACTGTAAATCAGACATTTTTGGCCGCCAAATTTTTTTAAAGGCCTAACTCAAAATTCTGTCCCAAAACTTAAGGTCATGAGACAATTCTACGTTGATTCTGAAAATTTCATGTGAAAATATTGAAACCCTATTGAGTTCTATTGTTTTGAGCGAAGTCAGTTTGAGATATGGGCGATTTTGTTCATTTTTTGCGATTATTTGAACACAGAATCCACAGTTAGGTAGATATTGAGCTGATAATCATAGAGAATGTGTAATATATGCTTACCTTCCATATAAAGTTGGTTTCATTCAAAAATATTGATATTTGACCAATTTATGGACCAAAATCGATCAAATTCGGTGCGTATGCCCAAATATGGGCATATGGTTTTTGTTTTTATCCCATAACTCGGCCAATTTTTATCCAATTTTGATAAAACTTGATATGTGGGTTCAGGAGACTAGTAGCTACAAGTAGAGCATCCCAAAGCATGGTTTTGGGCATGTTCAGGGTTTTTGACCAACCTATATTCTGGGGGTCGTATAGACCTATATTCTGGGGGCCCGTAAAATTGTGGTGGCCATAACTTTTTTCCAAATTGTCAGTTTGCAGATGTCTCGATGAAAAGATAGCTTAAAATAATACTTATACTCATACCAGTAGTCTTAATGGCATGTGTTGGACAGATTTTTGTCATGACAATTTTTCGCCATATTTACCCCTCTAGAAAATGACAACATCGTTTAAATCTTTCGCTGTCATGACCAAATATACCAAAATACCTCATGTAGGTCCAAAATTTTTATCCAGAAACATAAGTTACATGTTTTACTCCAACCTAGCAGTAACAGATCCCATTAGTATCGCTTATCTTGGTTAGAACTGTATCCACTAACATGACCTATATTTTGGGGGCCACCTATATTCTGGGGGCCATATACCCGTACGCATGGAATATTAATTGTTTGTAGACATTATGATAAAGATAATCATTCGACTAACAGCTTACAGCGAGTACTGACGGAAATCCGCGTAAGAATTGTAAATAAATCATAATCGGTGTAGGTCGAGTCAGGAAGGCTAGGTGAACATACCATATCTGTTTTTGTACTTAACTGTTTGCAACAAACAAAAAACAAACAAACAAAATAACAAAACAACAAACAAACAAACAAACAAACAAACAAACAAACAAACAAACAAACAAACAAACAAACAAACAAACAAACAAACAAACAAACAAACAAACAAACAAACAAACAAACAAACAAACAAACAAACAAACAAACAAACAGACATACAGACAGACAGACAGACAGACAGACAGACAGACAGACAGACAGACAGACAGACAGACAGACAGAGAGACCTACCTATTACCCTCCAGCTGCTCCTTCTCGCTCCCACCACATTCTTGTAAGCCACACTCAAGTAGTTCCTCTCGTCAGCTGATAATTCTCCAGCTCCAGCTGAAATATTTTTGCTGTCAGTGTGGTTTCAGTTTTCACTGTCATCGTTTTATATTTTTATTTCACGGTTAAAATAAGTTGTTAGTATGATTTCTAGTTCAAGTTCAGAAAAGAAATTAATTTCAAAATTTTAAGAGTGTTCTGCTCCGTGACATAATTCCATACTATTGTGTGATGGATCATGGAATGTTCAATTTCAAAACACATCGAGTACCTATCGCCCGATCTATATAGAATAACATTATTCCCCAATCTTGGTAGACCAGCAGTAATTTAATCCTACAAAATATCGCTTAAATATGCACATAAAAATGGTGAATATTTCCCATATAAACAGAAGCAAATGACAGAGAAAGTCATTCCAGCTGTTTGGTACCGAAATTCTAAAAAAGAAACATCATCATGCTATAAGATGTAATATTATGTATGTATAATTACAGTTTTCAATGTTGAAAGAAATGTTGGAAGCTCATTCGTTGGAATGCAATGCATTTAGAATACTTTAGACGTGTGTAGAATTCATACAATTTTAAAATTGGAATGTCTACACATCCTTGATACAGATCTGATAAATATTTGACGGAGTGCTGGGAAATTTAAACAACTTGAGGCTACCAAAGTGGTGGTACATTATCTCATACTGCGTGGTATGTCACGTACATAGTAGTAGTATGTCACGTCACGTACATCGTAGTAGTATGTCACGTACATTGCAGTAGTGTGTCACGTTCTGCTGACCTCACTAAAATTGTACACTGATTTCAAACTCGTTACTTGAAAGTGAGTGGCCCCCAAGTTGACGTAGTGTGAAAAGAACTATTCTTGAATAATGAGACGAGAGACAAGTTACCAGGAAGTTATACGTTGAGAGAAAAAGGAAAAGATAAGGAAAGTGAAGAATAGCTGATTTTTGGGTTTTGGAAGAACGAAAGAATTTGGAATCTTATTGATTACTTGATGACCTAAAACCAGCTAGAAAATATGTATAACTTCATTATTTACCAAGATGATGGATAGCAACAACAGAAAGAAATCATGGTTACGAAAGCAAAAACAGCTTGTCGTAAGCCAACGATATTAATAATTCCTACCTTATAAAGGTTTTAACTTTCGAGATGTATCTTTTTAAAACTTAAAATTTCATGTTATAAATAAATAAATAAATTCTAACATTTATTACACGCTTCGACATTAAAATATACCCAACAACTCAACAAAGATGTACATTTAAGTCATTCAAGCGAGACTTAGTGTTGAAAAACCGAGATTATGGACTTTTTTATCAGTTCAGATTTTATGAACAAATATTTGTTTGAAGTTACCAAAATTATGTTGTGTATAAAAAAGAACTGTATTAACCACGGCCCTGTTGACAATCTACAGGCCAAGACTACCACTAACATGCCACTGGTGCATAACTTGTGGTAGAGTGATGACTGTGGAGCCAGTGTTCAATATGAGAGAGGGTTGTTGTGTTTAATGAAGGAAGCAGTTCCCAACTCAGAACATTCAAGAATAACTACCTATACCACAACATCCGATCATCCTACTAAATCTGCTTTACGTTCTTGAAATCGGTGTAAAAAAATGATCAGAGGGGACAAAATCTAGAACCATGCAGGCACCATACCGTTAACCGATTAATGAAACTCAAAAATATTGGTTACTTTTTGTCCAAGAAATCAGTACGGTCATTTAAAAATCTTACCTTCCTTAGCTGCGAGGGTAACTTTCTTCATGTAGTTAGCCATGTCATCGTACCTCTCCGCCTGCTCTGCGAGTCGCGCACGCGCTGCTAACTCAGTACGGTCCATCCTAGACCTATTTAAAGTATATCAATGTGAGCTGAGTTAAATGTGTCATCTTATTACATGTTATTTATGTAATATTTTCCATTGAATATAGATATCAGATATTGATTTTGGAATCACCGCTGTTAATTAAGGAATTGATGTTTTCTTTGTTTATGCTGCACAGAGATGTGATACAGTGAAGCACCATGATTCAAATATAATTTAAATTGTTTTCTATAAATTACTAGAATGTCTATGATCAATATATGGGACTCACAAATAATAAAATCGAAAAATTCTACACTAAATTAGATTGCAAAATATTAGAAATCTTCAGATGAAACATAATGTTCTTTATCAATTCATTTCCAAGCATTTTCATGTAAAATATCGTGGTTCAGGAATCTAATATATCATTGGAAAATACCATCATTTTTTAAACAAAACGATAATTGTATGATCTAATTAAAGGCAGAATGCCGTGGAATTGGTTTTGTTCGATGTTCATTTCAAAACTTCATGTAAAAACAAAGTGCATGATTTAAAAATGCTGATAAACGTGACTTTTATAAACAACCATCATTTTCACTGATCATATTCAAAAGTCGAAGAAAAATAAAAAGAAAGCTAATTCCTTACACTGAACTGAGTGTCAGCTATTGCAGCTATTCCTGCGTTAGAAAATGGGTTAATTTTTCAAATTTACAGGGAATTGAATAGATAGAATTATATGTTTAAACACTTTGACAAAGAAAAAAAGGATGCTTACAAAACTAACTGAATAACCTTAACACAATTTATAAAAATCATTTGTGTCAATCATGAGAAAGCAATAATTTAATAAAAACATAAATATCATACTTTGAATTTCGAGCAAGCTGAAAAACAAGACAAAAAGGATCTGTCAATATCAGTCTCTAATATCACGAGTCTTTCGAAGACAGTACAGCAGAATCAGAGGGTTTTAAACAGTCAGGTGATTTCACATAGATGTTGCTAAAGGTGTTGAGAAAGAGGGAAGATGACTCCTCTTCCTCTGTCTCGCCACACAGACTTGTCACATCTTCCTCCCACTCTTCAAACTGCTCTTCAACTGGTTGCTTGTCATTTTCGTCATCACTATCACTATCTGTATAAACAAAGGCGGTCTCAAGTTTGGTTTTTTTGTTCGGAGGAAAATAGTTGGACTCACTCTCACTGGAATACAGCCGCTTCTTTACCTCGGAAGATACAGACTCAGGACTTTTTGTTCCGCTGTCTGATGAAGTACTTGAGGTGTCTGCTGTTTCGCTTGGAGTTATTACAGTATCTGGAGGAGTCGATTCTAGATCTTCAGATGGCATAGTATCCTCTGTAGTTGAATGTGGAACCTCACAGTCTGAATCAACGGATGGTTTCACTTCTGATGCGACCTCTTTGATGTCTGAAGAAGACGATACTTCATTGTAAGAAATTGCAGGGCTTTCGGAATTTTCAACCTCTAAACATTCCTCTAAGATTTTGGGCTGTTCAACTGTTTCAGTCCTGGTCTGATCGTGCAGCCTTCTAGAAGAGCTTCGTCTCGGAGTTTGACGTTCTGGGGTTTTCTTTTTCTGAGGTATGGCTTTTGTTACCCTCTTTCCAGATTTTGGGTTATAAATAACAGCAAACTTAACCCTCTTTTTCCTCCCTGGCGTTTTCTTCATGACAAAAGATTCTATTTCACCTTTCATTTCCTCTCCAGCGTAACGATATTCATCCGCATCTTCTCCAGAGGGAATCCAGTTTGGGTAATATTTAGTGAAAGTATCAATGGGACGAGGTTCCACTTTGATTACTTCAGACAGAGGATCAATCTTGTCAACATTTTTAACGACTTTCATTGGAGAAAGTAACATTCCTCCTCTTCGAGGAGAAGTCATAGAGCTTTCTGTGCTCTTCTTCCTACGCTGTGATGATATACCAAATGTTGGACTGACCATTGGAGACCAGATCAGCGCATCTTCATTGATAACATGACGTTTTGAATTTGATGCACGATCAATCTGTTTTTTAAGCAATTGCCCATCAACTTCGATGCAGAAGTCGTTGCTTTTGTCATCATAGTCCAAAATTTCGAGATCATGAAGAGCTAATACGAGATCCTCAAACAAGATACCAGTTGATTTCGAAATATCTGTGATTATAACATTGTCGTTGATATGTGGCTTGATGTACGTCAAAACTTTGCATCGCCAGTATGAGCGATAGCTTATCAAGCCCAAATCTGATAAAGGTTTTTCAGGTGTTCCAGGTTTCCCTTCTAGTTTTGACAGAACATAACTGAAGTCAATCAGAAGTTTTCCATACCCCTGACGCTGAGTATGTGGTAATGTCATGATGCATGACAAATTGTAATTTCTAACACAATTCTTCTCTTTCGAAAAGTATCCCACTAAATGTGATCCATAATCATCATTCAGTGTCAAAACATAGAATAAGAATGGTTCCACATCGTAATATAAAGTTTTGTGATCCAGAAACATCTTTGCCAGTAAGCATAAGTTACGGCAGTAAAGTTTGTTTTTAGCCCCGTCAACTTCAAACAGAGAAATGTTTTCATGACGGTAGATTTCATTAGCAGGAGGCTGCCGCAGAAAGCATTTTGATTGGTGCCGAAGAGTGGCCTCCTTGCTCTTCATGTATTTTAGGCAATATTCACAGAAATAAAGTTTTGACAGCTTGGAGTATTCAAAAGGAAGAGGTGAACTATACCATGTCTCAATTTCATATTCTCCAAAATCAATGAATTGTGGTGATCGCTGACCAGCAGTTTCGACAGGAGATATTTTCAAAGCTTTATTGCATTTCTGGATAATCTCACCGAATGTTTTCTTGTCCAACTCACTCACTTCTGTCTCCCTCTTCTTCTGCTGGTTTTTTGGAACATCTTCCTCGATTATTGTGGCCTCTGGTTCATTTTTGTCATTTAGAACTTTGTTGCGTTTGTGTTTCACTTTCTTTTTCTTTTCCTCTGCCTTCATGATACCTTGAATGAGCTTAACATCTGACATCGGGTCAGATGCTGCATATTCCTCTTCTTTTCGTGGAGTAAATTTTGGACATTTCTTTTTCTTTCCAGTTGGAGTTTCTTCTAGGACTACTTTGTCAGATTTGGACTTCACTTTTTCTTTAGCAGTCAAAGGAACAAACTTTTCTTTAGCAGCCAAAGGAACAGCCTTTTCTTTAGCAGCCAAAGGAACAACCTTTTCTTTAGCAGCCAAAGGAACAACCTTTTCTTTAGCTGCTAAAGGGGCCATGGTCTTCTTGCGTTTTCTAATAGACTTCCCATGAGAATCTGTGGCCTTATTGCACAAACAGCACATCCAAAATCCAGTTGGCATCTCACTCATAGGTGGCTGCAAGCAATCCATATGAAAACCTTTGTCACAAGAGTCACAAAATAATAAGTTATCTGCATCTCCTGAATGTTGACAAAAAGAACAAACTTTGCATTCGATACACTGCCAAGGATCAGACATACATTGACGTGTGAGTTCCTCTGAAAATTTTAAGCATGAAGGATGGCCACTGTTCCCACAATCAACACAGCTTAGTAATTGCTCTGGGTGTTTTTCCTTATTAGATTCAGTTGTTCCCAGGCAAAATCCACAAACAGGTGAGGGCTCTACACCCTCAGCAAAATATGATTGATTGTCCTTCTGTCTCAGCTCCTCTAGTCGCTGAACATCAATGTTTATATATGCGCCACTTTTTATGAACAAGCTTTCTTGAACACCATGAGCAACAGCTAGTCTTAACTGAGCTGTTAAGTTTGCCAGAGATAAGTCCAGAGCATGATTTGACCTTATATGTTCTTCTATGGCTGAAATCTTGGAACCAGATGGGCTGCCGATGGTTTCAATGGCAGCAGCAACCAACATCCTCAGATCTGCACTAGGTTTTCTCACAAATGTTCTAGATGGGATCTGATTAGGATATTTTGAATCCCTGTAAGACTCTTTACCTCCTATGCCTATAAACTTTTTAATTACTCCATGATTGACAGCAAGATTAAGTTCCTTTGTAACATCAGACTCTGACAACCCATAGTATAGTCCCATGTAGTAAACAATTCGCTCAATACTTGCTCGCTGTTTGTGATTCCTCATTTTATTGATTATAGACAAAACACGAAGCAAATACGTTGGATCAGGAGCTTTCTTTGGTGATGTCATAACTGCACTCTTTATAATGAAACCTGAAGAATAAGTTATTTGAATTTGAATAGAACAAAGGTCTCAATACAAGTAGTGCTGTATAAAACCAAACGGCTCATATCAGATTCAATTAATTTTAGAAGTAAATTGATCAAAACGTTATAGATTGTACTAAGACCCACAATACAGTTCATTTGGAACAGTGAAAACCAGTACAGTAAATATTATATATAATATAAGTAAAATACAATTTTAAGTAAAATACAATTTTTATTTTCCACAGAAGAATCAATACATATTGAATTATAAATATCCCATAATTTCATTAATAATCATTAAAACTTGCTTTGTAAAATCAAAAACGAATTTAAGCCGTACGCTGAACGGCAGCTGCCTAGCTTGTAGCCGCTAACATCAAAGCCGCCGCGCGCGCCAACTGCTGGGGTGCATTCTCATTGACAATTAAACCTGGTCAAAGATATTTATATACAATTCCTAAATTAAATCAATAACCATGTAGATATATGAGTATTCAACACTACTCGACAACAAATATCTGTCGGCCCATTGACGATTCAGTCGCCGAAACAAAAATCAAATGTTTGCTTTTTCGTTTTGGGAACTGTTTGAACTCAATATTATATCCGACTAATCATACAGGGTGGGCCAAAAGTCAGTACCCATACGTTGGCCTTAATAGCTCCGCCGTGTTTTATATTTGAGAGCTGTTGCTTTGCAGATGGCATACTGTACTTACTGGTTCGAGGATTCCGTCGTCAAAATTTGAAAATTCGAATATTTTAGACCACGCCCATTCAATATTAAAACACCTATATTGTTTTCTCTGAACATGCTGAACGCCTAATTTTTTCAGAGACGGTAGATTGTCAAATGTTGCATATGATCTGAAAACATGAGGCAAAACGGATTAGAAATGACGAAGTTATCAAGCATGTTCTGTATCTCGTTAACAAAATTGACTGGGTGATTATGTGACACCGTGACACGACACCTTAATTGGGCACCCTTAACAATTCCCATAATGTTTAACGGGGTAGTTAACGGGGTCACCTTATCACGTGATTAGGTAAACCAATCACCTGATCACACGTAATGAATAAACTCGTTATGCTTCATATCTCGGTCATCTGAGAAGCTACAGTTCTAATTCTTTCAGGACAAACGTAATTCGAATGGCCAAACACAATTCAATAACATTTAGCTTGATCCGACTATCCAAACTATCAAATAAATGTGAAAATGAACCTCTATTTGAAAAAAATGAACGCGAATATTTTTCGAGTTGACAAATTCCTCGAACCAGTGGTGGTACTAAGTCATACCAGAAAGAAGTATTTAAATTGGGCACTCAGTGACTGAGCTATAAAGGCCAACGTATGGGTACTGACTTTTGGCCCACCCTGTACATATATATCCTGGGAGTTTCACTCTACTAACAGGAACTTTTGTATTACTAACTGCAAGCAAATTTTGATCTTGAACTAACCCTTTATATCCCAAAACAACTAATGTGAAAGTTATAAGGCTCTTGCCAGGACCTAAGAATGATGAACACTATTTTATTTGAAAGACGACAGTGAAAGCTGAGAAGTTTCTTATTGCTTTAAAAAAGATTGATCATATATGGAGTTGTAGCCTCACATAGTTAATATCATGGAAAGTCTAGGGGTACTTGTCAGAGCCCAATTACGATTGGACTGGGACCGTAAAAAAGTGATAGTAGAACCTAGAGCCTGACAGGTAGAACCTAGAAAGTGTTCAAACACAAATAGAACCTAGAAAGTGTTCAAACACAAGGAGAACCTAGAAAGTGTTCAAACACAAGTAGAACCTAGGAAGGGAAAAGTTTTTAAAATAACTTGTGGTTCAGAGAACTGAATGATTTGTTGATTTACTTCAGTCGATTCTGCTTATACAGGGGGGGGGGGGGGGGCAAAGGTCAGTGTGCAAACGTTGGGTCTTATACCTCCACCGTGTTTTATATTTGAGAGTTGTTGCTTTGCAGATGGCATACTGTACCTTGTTCAAGGATTCCGTCGCCAAAATTTAAAAATTCGAATATTTTAAACCACATACATTCAATATTAGAACACCTACATTGTTCTCTCTGAACATGCTGGACGCCTAATTTTTTTAGAGACGGTAGATTATTAAATGTTGCATCTGATCTGGAAAAAAAATTAAGCAAAATGGATTAGAAATGGCGAAGTTATCAAGCATTTTGTGTATCTCATTAACAAAATTGAATGGGTGATTATGTGAAACTTTGACACGACACCTTAGGCTTAATTGAACACCCTTAACAATTCCCATAATCACGTGATTAGGTAAACCCAATCACCTGATCACACCTAATGAATAAACTCGTTTAAATGCTTAGAATCTCAGTCGTTCGAGAAGCTACAACACTTATTCTTTTCAGGACAAACGTAATTCGAATGGCCAAATACACTTCAATAAAATTTAGCTAGATCTGACTATCCAAACTATCAAATAAATGAGAAAAATTGAAAAAAATGAACACGAATATTTTTCGATTTGACAAATTCCTCGAACCAGTGGTGGTAGTAAGTCATACCAAAAAGAATTATTTCAATTGGGCACGAAGTGACTGAGCTTTTAAGGCCAATGTTTGTACACTTACTTTTGGTCACACAGGCTAAGTGACGATTAAACCACCTCACGAGATCAGTTCACATCATGCAATATATAAACAATCGATTTTATCAACAACAACTCATAAATTGTAATAACCTCCATATCAAGTCTCCACATTGTACATCTCAGAATAAACTAAAATAATGAATTTAGCTCTACTATGTGACCCTATAATATTAGACACTTTATAACTCTTTAAACAAAAAGATAACAACCAAAGAGCAAAGAGATATGATTATTCTGGCTCCGATCAGTCGTATGTACGATCTTCATTGAAGTAGTCAGTAAAACAAGGACATGATACTATGTGGGGACTACGGACCCCATCATAACCCATTTCAAATTTGCCGCCTGGTTACATAGCACTGAAATACAATATAATTCAATATACATGTAAGTTATCTCAGAGCATTATAGGTATCATGACTCTTCTAAGGCAGTGATGTGTAAAAGAGCAATCGTTGGGATCGTTGGAATGTTTTCCTGCTCAACAGAAATTTTGAGAATTACAATCTGATTACCTTTTTTTGTTCACCAACTAAAATATTTGTCATCAGTCATGTATTGACGTAATATGTACTAAAAAGTAAAATTATTTTTTATAGACATTTTATTGTTTTATTAATTAAGGAAGTAAATCATGTTATGTATTATATTAGTTGAGTGTTCGCTCTACTATTATATACTCTACTATACTTCCCAAATCATCAGTAACTTAGCTCCGACGAGCTCTCCAATAAAACTTTAGGCCCTACCAAATTTATTACCGCCGCAAGAGCAATCCATATAATTTTTTTTTCTGAACGGAAAAAGTACATGGTAAAAGGTGAGCGCTACTTCAAAAAATTCGACGAGTATCATCGGCCGATATCATTATTAATTATAACTCGATTGTCTTGTCTGTTAGAGCAAATTGAGTCATATCAAATGTACTCAAGGCATAGTGTATGTACGAGATGGGGCGCAATTAGATTTTAATTGGCCATTGTTAATGATGTGGCATAACGCGCTACTTCGTAGCACTTGCCATCGGAGCGCGCTACTTCGAAATTTAGAGGAGTAACATCCCTCAAGATTTTAACCGTTCTGTGTAATTTATAAATGCTGATATCGAAATTTAAATGATTAGTATTTAATGTTAAGGTGCACCAATTTTTACTTCAAATCTTTATATTATCTTCACGATTACTTTAAAACCAAAACTAACTCGAATCCTAAAGCATTAACAGTTCAAATATTGTCAATTGTTTAACAAGCCTGTCGCGTGCACCTGTCTGACAAAAATCGTAATTTGCTCATAACTCGTTAAAAAATTATTCTTATGGTCACGCTATGTAATAGGTTTTATTCGAAATCAGCATAACAAATACATTAGTATAGCTTACTTTAACAATCCCACAGCTTACTCATGAAACAAAAACGAATAAATAAGCATGCTGTATCACGTCGTGACCCCCACGGTTACTGGGTCGCGCTCAGTCTGTCATTCCGCCTAATCTCTATTCATATGTTTATGAACATGATAGCCTGAGGTCCCCAGGTAAGCCACTGCGGGCGCACTTGTTTCACAAGTATTAAGTATAAAGTAAAAGGCACTACTGCAAGCGCACGAGCGTGCTAAATCACTCTACAGTCGATCTTAGAGATTGTTCTAAAAGGGTCCCCGACAGTTGAAACCAACTTCAATCGATGTATTTTTGGACGCTGATTCCGAATCACCCCCCATGACATAGGGTTAAAATGCTCCCCTGACGAGATATTGGCGAAAAACTGTCTTGATCACGTGATATGACCGTATAAGGAAGTTAGTCTAATTTCTCGATAGGGTTAGGGTTTCAGCATATGCGTTTGTTAAGGATTGGGTTAGGGTTAGGGTTGGGATCAGATTACAGGGTTAAATTTTCGAATATGGAATAGTCGTTCAGGACCAGCTAGAGAAGGGGTTGAAAAAGTCACGTGACAGTCGAGTGTAGAGTGATTAATCATCATCCGCAAGCGCAAGGGCTTTGGTTAGAGCAAGGTGAAAGCAACAGGCGTACCTGTCTCTACTATGCGCGGCGCTCTTTTCGAGATCCTACATGAATAATTGAGAGGAGCAAGCAATAGGCTTAATACTATCAAGCTAGGTAAACTTTCAGTAGCGCCCTTTTTGTGTGTTGTAAAACAAGCACGGCGCGCGCCCGTACGTAGACACATGAGCAACGATTAGGTGAAATTATTAACCTATCCAAATTATATCCATGTGCTTTCGTGCTGACGCACTTGTTTCACAAAATACAAAAAGCCGCGCCGGTGCTACTGTGTACTGCAAGCTCGAGAGTTTTAGTTTATGGTTTAAAGCTAGAGTAATATTGTTTTTATTTATTTATTTAGTTTCCATCTTTCGAAGAAGGCCTGCAGCCTACACCTAACCATGGATCTTTACGTACTAGTACATGAGTTGGGTACTACCGTAGTTATGTTGCATGTCAGTGGCTGAGTGGCTACTTGACGTGACGCGACGCGCTTGTTCATTAATTCCTTTACATGCATGTTGCCTTTGGGGGTGCGTTGTTTAATGTCGTGACCCTCATCGTCGTTTCATATAATAATAAAGCGAAAGCCCTCAGTATTGGGGCGAAAGCCACGTTACAGCTGTGCAGTCGTTACAGCTGCGCAGTCGTGCGCAGTAGGCCTACAACGTGAGGCCAGCGACGCGCTACTGCAAGCGCGTGAGCTTTCGTATCAGCGTTTGTAAAAGCAACTTGAAGCCTGGAAGCAAACATATTTTGGTATTTCAATTTTTGAGTTTACCAGGAAGTGTTAACTTTTTAAATAGCCCAGTGCTAATATAAGAGCATATAAACATTGACATGATACTTCACGTTTTTATATATTTTCATTATTTTTTGGGAGTGTTTAAATTTAAACTTATTTGTATGGTTAACTTTGTTTTCTATGGAAAGTTTTAATAGTTAAGTCACTAATATTTGTTTTAAAACTCTTAACTTTATTTTAGCCAATGCTCTAACACCGACAATTTCCATAACCTTGATTATTAAACAGTCGGACTAACTACTAAACACCATGCTTGATTCACGATATCAATCCTTCGCATCTCGCCGATCTGCATACGAGGTGGTTGCGAGAAGCATTATTGGATGCGCGCGCGCGACCCAGTAGTGCATCGCGCTACAAACACCATGCAAACGTTTTATTGGCTTGTCACTTGCTCACTTTTAACTTGTAACTCTTAACAAAAATATTTGTTTGTACTATGTCATTGGGTGATTCAGAATCAACGTCTAAAAAACATCGATTATATTTTATACCATCAAGGCCTTTTTGCCATAAATAAATGCATATTATATGCATCTACACGGATAGTATAGGTCATAATCTAATCGCGCCCTATATTTGTTTGAATTTAGAGCCGCGCACTATTTTATGCTCTCGTAGTAGAAATAGAGATTGATGAAGGAGCACAGCTGTATTTTGATTGGTCGGCGCAAATGAGCGCTAAGTGTGTCGCATTGCGGATAACCCTGTAATGAGTTAGATCTTGTTGCTGCAAAGCAATCTTTGACCGCTAAAGTAAGCTAGCAAATCTTGCGCTAGTTTCTGCACACCTTGAAATATGTTGTTTGTGATAGTCGGTCGTACTATTTTATCTTTTAAAGAATAGTTGCTTAGTCGAACAGTTGTATCTTAAACTAAGTCTCTACTACATTAGTAGTCTAGCATTTTTTTCCTGAATAATTATTGTCAATTTCCTTCCTACAAATTAATATGTTCACCTATTTCACAATTTATTAGCACAATCTGTTTTAACACATCACATTATTTATAGCTCTCTACCATCATGACTGTGAGTAAAGGTGTTTTCCACGCCCATGTCGATTTGACCTTTCGTTTTTGGGATATCAGCGCTTCAGTAGTTGAATGTTAGCTGTTTTAAAACTCAAAACATATACAACTTAATCAATCTCTAGTTTTTTATAGAGTATTATTCTCAGGAAGCCAGCGCACTTGGATTGACCGAAGAACAGGTAGCAGAATTCAAAGAGGCCTTCAGTTTGTTCGACAAGGACGGTGATGGTAAGTTCTTTATTTTTAGAACGTTGCCCAATTTCTATCGTTTTAGACTGTTAAACGAGAATTAATACAATGTAACTCCTATGTAGGGGCCAAATGCCTCTAATTTAATAACGAACTGTTTATGTTCATCTTCCATCCGCTAACATCACATAACATTACATATTACCTTCCATTTGTGCAAGCGAAGCGTCAGCATATGTGAATGTTGACACTTGTGCATGTACAATGACTGATGAGGCTAGGTTACTGTTGGCTCAGATCAGGTTACCTAAGTAAACAATTACAGGTACTATTACCACCAAAGAGTTGGGCACAGTTATGAGATCACTGGGACAGAACCCCACCGAGGCAGAGCTGACGGACATGGTCAACGAGGTTGATGCCGATGGTAAGCTTTGATAATTTTCTTATCTTTCTTAAATTTTCGACAACTTGTGAATTCCATAGTCTTCACTTCGAATTGTTAGGCTTCTCTACGTCGCGTCCTTGTCATGTTGTCTTGTTGTCCATGGTGTGGGTGTTCATGAAGACACTTATAGCTTGTCTATTTCCATGCGAAATTTGACCATCGCTATCGCATCTAAGGATGGAAACAGTACAAGCGCATTCTCAGCTTTATTTGGACATGGATTAAACATAATATTTTACCATGATGTGCGTGGTCGGTTTGTAGAGGAAAGTTACACTCAAATAATGCTCAATTTATGATCAATTTGTAACCAATTTATACTCGTCCTACATTTGCTTCTTAGTTGTATAATACATTTTGTTCGGTAACTGATGACTTGTGATGGTGGTCGTTGAGCAATTTTTGATGTTTATACATGGTATGAGTAGAAATTTCTATCCTTTTGAGCTTTCTGATTTAATTTTTTATTGGCCACCGCAAATTCTCGTTTTTGTTGAACATCGTGTAATCTTTTATGATAAGTGTCTGAGGGTGAATATTGATGTCTTGGAAAAAAAAGGCTAAATAGTGTAAACTGTAAAATAATCGCTGCATTCCCCATAGCATAGTATCAAAGCTCCAACCGTGACAAAGCTGACATTACTGTATTACTCTATTTACGGTATTACTCTATTTACTGTAACTTTGTACGACAACAGCTGCGTGGGGGCATTATTGAATTTATATGGCAAGCAAAATTTATTGGTTTCAGTGGCGTGAGTTTGTGTTCTATGGGAGCAAATCACTGTGTGTACACAATTCACAAGTACAGCTGGACTGAGCTTACTGTTCTAATAAGTAGTGGTGGCATCATCTGCTGGAGCTCCCTCAAATTTATAAACTTACCTCTTCCTACGCTTATATGGACAAAAAATGGCCGAGTTATTAGCCAAAAACCATATGCAATGCCCACATTTTGGCATACGCACCAAATTTGATAGCTTTTGTCACATAAATTTATCAAATTTCAGTATTTTTGAATGAGACTAATTTGATATGAAAGCTACATATTCTCTGTGATTTGAATAGCTCAACATCTGTTGAAAAGTGGATAGTAAGGCCAAATTACAACCAAAAATGAACAATATTGCCCATATCTCGGTTCGCTTAAATTTTAGACCTTCTGACTGATATAGCCAAAAAGTCTACGATTTAAGGCTATATAATAATAATTTCCTAATAATCGTAGATAGAGTACCATTCACCTACAAAAATATTTTTACGTGGTGGATCATGAATATCGATTAAAATTAAAAATACGTTTTCTAAATGATCAAAGTAAAACCAGATAGTGCTAGCTCAATCTTACCCCATCACATGTGCATGGTATTGAGCATGGTGTTTACTGTTTATTTGTAATTTTAAATAGTACTTTTCAATCTTACTTCTGAAAATTGTCTAATAGAGACCGGAGACTCCGAAATACACTGCCCAATTTTCCTCAACTTCTGCCATTTTAGTATTTATAATGCTGTTGTAAAGTAGAGCATAAGTTAGAACGATGGTCTGTCCGAAACTTCAAAGATTGCTCCTGGCTCAAGTTTCTATTCCAAATATTGTTAGCATTTAGTTCTTATTTCTAATGCGATGGGTTGGTCCGGGAACTAATTTATAGGATTAAATCATGAGCTGATACTGAGTCTTTTACTCTGAAATGCTGACTCGAACGTACTGTGGCAGAGAAAGTTGGACAAAATTTGAATTGTCAGAATTTTGTAACAAAGTCCTGTTCTTACCTTAGACAAATCTTTAAAATAGTGTCTATTTGCCTGTCAATTTTCAAAACGATCCCATGAAAACTAGATAGTAAGGAACTCTAAAATTCGACCATATGTAACTTTGGTTAAGTTCGATATTTTATGATAGTAAAAATCAACAGGTCGATTTAAGATAACATCATGAAATAGAAATCAATTTCCATGATCCGCCGTATCAGTTGTTAGGGTCCTCCATCTGTCTTTAACAAACGAGCCACAGGGCCTGCACCTTCTTTTAAATTGTGAATGCCAGGTACTGCTCCTACTGCATATAACCAACACTTGTAATTGCTTCGTCGCATCAGATTCTTGGTCTTGGATGTTATTGTCTAAATTAACATAATATAATCCAATGCCGTGTTGATGACAGAGAGGAAGCTGATTCTGAGAAAACTGTGCTTAACGGAATTTAGCACGGCTCAAATTCAGGCTGGTATGAACATTTTTACTCTTGTCAAAAGCCTCTGGTAACTGGAACTACCACCTAGACAGGTCATTAAAAAACCATCATAGATCATGCCCCGTTAAATACTTTAAAACCTGTCCTCATATCAAAAGATTTGCTTTGGTATCTCGACGGCGCCGCACCTAATTACTCATAAGATGTCCACGATTGCCACCCAGTCAATAGATTTACGTCAATACCTCCGTAACGCCATCCCAGTTACCCTTGCGTGGGGCTTACTGATCATCATTTTTGAAAACTGGGTTCCTATATAACCAATTTTGCTGTGGCCGAAGTAGCCTGATCGGCTCTGTTTGACAAAGCAGTGGGAGACAACAGTTGTCTCATTGCTACTGTACATTCTTCAGAACAAAGCGATGCCTATTGTTGGTGTGTAGAAAACAGTACTCTCATTCACATGGCCACCGCACAAAGCTTTGTAAATCCTTTCCGGATGATCCCCAAATTTGACCTAATTCCCGTCTAATTGTAAGAAGAATTGGCTGGTACATTGCAGTGCACGCAGAGGTATTGTCATTGGAGAGCTAGAGCGAGCCTGGTAACCAGCGCTCACCCACCAGGAAATCAATGTATAGTCTGGTTCTATGTACTCGTTGGTTGTTGATACCAATGAAATTAAGCAAGGGAGTTGCGACCATGACCACCAGAGCTTGGTTTTACTGCTGAGTCCTGCGTTTGAAAGTAATCGATGACCATGACATGGCTAAATTTTGTACCTGAACTAAGGTTACTGTTGCACTGACCACAGTTCACAATAGGGCAGACTAAAGCGCACTTACTAATATGTAGGGGCCTGGCCGCGAACTGGCAGATAATGACAATTCTTCTCAGTTCTCAAAGAAAGTAGAGAGATCGTAATAATAACGTCAATTTTCTTAAAAGGCAGGAAATCTTTGTTCCGCCACGAATCCCAAGAATCAATTTGCTCTCTAGAGTATTTTCCCCTATTTCAGGAAGATTTTGCAGCTTCGTTCGCACTCATTGTGCACTATAGTGCACTAGGGAGTCTATATTAACTCTTAAATATGATGCTCTCAACTGAAGTATTAAATCTTTCTACCGTTAGATTATCTAGAAATATGCAACACGTCAAACTCGTGGATCCATTTGAGATAGTGACGGCAATTTGATGCATTAGCATCTTACAGAAAATGGAGTTAAGTGCATTTAATGGCACGTTCCAAATTTAAAGATGAATTTATGTTATAAGCGTGGGTGAAAAACTTCAATGTTGCTCGAAATAGAATTTGCGAATTCAATATTTTGATCTTGATTTCGGAGGAGTGATTTAAAATACATTTTTCAATATAGAAGTGCATTAAAGTCACCTTTTTGGCCCTATCAAAGTATCGACCCTGTTAAACATAGCGAGAACAATAACCACCTTAGTTCGTCAGCTGTAAATTTATCGCCGAACCCATCTTTAGAATAATTTAAAACTTAGTATGCATCACAAGGAGTTACGTATAATAATTAACATCTAAAATTTCCCCCAGAACCATCTCGGATTGTAAAACAATTTTATCGGGCACACATATATCTCAACAAATTATCAGAAAGACAGGAAGCACAGCGAACATTCTGGTCCATTCCGGTACATTCCGGTACATTCCGGTACCAATAACGAACACCTGTTAAACAAATTCATGACAAGTCACGTCAACGGTGATACATAAATACATATACAGCCGAACTTGTACAAGAAAAAAAAAATCAGCAGTGCTGCCAATTTCTGAGAGAAGATAGTGATGGAAAATTTGCAGATCTTGATGACTATTGATAGGGCCGGAATCCGGATGTAGTGCAAGGAAACTGAAAACATCCAAGATAGATTTAGATTTTCTAAACTCCAATTATCATCATTATTAATATGACAGGTTTATTGTTCAATTAAAGTCCAGTAAATCTGAACAGATTCTTTAAGGAATAAAATGTGCTGGTTAAATTTGGTCCAGATCAGCCATTTCAGATCTGTTGACTACAGCTGGGGGGAATGCAACGTCAATTAATGTCAGTATTCCATAAAAACCCCAAACTGACATTGACATTAATTGACATTAATTGACATTAATTGACATTAATTGACATTAATTGACATTAATTGACATTAATTGACATTAATTGACATTAATTGACATTAGTATGTCTTGAAATTTGAGATTATCATTATTCGATAAATATTCAAGATATTCACGTCTATGTAAATTAGACCGGTTCAAAAAAACAAAATGTCCTTGAATAATTATGAGTATGTTCTTATCTGTTGATCCTTAGGTTCAAAGACCACCAAAAAAAATTTCAGCTTCCAACTCTTCCATCTTCGGTCCCCACCGGCCACGCCCATATTTTATTGGTTTCTTATACAGGTAAAATATCTAAAATCGGCTTTTTTAGTATGAAGGAGTAATGTTAGCTGTTTAAGATTCGTTATTCAAATATAAATGTCATGAAGGCATTTCGTTTAATGTGGGTTTTAAGTTCTGATGATGTTGAGAACCACGCCCTTGGATGGCCACGCCCATTTAAGAAAATTAACTTTCGGGAAACCGTATTATTTTAGTTTTATTGTTTAATGATCTGAATTTTTTTCACATTTCACATTTCCATATGTGATAGTAGTGAATAAATTGATGATATAAACGTTCTAAAGTGCTAAAAATATGGTAGAACTACATAATCTCCGATCGAAAAATATCGTGTCAATTAATGTCAGTATTCCAAAATTTTGCAAAACTGACATTGACATTAATTGACATTAATTGACATTAATTGACATTAATTGACATTAATTGACATTAATTGACGTTGCATCACCCCCCTACAGCTCAGCTCCTGCCACACCAAGTATTTAATTGACATTATTTAATTTGTTCCTGAGCGGTATTGTCTATTGACCTATTTAATAAAACTGCTTTTGGCAATTCTGGGAATCTCTATGGCGGCACGATGAATAACGTGCTGATGTGATATTGAACTTCTCAACAATTGAGGATCTTCTCCTAAAAACCCATGCTTAATAGATATACGGGCAGAAAATATTTCCAGTATCCGGCAATAATAGTCCCGCTAACACTGCTATTTGTAAAATAGTTGATGTATAGTTTCTGCAAAATAACTGCCAACAAATGTCTCTAATTTTCGAACACGCATCAGAGATCTGTGAATCTGTTATCGACGGAATATAGAAAAAGGCAGCCAATAAAGTGACTAGACTGTTACCACTTTTTTGCTCACGACTGTTAGATGGCTCTAATATGTTTTACTGTGTCAGTCTGTTAATTAAATGTAAAAGGTCGTGTCAAGAGCCTAGCCTAGAGCTTGTGCATGTCTAGTGCTTGTCTAGTGCTTGTCTTGTGCTTGTCTTGTGCTTGTCTGAGGTCTGACAGCTAGGATATTATTATACATTCCTCCACCATATATCTGTAAATAAAGTGACATACAGAACGTTTGTATCTGTAAATATATATCTGTGTACACCTCTGTAAATTTTGTGCCTCAAACAAATATAATAATAACAATGGTATTTGGGTGTAGGGGGAGTGTAAAATTCAACATTCCACCCGTTTCCCTGGAATCCCAGACACCTACAATACCAATTAAACGCTTGATACAGTGGCCGTAATATGGGGAGGACAAATAAAGGATGGTATATTGTAAGGAAGTGTGTAATGTGTATGGATCAGGGCGTCACGCTGCCCCATTACGTCATTCGTCCCACAGTGGCCTGGATAATACAATACAGTAAATGGACATGATCAGGTGAAAAGGAGTAGACATTCCACACATATTCCGGTCACGAAAACGTGAATTTAAATATCCCGTCACATTTCTATATCGCTAATAAAGGGAGTCTACTTGGACTTCAGATCTTCTTGGACAGTACATCTCTATTTCTGTTATTCTCCTAAGCTAAGACAGTATCAGACGAAAAAGGTAATCCATCTACAGCTGTCTAGACTTCATAAGGTGAAGAGTAGTCGCTCGTGTCACTGTGATCCTCATGTAATGAATAAATGAAGGCCAAGAATAGCGCACGCAAAATACTCCAATTATAACCAAGGTTCTGGGCAACGGACCTTGAGTAATTAAAACTAAAGCTTAGCTTTAATCTGTATGTGGCCAACAATATACTGCCAGGATCAGCTTAACATCTAAGCGTCCATTAATCTTTGAACCGAGAATTTAATAACGTCTCCAGTGGTGACCACACAATTGGGATGTGCGACCGTGGCGTTGGATGGGGGTGCGGAGTATAGTTTCGTATTAATCATCGTCTACATCTTGAATATTAGAATATTCAAACCTTTAAAGTAGTAGGTGCATCGCCTCCCACACACTCGCACTCTGTACACAGACTGAGCTGGTGCAAATCACCGCTAATTATCTTGTGTGTATAATATGTGTGTGGGCTTGTTCGGCTCTGGTAGCCTGTAATTTGCCCATAATTCTGGCACCAATTTACTCTGGGACGGATGTGGAGGTTTTACTTTACCTACATTCGACATTCAACCACTATGAGTATTCCATGCTTACCCCCATAACAATGTCCCAACATAATCGTGCATCCGTCCCAGTCTAGACAATTGTGGAGTGGGCAGTAAAGGGGGGAGGGGGGATGAGGGGTGATGGGGTTCAGGCCAGAGGGAAAAAATCATTTTTCTAGTTTTTGCATATGTGATATAGCTGCTGGAGATGAAAAAATAGGAAAAAACCACATCAAAATTCGACCTAGTGTTCCTAAGATATTGCGCACTAAAGTTGGAGGTTTATCTGTAATTACATGTAAAACTTAAACTTAAAAAGGTGAACCTCAACTTTTGGAAAAGACTGGCCACACCCAGACCCAGGCTTGGCACAGATGTTCCTTGGGCTACAAAATCGTTAGGCTTTTGTTCTTGAAATATGATACCGCTATATTAAGAATTTCTCTGGACATTACGTGTATATCTAAGCTACTAGTTATAGTTGTTAACATAACCTGTAGAATCTGTAGATAGCTTCTAGTTGGCTAAACCATCACTGTACACAATTGTTGCTGATCGGTCGTTACCAGGAAATTAATAACCGCTAAGTGTGGCATCTCCGCTTGCGATGACCTCGTAATTCGTATAAGAAGCTCGCTTGATCGTACATCAGTGTGTGTGTGTGTGTGTGCGGGACACAGTATCCATCGAATAACATATTTGGTATATCTTCGTTAAATAACAAATTATGAACATATCATACAGTTGATGTGTTACGAGTATTGTTGTAAGGTTTAACCTGTGATATGTATATATGATTTGTAATACTAGTAAAGTTATATAAGGGAATGTAAACTCTCTGTCCTGATGAAATGCAAGGTTGTGATATGTAACACTGTAACGTGTGCTAATTGTTAATTGTGAGACTCATTCACAATGTACCTCTTCCAGGTAACGGAACAATCGATTTCTCCGAATTCCTGACAATGATGGCCCGTAAAATGAAGGATAGTGACACGGAGGAGGAGCTGAAGGAAGCGTTCCGCGTCTTCGACAAGGACGGTAACGGTTACATCAGCGCCGCCGAGCTGCGTCATGTTATGACCAACCTCGGGGAGAAGCTTACTGATGAGGAAGGTACGTACCATCATCTTATCTGTTTACTTTCTTACTATACAACCTTGTAAAGTCCATTTGCATAGCCACAGAATAACAAACGAGTGTAGGCTAGTGTAAAAGGGGGGTTGAAAGCAATCTATCGGAGAGGAGCTAGAATATTAACACATGACCGCCATCGAATATATACACCGGCTCCGATTTACCGTATCTTAACATGAGTTCCATGATGAGCAGGTTTTTGTCCTTTGTTGGCTTACTCATAATATGTTCCTCTGCAAACGTCATTGCCAATTTCTCGGATACGTTTCGCATCAATAATCCGGTAATTTGCTCGTTACAAGGCCGATGGACGCACTTTATGCACATCTAACTTGCAGCTTGCATTTGTAAATTGTAAACGATCATTATGGACGACTCCATTGACGTTACAAATTACTTTTCCATATACCCGGTTGCCTCTGCTGCTTTTGCTTGAGCTACTTGATAACTCGTATTAGTCTTAACCGTTGTTCAGTCACACATTCCACTGAAATTAACTGTAACAACAATTTGCTTAAAACGCATTATTGCACGTTGAGTGTAGTAGTATGGCTTTATCAAGGTCCTCACCATGACGTGTTACAGAACATTCTTCAAGGAGCACCAGGATACACTCTGTATAACAGCAGGCTAGTAACTCCTGTACATGACAGCAAGTACACTAGTGGGACACACCCTTGGCTGTGACCTCTTCATTAATAAGGGATGTAGGGTGAATGAGAAAAGAGCTCATGTTTTACACCTTCCCTGCACTATAACTACCAGAACTTCTACTTGTCACCGCTTCCTTTGCCCTCTTTCTGATTCACCCCCTTTCTGCCTAACTGCCGCTCAACTTGTACACTAAAACTACAGTAAGTGGTCGGCATGAGGAGTGTTAAAATGTTGCGTGGTGGCGCCGTGTGCAGTGCTTGCTGCACAAGTTATTGCACAATGGTAGCTTTTACCAAGCAGTCCGTTGCATGCATGAGTCACTGAAAAACATAGATAGTCCGTGGAGTGGGGACTTAAAATGAAATAATATAGTGGTAACCATAATATAGTGGTAACCAGTAACTAGTTACACAAGCTACTATACAGTGTAATCAAGGATAAGGAATAACTACATTTATACTCAAAGGACAATATCGTGTAGCTGTCTTGCTAAATTGACCTTTTTGCATCACGTGATGTGAAAATTTTGCATGGTCAGACGACAAAGACATCAATACTTTTTTGATGTTATTTTCAGTAAATGGTTGCCACCAGGAGATTTGTGATATAAACAAATACAAGACTAATGCGTTTGTACTATTTCAGTCGATGAGATGATCAGAGAAGCCGATATCGATGGTGATGGACAAGTCAACTATGAAGGTTAGTTTTAAAATTATCATATTTTGAATTCCCGATTTCGGATGATCATCGTGTAGCTTCTGGTGATATCTCAATCAATATGTTCATGTTCTTCGATAAATTGTGTCTGGAAGATATTTTTGTTGGCTTCAGTTATATTATAATGTGTTTTCGGAGCAAAGGAATCCACTAAAAGAATGTGGCCTACTAATAGTTATACAGTCATAAAGATTAGTGTGATCATATCTTTGACTATGGTGTGAACTCATTCTCGACCGGCTGTAATCAGATTGTATTGAGTTATTCAATCGCTCCGGCACGATCATCAAAATATTTGATCTAAATAATTCCTCAATAAATTGTGTCTGATTTCAATTGGCCTCGATATACTGACGAGGAGATTATTTGGAGCAAAATATCCGGAGTTTTATAGGTATTTTGCTCGGTGTGAGCATATCCGTCAGTATCGTCTGAACTTATTCCCGGTTGTAATCAAATTGTATTGAGTGATTCAATCGCTCCGGCATCAAAACGATTTAGCACACTGTTAATACATTAACGCGCTGTTAATGCTGGCTCAGCGAGCTTGTTATGGAAGAAAGGTTGCCAGAGAAACAGCTAGAAAGTGGGGCTAGAGTTGGCACAAAATTCACTCTGTTTCATCTGTCTTAGCAGTCCATATCGAGAGGATTCAACTATCCTGTGAGTTGTCGGGCTCGAATATGAACGAATGAGAATGGGACAGGAGTGAGAAAGGGATAGTTAAAACATGGTATATGATTGAGAATATGGGATCTAAGGAGTGGTCTGACAAGGATTATGTGTGAGCTGAGATGTGCATTTGGGCGGTGTGATATTCTTTTGTGCACCTGAGACGGTTGGACTGCAGGAATATTGCATGTGGCCTGCTTCTTTTCTTTACACAATTATAATACGTGATACTGTCGCCCTGGCGCTGACTGATTACTAGTAACTGACCCGAACAATGATCTGAGATGAAATCCTAAACGGCTGCTCCGGCAACTGTGTCCTTGCGCACGTGCACAATGTCACTACCCTCTTCTTTGTGAAGTAATTATCTCTGTAGAATTAGAACCTATCTTAAGAAAAGCTCATCATCAGTGTACACCCATTCCTACATCTGACAGGACACTCGATCTGATTTCCATATTTCTTTTTCCGCCAGTCAAATTAGGAAAAGCCGGTCACGTGACACGCATACGACCAATCAGGCCGTACGGCGCTGTCTTCCGCCCCACTAGTTCCGTTAACGATCTTAATTATCATTGTAACAGGAAATTTCAAATATTCTCAAATCTGACTGGACAGCCGGGTCGTCTCGTGATCTACTGTCATTTTATTTGTTACGATATTTCCACTGTGTTTCCCCTGCTCATTACTCTACCTCGTCTTGCTTGCTTGTCTGACAAAGCAAAGCTGGTTAAACACCCGGGGTGAAATACGAATTAGCCGTGTGCTATGAAGGAGAAATTTTCTTCTAATTTCAGGGCGCCTGCTGACGGAATTTGTCAACAAGACTCTGTTGCAACAGCCTGTCTGCTGCTCTGTGGTATACTACACACAAAATGTAAAATATAGGAGAGCACCCTATATATCAAATTACGCTGACACCTGTTATTTTTCAGAGTTCGTCAAGATGATGATGTCGAAGTAAATTATTGTGCTACATGGTTTGTGGGCCTGCATGCAGGTAGGTTTCGTTCTATATAATATATATACTATTCGGTGTACACTCGTACACCCACCAGATTGGCGTTTCTTTTGTCTCGCGTGGCCACTCAAATAATAGTACGTCCAATGCAATTGTTTCAGTACAAATCAAAGATTGCACTGAAATAAATGCTACACCGAATGCAAATATTATAAGTTGCTTGGTACCTGTCGGTGCCTGTGAACATTTTAACAACATAGTCTGATTCCCTTGTAGCTGTCTTGCTCGGGCTCCCGTGTGTCCGAATAAATTATCTGCAATTCGGGAGAAACCTAAATTTGAAACCTAAATTTGTGGGAGAAACCTAAATTTGAAACCCAAATTTGTGGATATTTCCTATCAGGACACGTTAAACAAGCGACTTAAAGAATGTTTGGGAGCACTAGGTGGAAACGTGAAGGCGCTAAAGCCGGTGATTTTCTTAGGGATTTCACTCAAGAAGCAAAACTATCGGCATTTAGGGGTAAATTGATGACAGGAAAATGTTCACTAATGTGTAAGATCTTAAAACTATGCCCCTCCTTCTGGCTGTGGTCCTGTCACGACATTGTTATTACTTATTATAGCATATTATTTACTAAAAGTTAAAAATTAGAGTAATAGTTTGATAGTCGACTAGCATAAAACCTATCTTTGGAATGTCGAAAACGGCTGGAAACCTTAAACTTAAAACCCCAACTCTCCTCGGTTTATATCTGTGATAAGTTTCGACAGGCCGGTGACAGTTAGCTGAGTAAAATGTGAGTGCGTCTTCCAAGTTTTGATGACTGAAAGGCATTACATATGCGTAGTGAAACATGAAGGTCACATGGTATTATATGATAAATGTTAGCTGGCACTTGTAAGACTATATCGTGACCACGAAGTCTTAATGTATAGAGTGGCGTAACGAAGGGCCCCGCTGACCCCGCTGTGCAACAGGCAACGTTACGCAACTGAATGTATAGCTATGTGGTCCGCAGACCGCATAGAATATGGCACTCTGATCGTGTTTGCGTGGATAGTTTCAATATCCAGATCGGTAAAGTGATAGGTACGGTGTCCAATGAATTTTTATCTATAAATTTTCAATCAAATTGGCAGGTCAACTATAATTGATATGCTCGGAACATGCATGGAATGATACCAAGACATGGAATAATGATGATGTTCTCACAATTTTTTGTTCGAACATTTGTTGCCGTGGCTCCTGCGAAAACAAAAGAAACATTAATTTGACCATTTCTGTAATATTTGTTAATCTTACATTCCTTGACACTCCCAAAAGTCTCATTGTAACAATGAAGAGTTATTCGGTGATCCTATAATTTTGTAAAGAACGATTTGATGCTCTGAACAATTGTAATTCTGATTTTCACTCTAATTTCTATTTCAGAACTACTCGCCTGATCAGACATCATCCTGATAGATCAGAAGTTTTAATATTTAAGAAGTATTTTATTCTTCCAATTCTGTCTAAGCTTATGAACACTATTACTTCTTAAGTTAAAATTTATCTTTAAAAGCTCTCCTCCAGCAACGTCCAATAGTTCTCGTGCGCGGCGCGCGCACAAAAATGCTCCCTAGAAGTGTACAAAGCACACAATTGCTCAACATTTGCCAGTAGTTAGTGGGCGCGAAAATAGCTAACTGACCAGTATATATTTGAAGTTTTGTTGAAACTATATTTGCTCCATAGACAGCTAATCTTAAGAATTCATTGCTGATTTGTATATAGCGGTTTACCGATATTATACGCTCATTGGGGCAGAGACTCGACCTTCCTTAATGTGTTTCTTGGTTTTGATGTGTGGATTGGATTTATTTTATTTGAAATTATTCTGTAAAGGTACCGGGCTCCTCTAGGAAGTGTGTTTTGGCCGGCGTTTGTCTGAGGATTCTGTCCTGCCCCCACGTATAGTAATAATATGTACATTGAATTATCTTTTGTACACTATCAATGGAGTGTTTTAATTGTTTCCATGTCCACAAAAGTAAAAACCAAAATGAATTTTCGAAAGTAATTGATTGTTTAGCATTACTACTAAAAGGTCCAGGAAAATAATACTCCGAATCTAATAAATGCTAGGTCCTTGCAATTGACTTCTCAACATGCGCAGCAACTAGGTCGTGTCTAAACCGATCAGTCTTCGTCAATAATCTGAACGTCCTTCAAACTACATGCATTTATTTTACAGAAACTAAATCGTGCGGCAACCTGTGCCTATTCGTCCTAATACATAAAATATTTTCAAATCTTTGCATTCACAACTTAATTTGTCCATATTTTAATTTCATCTCATTGGCCGACCTCCAAGAGCAGCCTTAAGTCTCATGTCCAAGTCTTCAATCCGAAGATCTTTTAGTTGCAAAAGATGTTCCAATCGGCTGATTTTGCTTTGGAGAATCTGGGAGGAAGTAAATTAGTTGGTAGTTGATAAATCAGAATTACTCGATATAATAGGAAAACAACAAATATACAAAAATTAAAATGCTGCAAAGTTTCGTTGTTCGTGTTCCAGCGACTGCGAAATTGGAAAAGTGTAACACTATTATAAAGAGGAAGTTCGGTCAATATTTACTCAGCGTTCACAAGTGTTAAAAATAATTTGTTAGTGATAAATTCCAAATTTCACTCACTTGTGTTGTTTCCTGACTCTGGAGAAGAGCTTGTTCCCGTTCCTGAATGTAGATTCTAGATTCGTGGTCTAAGTGAGCCAAAGAACTGGGCATCGACCTTGATCTTTCCGTGCTTAAATATAAACCGTTAGTTACAGGCGATCAAGAAATAAACCCAGAACCCCGAGATTAAGGAAACAAGACACGATCATAAAACATCAAAACCTGAGGCCAAAATCCAACAAGATTGAACGATCGTGCGCGGCACGCGGTGAGTGAAATGTAATACACTAGCTGCTGAAAAGTATAATTTTAATAACTGAATGTCGTTTGGTCAAAATGGCGCTGGTTTTCGTTGGAGTGACGCCGAAGCTTTAACGCTCTTGGCGCTGCTCGCTGAAGGTATTCGTTCGAACAGGTAACGTACCTAGCTAACTTAGCAGGACTTTGAGTCGATACGGGAGTCTTCTTCTTTTTAGGCGTCTTCTTCTTTTTAACTGAGAGAAGACCGTAGCTTAATACTTTAAAATTCCTTGTTTATAAAAGGTGGCATTTGGCAATTGTGATGATGAACAAAAAGAAAACTAATCTTCAATCCTTGCATCACAAAATACCTTGTTCTCCATCGAAAGGAATCGTTGCAAGCGCACCATTGGATTGCTGATCAGCCTGAAATTAAAATCGTATATACATGAATTAAACATGATGATTTCCCCTGGTGATGTTCTAATAATGGAATATGTTCAATTTAATTGTGTTAGTTAAAATGTGTTAGTTGAAATGTGTTTCTTGAAATGTGTTTGTTAAAATGTGTTAGTTGCAATGTGTTAGTTGAAATGTGTTTCTTGAAATGTGTTTGTTAAAATGTGTTAGTTGAAATGTGTTTGTTGAAATGTGTCTGTGTTTGTTGAAATATGTTTTTTTCAAGGCTGATACTCATTTAATACTTCTTCACTTTACCAAACCAAGTAATTAGTAAATAACCACCTACCTTACTTACAATTGTGTGACAGGGTGAGCTGGGAATGCGTGACACTGCACTTGAGATGGGAATGCGTGACACTGCACTTGAGATGGGAATGCGTGACACTGCACTTGAGATGGGAATGTGTGATACTGCACTTGAGATGACATATCGATTTGAATGATTCACATGTTTGACGACTGGCAATTTGGGTGTATATCGTGACTCCTAAAATAGGTTTAAGTTATGTATATGAGGGACCACATGCAAAACTGGTATATCTGTTTTTGATAGTTTTGAGATAAATGCATTTTACTGATTTATAAGATTCTGGTATATCTGTCTATATACCATTTTGAAAACTAGAATTGTTCCAAACTGGTATATCTCCCGATATACCATTTTTTCTATACTATTTACAATAAAATAATTTAACTGAGAATGGTATATCTGAAGATATACCATTTGGGTTGGCTAAAGTCTATAAAATGTGTATAGATATACCGGTTTTATAGAAGATAAGTTTCTTGAAGGTGGTATATCTGCAGATATACCATTTTTTTTCATGATTGTTAAAAGCTAAAATGGTATATTGTAAGTTATACCAGTTTTGGAAAAATAAAATTTCACTTTTTTTCAAAAAATTTCTTCAAAATTGTTCAAAAAAAGTTCCAAAGATGCACCTTTTCACCCTGAAGACTATGTGCTACCTGTGCAAAATTGGTATATGTTCAGATATACTAGTTTTGCATGTGGTCCCTCATATATAGATACACATTACACTTCGAAACACGAGAGCATCATTTCTCTACCATTGTTGATTATATATATCTACACCTGCAATTATCCAATTAGACCTCATTATCCAATTACCTGTCTATTAGGAAAGTTAGGATGAGCAGGCTGGTTAGGATGTCTGGTCACGTGACCACCCTCAGGGTTGCTGTACAGCTGGGAGGTGGGGTAGTGTTGGGGGAGGTGCTGGACAGGGTGCTGGACAGGGTGCTGGACTGGGTGTTGAGCTTGGTATTGTTGACCTGGTCCCATTTGTGGACCTGCTGAAAAGAAGTAGTAAAAATTACGACATAAATTAGAATTGTTTCAGAATGAATAGTGGTGCTTCTTTCAGTGGGCAATTTTGTGTTTTAGTCAGTCAGTTAAGTAGAATCAGGCACAGTTTATTTAAGTTTGAGTTGGGATGGAAAACAACAATTGGAAGGGTTTATTTTGTCTAAAACGTGTCCATGGTAACGCGCCACCCAATGAAGTTAAATGTTTTACAGTCTAATTCATCGTTCCTCAACATGTTGTTAACATTGAAACGTTATATGTTGTGCACATTAATTGTAAATCATTAACGATATTAATATAACGGAACAATAACTGAAAATACTAATTAGCTGTTAATTATTTAATTAGTCACTCAGCTCGCCGTATCTGTCACAACACTTCCTCAACATGACCCTTAGTAAGCTCTAGTTATCAGTTATCTAATACAGCGCTGCAGCAACACGCTCAAAATATTGTCCTGTACATACAATTACCCGTTTCCATGGCAACGTGAGAAACATTATACAGGGCGGTGGGATTGTGGGAAGCAGAGGATGGCTGGGAGTGGGTACTGTTGTGTAATTTTACATCTATTGGAATATGATGGGGACCGGAATACCGTGGAACTTTAATGCTCAGAATCGTGAATTGTTATGTCAGCTAATTTGGCAGGGTACTAGTTTTATAATTATTGTGGAATTACGCTTGTAATTTCAGATTTGGGACGTTTATGGGTCCAGTTAGACTGAGCAATTTTATTTGGTAAATGTAAATGTAAGATATTCGGCTCTTCCCGAGATAAGAGGATAATCTCATAAAGGAACCCTTAAGTTAGCCACTAATTTCCAGTACGAACAGGTTACGGAGTAAACGTGTTATACGTGTTATGCAAACTATGGGTAATGTTATTTTGGAAGTGCAGTCTATTTAAAGATTTAAGTAACTTGGTTTTCAGAAATATATCTAACATATTATATTTATGTTATTAACATGAAATTGGTCGACATTTAACTTAGTCTTTAAGGTACATATCATACTTCTGCAACATAACATCACTAAATTTACAAAACCTCCTCTGTTCATTACTCAGAACATTTACTATGAGATGTAATGGTTTATAATTTGCATAACGCGGTAATTACTAAATCATGACACGGTGAGACACGGCACAAATAATCCTGTATCTGGCTTCAGACCCGCTTACAAGTACAACTGAAAACCCCCGGAATTTCTTAACTTAATTCTGTTCTTTGAACCCTATTAGTCATATTTGAATTGGGTAGACATTGTTAATCATGGGCCATTTCGAGTTACCACGCCCTTTTTGACCGCACCTCTTTCGCGATTCCCGCAATACCCTATCCCAGCTAACTATAAACAGTATGTGGACATATATATGTATTTAGACACATGTGGTGAAAATATAAACAGTGTAAAACCAATAATTTTCACGGAGCCGTAACTCCGCTTGCAAAATTTAAAAAGGAGCATATAAGAGAAATTTCTGAACTTTGGTTGCTCTGCAATTTCTATAATTTGACTACGTGGTTGATTTCAACATTGACCTAAATTAACCAGGGAACAATTAAAACGTGTGCTCCTTCATTATATATATTATTATTTAAACTTGACGAAATTCCTCCGGCAACGGGGACACTGAAAATTGACCAAAAAACCGACCCTTCTTTGTGGCCAATTTCAGCTCGCAAATGGAGTTGGACCCTCGCAATATTTTAATCGGCTGTATCTTCGGTTGTGACGGATATTTTTTGATGCGATGAAAATTTACTAACAAAAAATACTATTAGTGTTAGCTTCCTCCCTGTGACCACGGGTTTTCTAGTATTATTATAATACGTCATGACCAGCTCACATTTGATGACTATTCACGCTATTCACGCTATGCCTATTCATAACTTTGGTTGTGATCAATATTTCATGATGCGGTAAAAAGTATCGTTTAGGGAGTCCGAATACTTACAACGCGAACGTTGTTATCATTGTCAAATAAAATCCATGATTTCTACAGTATAACAGAGCTAGACGATGAAAAGAAATTAAAACATAACTGATTTATAAAATTTCATCGAACAAAGCTTTCGACTAGCGGGTTTCTAGTATATTATACTACATAGTATATTATATTACGTATTTAATTATGCGTTCATGTAGCTTGTACAAGCAAATATCATTAAATGTCATACCTGGCATGTTTTGATAATAGGCATTCTGGTGCCCATTGCTCCACGAGTCAGTCTCAGCGTTGAGTTCGTTCAGATCAATTTCACTTTCCTGGTCTTGTTGCTTCTTATAGTTCAGGATCTGAAACAAATTTAAAGATCAAAATACACGCGGACTTGGTATTATAAAGGTGATATTTTTAAAGTTTTTCACCACCACTTAATACTCAAAAATTGATTTCAAATCCAGGCTGTTCGTTGTGGTGAAAATGTATACTTTGCAATGTGTTCGAACAAAAAAATGAAATAATTTCTGTGTTTTCAATGGAAAAATCAAGGGCAGAGAATATCTTATACCTTGCTGTAAAATTTTACTTTTACAGACACAGTACAGACAAATAACTTTTTCATGTGAGATTAAGCAGAATTATAGCTCACAATATCATTCGTTGGTTTCAGGTGAGCTTATTAGTTATTATTTATTTGCAATTAACATTACTCATTAGTGGTAAAATATCAAGTTCGGATTTATCTTGACAAAAAAGCACCGTACATAAATTATATTTTGATTCGATTTTTCCATCATTCAAATCTAATTTAGGCCGAGTAAAGGAAAAGTTCTTACTTTCCTTTAGCAGGGATAGATAAAACCGCGCCCCATAATTAAATCTTAAGACGGTTGTAATATTCTGCACTGAAACGTGAATCTAGTAAAACGCAACTGTACTGGAACAACAGCTGGGGACGAAGAATTATTATATTTTTACGGTGTTTCAGTAAACTACGAGTATAAGCCGGAAACAGATAACCCATGATAAGGATGATGAGTGATGACGAGTAATTATTGAATGAAATATCGCGGAGACTAATTTATGGCATATTTAAGGGACACCAACTATCCAAAATTCAGTTTTTCGAAATTTTTGTCAATTTAAACAACTATTTAAACAACTATTTAAACAACTAGTAGTTTTATTCAGTACGCGTAATGGTAATGGCTAGGCTCGCTTTATTTTTACTTCTACTAGTTCATGTGCACTCGCACAGTTTGCCAACATCTCTTAGATTTGGGTATGACACCGGTAGTTATATGATGCTGCAACTGGACATGGAACCGGTAAAGGAAGCCATTTCGGTCTGTTCGTGGATCAACAAGAAAACAGCTGATGGTACTCATGATGCCTGGTTCACGTACAATGCACCTTCCAAGATGAATGAGATCTTAATTGCAGGCAGGATAAGGGGCTGGGCTTTCATGAACAAGGACCATATAGAGAACGGCCAGGCCTTTCCTTCAAATGAATGGCACCACCTCTGCATAACATGGGGTTATGACTTATGAGACTAAGACCAGGGTATTATATTTTGATGGGCAGGTAATAGCACAGGAAGCATCTGGTGACGTAAAACTGACCATGGGAGGAACAATAGCTATAGGACAGAACCACCAGAAGGCGACAATGGAAGCTATATTCCACAAGGGATATTCTTTCGGAGGTGAACTCCTAAAGCTGAACGTCTACAAAAGGCAACTGGAAGCTGGGGAAGTAAGCCAAATGTTCTCATCGGGAATGTGCTCAGACTTCGAGGATTCTCTTGTGGGAGAGGCTTTCTTGCGGTGGGAGACCATCCTCTACGCTACTGAGAGGCACGGAACGATCACTGAAGAGCGGATTACATGCCCTGGTGATCCCTGGGACGTACTCTACCCGTCCGAGTTTTTCAATAATGTTAGTGATTTTAGTAGTCGTGTGGTGGATTTATCATAATTTAAATCAGTTATAAAATAATAATAATAATAATAAACATAAAATTCTAAAACTTCCGTGGCCCGTGCACCGTTATACTCTACGTTGGTACAATTTTAAATACTGTGCCCTGTGGATCATATTAATATAAAACCTTTTGAATATTTTATTACAGCAAATAATCGTTCTACATGTTTACTGATAATATGTCTAGGTATGGCAATATCATCAAATCATCTGTAATTCAGGTTGTGTCAAGTGAGATACTAGATAAACTACGAGACCAATGGGAGGTTCTGGGAGAATTCGTCGGTCACCGGATCGACGAGGTCCTAGTGAAGCATTTAAAGAAGCACCACTAGATCATATCCTTGCTGAGAAGGATCCTTGCTGAGAAGGATCCTTGCTGAGAAGGATCATTGCTGAGAAGGATCCTTGCTGAGAAGAATCCTTGCTGAGAAGGATCCTTGGTTGATTGGATCGGAGTAGGGAGGTGAAATAAGATGAACATTGAACTGATTATTTTGTCCTGAAAATGCTTTTTTGTGGCTTAATTTAATAATTTTGATTTACCAGTGCTTTATCGGGGAATATTTCCCAAAATAAATTGAGCACTTGATTTTTTAACTGAAACATATCTCGACTGGTTTTATGTTTATTTTGAATCGAATTCGTCAATTAAAAGTAACAATTCCAGTGTCTTTACTTTGACAGAAACTTTCTAAAATTAAAATTATTATATAATATGACAAAGAAGGTCCAATAAAATACGGCTCAGTTAAATATGCAAACGTTTTTGCCAATTTTACCGTCGGAAACTATCAAACAGGTGACTCCAAAAATTCGCAGACTAAGTTTGAATTAAAAATTGGGTAGACGAGTTGTAATTGCCATTTCCCCATTGAACCTTGAAATTAGAGAAATAAATGGCGAAAAATTGTAGCTAAATTAGCTATCTAACCGAGAAAAGCGAGACTCCGGAATTTAACAACTAAAGGTGACCCCTCCCATAACCAGTCTCTACAATCTACATTTCAATATTGGATCATAACACAGGGCCACCCTGTGACCCTGTACTCTGGGTTTTAATCTGAAATACAAACTGAAAATATTCAAGTACCTTAACACGCAGGTTGTGTAGAACAATCTCGATAACTCCAGGCTTGCACAAGATGATGCCATTTATAATGTTTGGTGGAACATTGAAGTCAAACTTCTTGAAAACTTTCCCTGAAATTATAATGAGATTTGTCAGACTTGATGTACATTGTACAATGTACAGTGTACGTATTACTGATATCGACAAAAATAAGTGATATGTAAAATTGCCGAATTAGTAACGTTGTGTATGATAAGTGTGGATGAGATATTGTGGATGAGATATTGTATATTGCCTAAATATTGTTGTTTATTCTAAATCAGGACCACATACGGATATTTTCTTAATATTAATAATAGTCTTTTCTTGACAAATAAAAAAAATCTAACATTTATTACACGCTTCGACATTAAAATATACCCAACAAAGATGTACATTTAAGTCATTCAAGCGAGAAATAATACTAATAGATTCTGTAATCATATGTTGTGCAGACTGCAGGGTAAAAAAATGCAGAGATTTTGAAGCTGTCTTGCAGTCAGATTTAAATCATCTACTTCAAAATAAAATTTGAATATATATGTACTACACTACTACACGATAAACCTAATGGCTGTGCAAATTATGAGCAATAATAACGTCAAACTAAAGAACGCTGCCACAGCTATAAAATGTCCCAAGGAGAGCCGAGAGATTATTTACTCTCCCTCTCCTCTCTCTTATTTACTCACTGTTAAGAGTTTCCCAATTGGTTCTCTTCTGTTGAGAGTTATTTGCTGGAGTGTAATTGTGTAGTTCCACCAAATTCGGCAGAAAGTGGGCTATAGTCTCAGCGGCCAGTACTGTGGATTATAATTAGGACTACGTTAGTTTCAGGAGGCTTAGAAAAAAAAAACAAAAAAGGTTAGAAAAAGAGTATAATAAAGATGAAAAATAACTGCAATGAAAATAATGGGGGGGGGGGGGGGGGGGGGGGGGGGGGGCCAATGGCATAAAATGGCATAAAATGGCATAAAATGGAGACTTTTTCTATGGAGAAAATGGAAAAACCCATGAGTAATTCTCCATTTTCTCCATTTTATGCCATGAATTTTGTCTTCGAAATTTCATCTTTAACACCATTTAACACCTAAATTGGACATCCTAACATGTTTATTTACGCTTACTAGGGGTGTAACATGCTTATGAAAGCTCATAGTAGGCTACTAGATGCTTATACTAGGTTAGTAGAGGCACACTTCAGGCAAACTCATAATTACTCAAGCCTAGTGTAAAGTTATTTCTACAGGCTACAGCAGGAGTGAGTAATAGGCACTGAGAAGTGAGACCTACATCCTCGAAAGTCGAAACCAGCTCGCACTGCAAAGGGGAGGCCTGCCTTCCGAGATGCATTACCAGGGGGAAGCCTCGAATCCAAATTTGTGTATCGAGGGGTAGGTGCAGACTTCGTTGACCCGAAAAACCAAAAAAATATTTTCGGCTAATAATGAAGAGGGTAGCATGAAACGTGGAGAAAAGTGGTTTTTAGAAAAACTTTGAAAAATTTTGACTTAAAAAATTTTCGGCCCGAGTCATTCTCGATACGTACCTCTCGCATCGAGAGCTCCCGATTCCGAGCTCGTGTTGCAAAGGGGAGGCCTGCCTTCCGAGATCGCATTATCAGGGGGAAGCCTCGAGTCCAAAATTGTGTACCGAGGGGTAATTTTCTAAGTCAAAATTTTTCAAATTTTTTCTGAAAACCGCTTTTCTCCACGTTTCATGCTTCCCTCTTCATTATTACCCGAAAATATTTTTTCGGTTTTTCGAAGTCCACACCTTCCCCTCGATACACAATTTTGGACTCGAGGTAATGCGATCTCGGAAGGCAGGCCTCCCCATTGCAACACGAGCTCGGAATCGGGAGCTCTCGATACGGGAGGTACGTATCGTAAATGACTCGGACCGAACATTTTCTAAGTCAACATTTTTCAAAGTTTTTCTGGAAAACCACTTTTCTCCATGTTTCAAGATACCCTGTTCATTATTGGCCGAAAATATCTTTTTTTAAAATAATTTTTCTCGAAATTCTAAATTTTTCAGGTTTTCAATGGCATAAAATGGCATAAAATGGCATAAAATGGAGACTATTTCTATGGAGAAAATGGAAAAACCCATGAGTAATTCTCCATTTTCTCCATTTATGCCATTGGCCCCCCCCCCCAAAATAATACATCAGATGAACAATTGTTGAGCTTGTTGTTCCTTAAACTGTTCTAACCTCCATCGCTAAAGTCTCGAGTTATGTTTCTCTTGGGTCGGGAGAGAACAATTTCATCAATCCAAGCATAAAGTAGCTGTATTGAATCTTCATCCATTACTCATAGCTAGATTCTGTAATCATATTTTACGGTTAAAGGTCATAAATAATTTAAATCGTTGCGTCGTGTTCAATAATTTTGGGAACATTAGTTTTTATCAATAAGCAAGCAGCTTTTATAATATGCTGAGTTAAGTTAACGACTTAAACATTACCTTGTTAGTAACTAACATTATCTTGTAAAGAAGATTTTAATTCATTATGATTACGTCATTATTAACATTTATATTGCATCAAAATAAATTAAAAATTTTAGCACAAGTCAAGTAGCAAGAATATCAAACTGGTCGGGTGACAAAAGATGATTTACAAAAAATAAGCGCAAATAAACAAACAGGGGCACCATAAGTTTAAATATATGGATAATAACAAATAAAAGTTACGTAGGTTAACAAGACTCAGTAACTTATTCAATGAGAGGGAGATAAAATGCACAGTAAACAGTGAGGATTATTATGGACACACGATAATGAGGCGACTCTTGTATTACTCTTATGCACTGTCCACAATATGTTTTGTTCACATTGAAGGTACTGAATGAATACAATAAAACTGCTGGTGGCACAAAACTATTGTCAATGGTAAACTGTTTGTTAATAGTAATATTACAGGTCATTAACTCTCACCGCGGCAACTTTCCAACACAACTTACAGGAAAATCTCAGGAAAAGTTTACAATCTGTAATAGATCATATTTAATTCAGTCAAAAAAATCAAAATCATCCTCACTGTCGGGAGCAGACCTTTCTTTGTGTACACTATTGTCATTGAACGCAATGTCAGAATCTGAGGACTCATTTAACCGATCTAGTGCTGATTTTCTTTTGTTCGGGGTAATGACAGACTTACTGATGTGGTCTTGTTCGGTGTCTTCGTGAGCACTGTTATCCACCATCTGAAAACCGTAGCCGTGTTATTTGTTAATCACATAAAATAAAAGTTGCTGAGAAATGGTTAAAATAATTTTAACTTCACGCTGATAACCAGGGTTTGAATAACAGCCTGCAGGAATCAACATTCAACTATTCAACATAGTTCAATGCAACCTGGCCACTATACCATGCTGTAAATGGTACAACTACAGTTAGGTATTTGAAATGAAAATGCTGAAAATTAAACTTTTCTCTGACATGCAACTAGTTATCATGACTTTAAATAAAGTAAATAAAGTAAGATGAAGCAATCTGCCAATCTGAATATTATTGAGCTTACATTTTTATGTTTGTTTGTAATTAATATAATGACATCACCGTTCGTACTGCTGAACTACTTTGACTATTACACGTGCAATCCACTGCTTTCATGCTTTCACATTCTCTTACTTCCTTTTCCATCAGACAGTATCTGCATCTAGTATAACTAGATGTTAAACTCATTGAAGTAATTATGTGCTAATAGCCCAATAGTATCTAGGGAAAATAGCCCATTTAAGAGCAATGATGAACTAACCTTGCTGATAGGAGTCGACAATTTAACAGCGGCTTTGTTTTTCTGATATCCAGGTGGTGACTTAATCACAGTATCAACTGAACCACCTGGTGAATCAATAATGTTCTCTTTTGAGCTACGTCTTGGCTGCTCTTTGGGTGAATGTACTGGAGACGTGGCAGGTTTTTTTGCAGGACTAAGCATGTTTTCGATGTTGCCTTCAGAAAAATCTGTATCCAATTCTTCATCATCATACCTAGTATCAGGTAGCTTGTATGAAAACTTCTGAGCATTTTGTAATGGATCAACAACAGATGTATCTTCAGTTGTATTCTCAGCTGAGAATTCAAGGCTCTGTCTAGGAGAAAGAGCCTCCTCTGTAGCAGTTCCAACAGTTAGATCTGTTCTTAAATTTGAAGGTAGTTCAACAGATTCAGTAATGTTAGTTAATGTATCTGTTTTTTCAACATGGATGTTTGAGGTTATATGTGGCTCTTTCTGAGTCATAACTTTGATTGATCGATTGGGATTAGTTCTTTTTTTATCATCACTCTTGACAATATTTTCCGTACTGACATCTTTATTTAACTTAGAGTTGTGGCTAGATATACTGCTTTCACCATTTTTCTCGTTTACCAACATTGATGCAAGACTTTGATGGCCATCTAAGTTCAACTTACTGCTTGGAGGAAAGTTCTGAAATGACACATTTTCTGACTCCTTTAGTCGACATCTCAAAGTGTCCAACATGTTGAACATATTCTCTTGTGAGATATACGATGGGGAAACAAACATATTAGCCTTTTCACGCCAGTTAGGGTAATGAGTGTCCAAGAAAGTCTTTTGATTATCGACCTTAGACATTAAAATTTCTGTTTTTGAATCCATGAGGGCTAAATGCTTTTGAATCCTGTCAAAATCACTCAGTAAACGTTTGTTTGCTTCATGAGCTTTATTTCTACTCATTATCACTAAATTCAACTTTTCATGCAGCTTCTTCAAGTAAGCACTTCGCTGATAACTGGCTTTAGAGTTTGAAACCAATTCTTGAGTTTTAAGTGACTCCTTTTTTACTAAACTCTCGTTGATTTTCTCATCCAACTGTGAAGCTTTAACTGCCAATTCTTCGTAACTAAGCATTCTGAATATTGATTATATGAATAGATTAAATGTAAATCTTATATTCTTTGCTGAAATCCAAGTTTTTATAGTAATTTTCATACTTATTTGTCGGTGGCAACATTACGCCACTGATATTTGTAGGTTATAGAACTAATCATTAATGTTGGTGGTGTATTGTTATGACCGTAAATCAGACAAAAAGTGTATTTTCATCCAGTATCATCCACACAGCCCACACATCCACGCAGTCCACACACGTCCACACATCCACACAGTATCATCCAGAAAGAAAACATGAACTGCGTAAGGAGTGGTCTGACACTGTTACTAATAAAAACCCTGGTGGTAATATTTTGCTCTACCACTAAGTATTTAGTGCTTATCGTAGGATGATTTAAGCTATAATTAAAGCTGCCAAACGTTGGCATTACTGTAACGAAATCCTAAACAACTGTGAAGACAGCAAGAAAACCTGGTATATTATTAACGAACTTAGGGGCAAGAAGAAGAGGCAAACCAAGCCCCCATTTATATATAAACTTAAGAGTTATGTTTTAGGAATATTCATTGACCTAAGCAAAGCTTTTGACACCATCGACCATTCAACATTTTTTATAAAATTAGAGGGATGTGGAGTAAGTAAAGAGGAGTTGCAAATAACCTCATAAAAAGCTACTTGACAAACAGCAAACAGGCTACAATACACCGAAGTTGTGGTAGAAAAATCAGATACCCTATCTATTGTAATAGCATAACTTTACGTGAAAACTGGCCACGGGCCTAAATATTACATATCAATCAATTACAATTCATTAACATTACCAATATTAAAAACTGTCCAAAATATCTAAGAAAGTATTCTCTAGCCAAAGGGCTCAATATTTAAATCTAAATCTTCAAAATTGTCTGGTTTATGTCGCAACTTGGGCCCTCTGTCCCCCCTTATCGAAATAACTGTTGTCTTTAATACCTCAAAGCGCAAGCGCTTTCTAAGATATGAAACTGAGTCTGAAAATCGCTGACCCGTTGGAGATTCCATCTTTTGTGCAAGCTTTTTAATCAAGCGTAAAAACGATACCCAATCTATTCAATTTGGTGTCCTGTAGGGTTCAATACGTGGACCTCTCCTATTTCTTTTTGATATGAACGACATTACAAACAGTTCTAAACTAGGATCATTTGTTACATTAGCTGATGATACCAATATATTTGTTGTCGGAAAAACAAAACGTGAGGCATATGAACGAGGAAATAAGCTTTTGTCATCATGACAGCATATTTCCAGAAAGTTGAGAACTTTTTATATTATTAGGAACCTAAAATATTTTGCTGAAATACTATGTTTATGCTGAAAACCGAAGTTTTGTTATAAATGTTGCCATGATTTGGTACAGATTGTTTTAAAGAACGTGTGCAAATTTTTTCGAAGTAATAATATCTTCAGGGTAATGTATGATGTAAGCTTCGCAGTCATATTAATATTAAACACAAAGCCTTGGATCCCCAAGTAAAATCCAAAAAAAAACTGAAAAGAAGTAGATCTGAGGAGAATTAGAAGATCTGAAAATTCTTTAAAAAATATAAAAGGGATTCAACACAATTGGTTGTTTATGAAGCGCTCGATTTTTACAGTGCGGTATAAATCAGTTGAAATACAAAATAAGCGCATGGCGCGTCAATTAAAATATGCGCGGCGCACCAATTTTTTATGTTATGCTCACACAGAGTGAAAAATGTATTACTGCTTTTTTGCCGTAGGAGCATCCTTCATTACTATATGTTGTAGTACATTGAAACTTCGGAGTTTACTGCATGGGCGATTCACTTAACCTGTAACCACGTGCTTTCGCGCGACTGTGTGCGCGCTTGTTTACAGCCGGGAGGCGGGCGCGCGCCACTGCAAGCGCAAGGGCTATGGATAAAGCAACATGGGAGGCGTTAAGCATGCCAAATTTAATGCAAATCCTTTTAATAATTTTCAATTATGTTTAATATAGTAAGCTAAGTATGAACACAAAAGCCTAGCTGAGGTCCCCGACTCATCTGCAGGACCCGGCACTCAGCCCAGCAGACCTTACTGGCTGGCGATATTACTACAGGTGATCGCCTCTTCACAGCTTGTTGAACTCCGCGCGCGCTCGTTAGTTCATTGCATTTGCACGCTTCAATTATTCCAAAAATGCAATTGCAGCACGTACCACGTGATACGATTCAGCCAATCAGAGAACAAGAATCTGCAATGTTAAAGCTGCGCAGTTTTATAATTAGGCCACAGCACACAGGGGGAGCTGAAACCAGGTTTTCGATCAAACGATGCCATGTGTAGTCAAACGTTTCACTTAACCATGTGCTTTCGCGCCACTTTGGGCGCGCTTGTTTCACAAGTCAAGAAAAGCACCTATCCACGAACCCCGATGGGAAGGTTCGTGCGCGCGTGCGCAGTGCTGACAACAGCGTCTATGTAGCGCAGGTAGTCTTGGCACTTCTCTCTCCAGTATGCAGTAACCACTTATCAGGTTTCTATAGTGCATAGTGACAGTGTATAGGGGTTAATTAGGTATAAATTACAGTACAGCTGTACTTACACCTTCATTCACAAGCATGCAAGCTCACCTGGTTCAATAAGCGGGAAACGGAGGACAAGGTCTGGTGACGTCAGAGTCACGTGACCTCATATGCTCATAATCAAGTGACCTCAGACCCAATTAATGATCAATTAGGTTCGGGCATGGTCAGCCCCCTGTCACCCGATCTTGAGGTGACGTACGACACCTCGTTTACGCAATTAATGTCTGAAAGGCTACACACGTCGCATATGAGGACAAAAGCGCGGGTAATTTTGGCACCACTGTAGAGTGGTGCCAAAATCGTTGGGTGGGTTGATGGCTAGAGTGTAGAGCCCTTTTTACCGCCGTGAGGCGGGCGCGCGCTACTGCAAGCGCAAGGGCTCTGGATAGAGCAAGTCAAACGTCGCCAAAAGTTGCTTTCGTCCAATGAAATCGCTGCATTATGTATAAAGCGCAACTGTTGGCGACGTTTGACTACAAATGCAAAATGGCAGCATTTGATCGAAAACCTGGTTTCAGCCCCCCCTGTGTAGTGAGGCCTAAAATATGAATTTTCGCGATAATTCAAAATCTACATTGTTTTGAATTTTCCTCCTGGGGAGGAAACGTTATTTTTACAAGGCGAACATTTTGTTGAAAACCAGACGTTTCTATTTCTTTTATTTTCGAAGTTAGGCCCCTACCAGTAAGGTTTCCTGGGAGCATTGCTGCAAGCTGCCAAGTTGAAAACAAATAAAATCGTTTTTAAATATTTAACCTGACACCGATTTAATTTTCAAATCACCTCATATAACACATATGTCATGATCAGTGTGAACGCGTAAAATCCTGGGGTTACACGAGACAGGGTAGCCTGTGAGCATGTAGACCACTCTTCTATCGTTGTTTTGAGTGTCCGATCCAAAACCAAATCCTAGGGTACACGATACGTGGATGCCTGTTATGTGAGCGTGTTAGAGTCTGTTAACCAGTTAAGTGTTAGCTAGTCCTCCTAGGGTTACACGTAACGTGGTAGCCTGTGAGCGTATATACCGCTCGCTCCTCTATCGTTGTTTTGACTTTGAGTGTCTGTACCAAAACCAAATCCTGACTATATTATCAGTTCAATGAGATCTTGTTGATCTGAGGCGAGGGGGGGGGGGGGGGGGGGGGGGGGGGATCATGGCAAACGCAGACGTGATTCAGTTTATAGATTGCAGGTTTAAGTTGATGGTATAATTGGACACTAAGAACGTGACGGCTTCTGATGAGGTGTCATGAGGTGTCAATGACACATTAACAGTAAAAGAAGACGACAAAAAGCCTGGGATCACCAATCAAGAAATATGCCCCCAACAATGCCGTCAATTTTGAGCAGCAATTCTGAGCAGCAATTCTACTGATGGGCAATTCAGTAGTGTGGCATAACACGGTTAAGGCACGGTTAAGGCACGGTTAAAGCATAGTTAAGGCACGGTTAAGGCACGGTTAAGGCACGGTTAAGGCACAAGGGTTACATAAGGCACGGTTCTTAAGGCACGGTTAACGCACGGTTAACGCACATAGAGCTGCAAGTATTCTCTCTAATCGGAATATCTCCTTGTCCTCATTTCTACATCTATTGTGGATATTCTGCAACGGTTCAAGTGTGGCAGACGCTGCGAGGATCCTGTCGAAGAATGAGAAAACTGTGCGATCCCTCTACCAGTCCCTCCGGCAGTGTATGGCAGAAGACGCCTAAAATATGAATTTTCGCGATAATTCAAAATCTACATTGTTTTGAATTTTCCTCCTGGGGAGGAAACGTTATTTTTACAAGGCGAACATTTTGTTGAAAACCAGACGTTTCTATTTCTTTTATTTTCGAAGTTAGGCCCCTACCAGTAAGGTTTCCTGGGAGCATTGCTGCAAGCTGCCAAGTTGAAAACAAATAAAATCGTTTTTAAATATTTAACCTGACACCGATTTAATTTTCAAATCACCTCATATAACACATATGTCATGATCAGTGTGAACGCGTAAAATCCTGGGGTTACACGAGACAGGGTAGCCTGTGAGCATGTAGACCACTCTTCTATCGTTGTTTTGAGTGTCCGATCCAAAACCAAATCCTAGGGTACACGATACGTGGATGCCTGTTATGTGAGCGTGTTAGAGTCTGTTAACCAGTTAAGTGTTAGCTAGTCCTCCTAGGGTTACACGTAACGTGGTAGCCTGTGAGCGTATATACCGCTCGCTCCTCTATCGTTGTTTTGACTTTGAGTGTCTGTACCAAAACCAAATCCTGACTATATTATCAGTTCAATGAGATCTTGTTGATCTGAGGCGAGGGGGGGGGGGGGGGGGGGGGGGGGGGGATCATGGCAAACGCAGACGTGATTCAGTTTATAGATTGCAGGTTTAAGTTGATGGTATAATTGGACACTAAGAACGTGACGGCTTCTGATGAGGTGTCATGAGGTGTCAATGACACATTAACAGTAA